CAAGCCCTATCAATTTGCCTTCGTTCAGTGATGGATTATACTTGGAATCAAACCAATCATCGAAATCTTTAGTAGCACACTCCTTGTTGAAACGCATTACTTGTTGTTTGATTACACATAGATATGTCTTGCGCATCAAGAACCAATCAGAATGAGGTGGACGAGGAAAGAATCCAGCGAGATTTCACACGTTTTGGTTGTTGCTGAACCAAATATTGTGAATCATCATGTATAATTTATATAATCGATTATCGTAGATTTAGTTGCAGTGCAGTATTCCACACCGCATTCAACGGTCACTTTTCCAAATGATTCACGGTCTTCACTGGACTTAAAGAAGAAGTTGTCAAGTACATGTGATCCATCCAGTTCATTGATTTGATATTGCAAGAGGTAGGTGTATCTGTAACGGGGTACGTAGCCCTAAGTGTACCCTGGTTACATGAAGTGTGACACGTCATACTTCGGGATATTTGTACAAAGTACCAAGGTCGTTCAAATCCAACCATTGGCTAACGACATTGCATTTCTATAGGTGGCTTATAGTTTGTATTAAACCCAAGCTTTATCTACCTATAAATATACTCAGTTTACATTCTACCTTAATTAGGTCACTTCGCTCTCTTTTGAATAAAGAGGGGACCTGTGAACTGTCGTTCACTGAGAGTTGGTATACTCTCGAAAGATAACTTCCTCTAGCGCAAGGTGACCCCGTCACAGTATACGTTGTTGCCAAAGTCAGGCGTGACATCATCGCTATGCTTGTAATCAGCGGAATCACCAACTACGTGCATCTTCGACTTGATCCAATCACTTGGTGATAAAACTCGTGAATCCCCCAACTTGGGCTAATCGTATTTATCGACAGATTTCATGTGCTGAATACAATGCTCACCATAAATTTTTTCAATAGACTTGGTCATCGTTGGTTCAGCAACTGCAGGTTCAGCAATCACTGGTTCAGCAACTACAGGTTCAGCAACTGCTGGCTGAAACTTTGCGTGGTGTCGGCACCAATCGCCTTTTGGGTCGCACTGTTGGCTCGTCTTGAGGTGGTTTTCTGGGAAGATGTACTTACACATTGTTTTCTATATATTTAATTTAACCGAACTCACTATTATTTAGTGAAATAAAAAAAAATATTTTGAAGTGATCTGATTGGTTAAAATGAGCGGTGTGTTGCGTGAATTAGTGCTGCTGCTAAGTCGAGAACTTTCCGCACGAAGATGGCAGAGGTCGAGTTGGAGTGCGCGGTATACGGCGAAGGGACTGTGTTTCCCGTGAAGATAGCGAGCAATGCGAAAGTGAGCGCGCTGCAGGAGAAGATCGCAAGTACATACAGAGTCGTGAGCAACCGCGTTGAGGTTTACCCAGCCAGGTTGACGCTCTACTTGGCGCGGAAGCAGGGGGAAGCCACGTGGATGAACCACGACCCCGAGCTTGAGGCTGCTTAACTTCACAGAGCAGACGGGATACCCACACGGTGAAAGGCTTCTTGCGAGGTGGCATCAGCACCGAGTATGAAGAGATGCTTTCGTCGTGGATTCTCGACGAAGATTGCTTTGGGAAGAACTTTCAGCCTGGTCGCAAGGAGATTCACGTGCTGGTGGAACTGCCACAATTGTCGGAAGCTGAGCTGCCTCGAGATCGTCAACTTGTTGTGGGCGACGTTCATATCCCAATCACGCAAAGTATGTCGTTGAATCCGCCAGCACTGGTCGCATTTAGGAAAGCATTTCTGAACGACAGTACCGACGTGAAAGCTGGCGCATTGGTCGAGTTACCCCGAGACACGTATCTTCTTGGTGATTCGACACTCGGCTCTCGTATCTACATTCGTCATTGCTACCCTGCGCTATGGGAACTTTGTCTCGAGAGGATCCACGATGAAAAGACGAACACACCGCATCTCGTGATCCTCGGCAACCCGGGAATCGGCAAGACGTTTTTCGGCTATGTGATCGTGCTTCATCTTGTCCGTACTAATGAAACGGTGGTATATGAGAGTGGTGGCCTCAAGAAGCGCTTTTTATTTGCTCACAATGTGGTGGCTCAAGGATCTCAGGAAGATTTTGTGCACATTCTCGACCAGCCGACTACATACTACATCGTGGATGCCGTCAAGCCTGCGTATTACCCAGCGAAGACGATTCTTTTGACGTCGCCGCGCCGCTCCATCTGGTACGAGTTCAACAAGACCAATTGCCGGTCCTGCTACATGCCAGTGTGGTCTTTGAAGGAGATTCTACAATGTCGTAAGCTGATGTACTCGGATACACCTGTGGACGTCGTGCAGAAGTGCTTTCGTCGATGGGGTGGTATTGCTCGCTATGTCTTGCGATTTTCACAAGTTGGTAACCAGCAGGTGTTGCTTGAAAAAGCAATGGACATTGTTGATCTCGACTGGTTGGTGAAAGCCTGTAGTCAACTTGATGCGAACGAGGCTCAAGTGTCGCATCGATTGCTGCACTATCGCGTCAGCAAAGCTTTTGACAGCGAGTACTTCGTTTTTGCATCGCAATATGTTCAGCAAGAGATGTACAATCGTCTGTACAAGAAGGATAAGCGGAAGCTGCTAGAGTTCATTGCTGCCTCGGATGGAGTTGGTGCTCTTGCTGTGCTTCGTGGCCACTTGTTCGAAGGGCATGTGCATTCGGTACTGCCGCGAGGTGGAACGTTTCGAGTTCGACGTTTGGTCGAAAACAACGAGGCGTACGATGATGATGATGACCCTATGGGAGATGAATGGGACGGCGATGACGAGGATGGTGATGATGGCATGAATGAAGATGATGCCGTTGCGATGGAAGAATCCAATGCTGTGGCGTTGGTCGACGGTGGCGCCGCACCTGTCATTTCTTTTCAGAGATTCGAGAAAGCTGTCGTTTTCAATCATGGCAGTGAAATTGTCGCTGCTGCTAACACGAGTTACCTACAGCCAGCGGTGAAGAATTACCAGTCGGTCGATGCGATCATCAAGCCGGATATTTTGTTGCAGGTGACAGGTGCACACAAACACCCCTGCAAGCAAAAAGATCTCCACGATGTGTTGAAGCTTCTGGGAAATCCTGCAGCACCGCGGCTGTTCTTCGTGCTTCCGCCTGACAGATTCACCGATTTCAAATATCAAAAGTATCTGGACTCAAAACGCAAGAGGATGATGGCGCCAAGCTATGAGAACGTGTGCAAGATACAGCAGTTTGCGATGGAAGTCAAACTTGAATCGGAGTAGGTGTGCAGCTCCGAGGTTCCAAAACCGCGTTCCGAACCGGTTCCAAAATGATGCCGTACTTACTAGAGCTGCTGTGGTGCTTCAATTCTATAGTGAATTGCAATTAATGTATTAATTGTGGGAACCCTGGTTCCAAAATTTTCGGAACCAAATTTTAATAACTAGAAGGGCTGTGGTTACATTGACATCTTCCGGGCTCCGAGTTCTTATACTTATTTATCTAAATGTATAAAGTTTAAAGAGAGGGGGGTAGGGTGTATTATATAAAATAGCATATAGACAGTGCTGCGTTTTTTTTTTGGAACTTGGGAACTCGGTCCCACATGGTGTATAAAACCTACCATGATCATAATAGTTAATGTTACGTCGGTTCGGTGACATGGAACCGGTTCAGGTCATGTTTCGGAACTTATATATACAGACTAAATATTCTAGAATATACAATCTAGCCATGCAAGACTATATTGACAGCTATTGATATGAAGTATATAGCCGCTTGATCGCTGGATTTAAGGGTTTTGACTTTGTCGGAGAGCTCACGCGCATTGAAAGATGATTGAATCTCAACAAGAGCGAATTCTAAAATCTCAAAATCAACTCAATCTCATCAATCGCGAGTTTCTGCCTGGTGATATTGAGAGTGTGTATCGCAACAGAGCGATTACAACTATGAGCGATAGCACCGATAAGATTGATAGATTGGAAACCCTCAAAAGTGAATTGAAGCGCCTGCAGCTCTTGTAAAAAAAATACCTCACTTCGAAGACTGGTTCATATTCGCCATCACCAAACTCAAGGTCTTCTCTCGAATGTTAGCATCAGACCTCAACTTATCAGTGTCGAATGTAAATGGCTTCACGTTGATTGGTGCGATTGTTGGAGTGTAAACTTTGTAATCATTATCATCAATAACGACTGGCTCCTCATCAGCTGTATCAACGTATTGAATGTCCATTTTCTAGGTATATTTATCTGAAATATATTTAAGATAATGTAGAAACGATGTAATTATCTTCATGTTGTTCATGTGTCGTTTCTATGAGTGACGCTTAGCGCGTATCGGCCTCCATGGTTATCTACACACTGTTATTATCTATATCTCTAAAACAAATTGCCAGGGTCACAAAACAATTCTATCTTAAGTATTGAAAATATATGCAATTGGATCCTCAATTCGTTGTTGTTGCGCCTCCTTCACGCATAGTGCATTCACAAAATTTTGTATCATTTGCTGGTGATTGGCATCACGTCGTTTCTGACGATTACTTCTGGTATCTTTATGATAAGATTGACGCGAGTGATTCATGACTGTTTATATATACCTGGAGAAAGTAAAAAAAGTGTCATAGTCTAAGCACTCTGTTCTTCTAGCCACCGCTTGTGCTTCTTCGATCGAACGTGAACATGGTGATTTGCAGCAGAATATTTGCCACCACATTCACAATTGGATCGAGCTGCTAGTCGGGCTTTAGAAATTGCATCCCATCGATGCTTATTTGCCCTATAGTATTTCTTATTGTAGGCCTTGAATTCCTCTTTATTATCTTTTCGATACTCTTTTTTTTGCAGCTGATCTATCGCAAACACATTGTTTTTATTTACTGCTGTTTTTCTAAATTTTGCCATCCAAAGTTGTTCATATGCTTAAATGTTTTTTCAACAGCTTGCAACACAGGACGGATTTTTCAAGCTCTGTCAGCATGCGCTCCACCGTCATCGTTGTTGTTGAAGTGCAGAAATTTCATGATCGCCTCAAAGCGATCGCGCTTCATGAAGCGAGAGAACATCCCGCGTGGAATGGCTCCATCTTCTTCAGTTCTCCAGTGGTTGGAGAGCCCGTCTCGAATCGGAGCGACAGCTCGTGCAAAGAGCAATACCACGACGTGCAAAATCTCATGAGCTTGAATACGCTTGAATTTCCTCAACTTGGCTTCGATATCTTCTAAGTTGGGCACACTCACGCGAGGATCCTCAGCTTGGCGAGCAAGCATCTTTGCTCGACGAGATAATGCCACAGCACCAATATTCTGCTCTCGGTAGCGGTTCGTCTCATCAGCAACTCGAATCCATAGCTCCTTCGGTAAAAAGTAGAAGAACATGGTCAATGGAGAGTCTGCGTATGCGACCGCAGACCGTGTGGGTCCGCACGGTCCGTCGTAATAGTCCGTTGCAGCGTCCATCCAGAGATTCCCTGTAGTAAACACACAATCCGGAATAAGTACAATTGCACCACACACTAATCTGTATCATACGGCTTACCACTTTCCGCTTCGGCATAAGTAATCCATCCATTCTCCGCGATGTCTCGCAAATCACCACTAGTCAGGTCAAAGAGTCCCTCCTCGGGGATGTCATCATTCAAAGACACGTCTTCTAGATCTTCTACACCTTCTACTACTAGGACCACTTCGTTGGCGTTCATCACGTCTTCGTTATCCGCGTCTGAATCGGAGTCGCTGGCATCTTGACCAGCCACCACGTTCACATCATCACCATCTGTCGGGCCGAACAATTGCTCTTTTCGGAGACCCTCCATGAAGTTGTCGCTATCAAAGACATCGAAATTTACACGATAATCCGCAGGGTCGTCACTCTCGCTCTTTGCTTCATCAGCTTCCGTCGATTTCTCTCGCGGGTTCCATTCTGTATCAGAGCCTTCATTTCTCCTTTCTTGTTCTGTATCCTCCGGGACTGTAAGCTCCGTATCCTCATGTTCTGTATTATCCAGATCGTGGCCCTCCAAGGCTTCATCTTGTTCTGTACCATCTGTTATAGCCAGTTGAGCTTGAACTTCAGTCGATGGCTGTAGTCCTGCCGAATTCACCTCCGGCGTCAACGGACCGGTCGCTGGAGGTTGAACACGTGCACTGACTTGAGGAGCACTTACCTCTGAAGCTTGGGCGGATTCAGTCGCCGTAACGGAAGGTGGTGGCGCGGAAGTGGTGAGCGGTGGATGGCCATGAGGAGGTTCCTCCCCAGCAGCTTCGTACGATGCTTGCTCGCCAATCGGACGATATGCAGGGCCAACACGCACGCTTGGGAGTGGAAGCTGGAGACGACCGGATGCACGTCCAAACGCCATGAGTTCAGCTTCGCCTGATAAACACACCATTGTAAGTATTGAGCATTATTAAGTCAGTTAGCGTTGCAACGTACCCTAAAAAAAGTCAATGCCGCGTCTCGATTCATCAAGACGTCCCTTGATTCCTGGCTTCACGTAGCGGGGATGCTTGGCCATGCGCGTGGGTTTGCGGGACTTCCATCCGTCCTTGCATAACTCCCGCCACAGCTGCTTGAATGTCTTCTCTCCGGGGCCGTTTATTGTTCAGAGATGATTTTCGAATGGTAGGGACTGATTGCCACGCGGCAGTTTTGGGCTTTCACTCTAATTCTCAAACCTGTTCTGATTTTATATTGGTCTTTCTACTCACACAGAAGAATCCCCGTCTATCTACCCTTCACCAATCCAACGGGAAGGATCTGCTGATTACCACGTATACAAATTCTCATATGCGGACTTGGGGGCAGCAGCCAACTTTGCTGGGTACTAAATCCTGTTAAACATCTTATTCTGTAGGATACAGAATACCGGGCTATTAATAGAAGGGTTAAAGTGCCGATCGGGGACAATGTACGAGAATTCACATTAGGATTACGCTAACTCGCGCGTTCTTTCTCTGAGCGTACGCTAGTGGACAGACTGCATTGATTATGTTACATCGTCCGCTCAACCGGTGCATAAAATGGCATCTAGAGTACCCCTAGCCGCCCTTGGAGACAGCGATGATGTACTGTACAGTACGGTAATGGTCTGCCTGCATCCGATCGACGTGTCAAGCAGCAGTAAAAATTCCTTGGCTAGATTAGCACTATAGCCTCATTTGACTACATGTAATCACTGCCGATTCTGTTCCTGTCGCGCAACGAATGATGCCTCCGTTTGAGACGATATCGTCTTCGCTGTGTTGCCATACTGCGGTACTGTCGTCGCTGGTGTGCTTCACTAGCGTTTGTACAAACGTTCGAAGACGTCTATTAGATGGTGTCGCTCCTTATTGGGGCTGGCAAGTTTGCTGTAACAGCATTTGAAGATCTACAAACTCTCGATCGATAAACTGAAGTCGAGATTTGGCTACTAACCGTTATTGAAAATGTACATTTAGTTTACCAGCAGCAGTAGCCACTGGCAGTGTCCCTAGCCAGTGAGAGGAAATACTCCTCTTCAGTTTCGTTCGTCATCTCCGAAGCCTCGCTTTCACCTCGCCCTGTATCCCGTTCGAAGAGTTATAAGCACACTTGCATCCTTCTACAGCAACCTGGACCTACTCACGTTCAGCTTCGTTGTGCTTCTTTCCTTCGATACAGTAGCCGAGGCTTGCGGTAGAGTCACCATTGCTCCTCCATCATATCACAACTTAGCACTGCAACTTGTTGTCACTCACTACCGTTTCTCTACTATCTCGCGGTCCCAGGGACACACGCGACGGGATACTGCTCCACTCTGTCCGGACGAAGCAGGCAGCCGCGACCAGCACGCGCTACACACGGCGTGGCCGCACGGTTTCATGTGCACCAGCGCTTCCTCGCTGTAGCAGAGTTTACACAAACTCGAGTCGTCGTCTCCCACCATCTCAAGCGAGCTGGTCTTACGCGCGTAGCCATTTGCAGCCTGTCTTGATTTTGGAGACTTGTGAGATGCTTGAGGCGTCTTGCGTTTCGCAACAGGCGCTTTATCCTTAGCTTCACTTGCCTCAGTCGAGGGGAACTCCACTGTGTTCACGATACTCGCTCTACGAGCATTGCGTCGAGAATTCTGCGCCGTCGGTCGACTGCGTTTCGTTCGTGACTCATGCAAGTCACCGCCGTCTGCAGCTGTAGCATCCGCACCCTTTGCAACAGTTGACAGGAGATCATCCGACGTGGGCAACACGAGACTCTGTCTCCTTTCTCGAGGCCTTTTTCGAGATGATTGACCTAACAAGCAGCACATCACATTAGCGTCACTAGATATCGAAGCAAAACGACGTTTATCCGTACCTAAAACACCACTCGTAGACTGAGTTTGGCTCTTGGAATGGTCATGCCCACCTCGATTGGCAGAAACTTGAGCAAGCGCTGCCCCCCAACTGTTCCAAAGACTCGTCCGAGCACTGTCCACTGCAGCTCGAAATACCAAGTCCTCACTTCTGTACGCTGACGTATCGGACAGCGTATGATCTGCTCCTAGTGAGAAGAAATCGTTGTCAACGATGCAACTTGAGCTGATGTCGACTCCTAGAGTCTTCATGAACAGCGATCTTGCGTTCTCTGACGATATTGTCGACCCATATTCATGCGATACCTTCACTTCCTCCCCCTTCGCTCGTTTATCCTGAACAGGAAACATGTGGATCACGGGGTTGACGTCGTGCGCCTTGACGTACTCGAGATATCGCTGTTCATACGTCCGGGTCGAGATCTGAGCACCTGTGACTGTGTCTGTGTACTCGTACAGATGGTCTTCATTTCTAGACGATTTGGTCTTCGTATGCAGCTCCCGATGCGTATCTGCCTCGCTCCACTCCTGGTTCATCCGATTCAGAGCATCCGACAGCTTCTGCATTGTTTTCTTGCGGTATTCCGAGTCTTCCGAGAGCTTCGGAGTATGTTTCGACATGGGTCCTAGGTAATAGCCCGTCCCTGCATGCACCTGCTTGGCAAGTGCAAATGCGTCGTCACTCATCGGGTCCAGCTTCGTATATCTCCGAATAAGCTGACAGTACTCTTCCTGTCTTCGAACTCGCAGTGTTCATCTTGGTTTCCGACGTAGCGTTACTACGTCTACTAGGTGTGTGCGTTGCTGTAGTATCGACCGTCTCTTGTATGTTTTTATTGCCACTACTCATCTGTTTCTTCATAGTCTCAAGAAATTCATCTCGATGTTTGGGACCTGCAAAAGGTCCGGGCAAGAAGGTGAGTTCGAGGCGTTTACCATCCTTAAGCTTCACTTCCACACCCTGTACTGTGTTTTGCACTATAGTGGGCTGCACTGCTGCCACATGCTTGAAGGCTACGAAGAGTGCGGCCGCCGACTTGTGATCTGCTTTGTCCTGGCGGTTCGTGATGTCCTGTAGCTCCTTTTTGCGCCGTTCCAGCGCGTCCGAGTCCGACTGCGTGGCCTGTAGCCACACGATGCCGCCATTTTCGAGTGGTGACACACCCAACGCGCCTAAACCGCCGTCGACTCGAGCACCGTCGAATTTGGCGGCCACGTGCTGGTACAGGACGATGTTCTGGTCCCTTCGTTGCTGCTGCTCGAAGCGCGACAACAGACGCTCGGGCATGCAGAAGCGACTTAGCGCACCAAGATCCAGTCGCTTGGCGGCCTGCGCCGGCGCCGTGTCGAACAGGTCGGCGAAGGTCCCGAAGCCGTATGTGTCCTCGTCATCGTCCATTATTGACTGCATTTCAGTAAGAACATAAAGTATTCGGGCCACCTGTAATTTTCGAATTATGTACTGGACTAAATTAATTTTGGTCTCAAATACAACACTTCTACATGATTTTAGTCTCAATCTAACATTCTACACTCAATGCAACTAGACGGTGTAGCGCGATCTTGGATCAGCTGTGTACTTGCGTATATTCTTCTGCAAGTCTTCACGGTGATTGTTCGACACTCGCATCGTCACTTGGTATGCGGCTTCACGGTCGACCAGAAGCTGTTCATCGGGATCTCGGCCGATCTGTGCCACCATCCACACGCTGTCCAATGCACTCAAGAAGCCACTGCAAGTTCCCACACCATCGTGCCATACGGGCTCGTGCAACGAGTCTCCAATAAGACCGACGTAAAGCTTCTTACCATGCGACGAGAGGATACTCGCAGCCTTGTCTGCACGGGTGAGAGAGCTGAAATCAAAGAGACTGACACGTGTGAAGTCTGTTTTCCTCGGGATACCAGCGAAGTCGACAATTCCCTTGACAAACTCATACAATGCGCTGTTGTTGATGTTGTCGTCCATGACCAGATCTGTCGAGCTTGGGCGATCTTCGTTTACCACATGAAGCTCTCTTAAGTTCTGACGTTTCGGTGTCATCACCAGATAGTGCATTTCTCCACGGTAGTACACGATGTTCTCCAGATCTAATCCAATGTCACGCAATTTGTCAAGCATCGGGTGCTTTTGCTGGGTAGTCCATGAGAACTCCTTGGCTTTCACCTCGTCAGAAGTCCCAAGATTCGGGAAGTAACAGACGATCCCCAGAGCTTCCTTATCACTGTACACGAACCGATTGATACCAGCAGGTTTGGCTAGCTTATCGTTCGTTCCAGCAGCACCCAGCACCGCTGTGAACTCCATTGTCGGGATCTGCGGCTGAGTTACCACTGAGTAGAAAGGTTCACCGCCACTCTCCTCCAGACCCGGAGGCACAATAGACTCGAAATCTGTGGCTGGATAGATCGTCACACCAAGAAGCAGTGCGACCTTGAGCAAGATAACCTGCAGCTGCCGCATACTGACATAGAAGTGCGAGTTCGACTTGCCAAACTGCGGGAAGAAGACCTTCGCTCCGAGAGATACCAAGTCCTGAATCACCCACGGCCACAGGTGAAGCATGTTCTCTCGACTGAAGTGTTCCCGCTTTTCTAGTACAATCACCTGACCTCCAAGTAATGCCGTTTCGACTGCAGCACGGAGACCAACCGGCCCAGCCCCAACGATGCAGACACGCTTCCTGGCAGCATGTTTCCTTGTGTACACGTCCAGGTTAAAGCGTGCATCTAGCAGCTTAAAGAGCTGCTTGTGACGGAAGCTCAACTTGCTGTACACTGCCGCCTTGATGTGGAAAAACACATGCCACGGCTCGTCCACTTTGACACCGTTGAGACCGCAGTCGTTGAGTAGATTGCTGAATGCTGCCAGAGTTTCTCCCAAGTCTTGCGCGGCGTCGAAAGCCTTGAATGAGTTCAGCGCCGTAGGCACAACTCGGGCATGTAAGGTCTCGATAATACCCGAGGAGGTCGACGAGTTCGAGGAATTTGTCAAGTTCTCCGACAGCGTCTTCTCCAGTGGTTCCTGGTCACTCGGAGCATTGCCATTCTTGCGCCACTGCGAGCTCGACAGTCGTCGGAATCCTCGTTTGTGTTGATCATTCTTGTTGTTCATATCTTCACGTGCGATCTGGTCGATCGAGGTCAAAAGAGCTGAAATCTGAACCATGGACGCCTCGGAAAGATCCCTTCTTTGGACGGTTCGAGTGACCTGGTCCAGCGTCGCCAGCAGTGCCAATCGAACCGACGATTTACCAGCAACAAAGCGCTCGTGGAAGCGACGAGATTTCTGTGAATCGTTGCATTCGTCATCCGACGCTTGTCCTCGATTCAGGAACTTTGAAATCTTGGTCCCCATTCGGTCAATGTGTCGAGCGAACGCCGGCTCCTTTACCTCTGTAGTGGAGTTAGTGCCGTCGGTGCTGTTCGACGCCGAAACCTGGGACTGAGCCAGAGTGGAATCAACGACTGGTGCAGCGTCAACGTCCGACGAAACACTGCGGTTGTAAGCGAAATCATCGGCTCCAGACCTTATCAAGGCGTCGAGTAATTTCACGGTGTTGACGTTGTCTTCATCTTTCTCACCACGTGACGATTCCACAGACTTGCTGGTGCAGTCGGCACCCAATGAAGACGCTTTCTCCTCTTCCTCAATAAGAAGCTGCCTCACTTTTTGCCACGCCAATTCCTTCTCGGCACGAGCTTTTTGCTTACGTTCGGCCTCCTCCGCCACGATCCGACTCAACTGAATCGAGTCAATATCGTTGGGATTTGCACCTGCTGGAGCTGACGTATACGGGATTGATTGGTGCCTTCTGGAACGTGGATCTTCGTTGTAGACTCCGGTATCTTCACCGTAGGTGAAATCGCCTTCGTCCTTCGCGTACTCAAGGTATTTGTCAGCTCCGTCGATCGCCAAATAGTCCAGAGTTCGACTGAGACGGGCTCCATCGAAGAGATCGTCGCCAATGTAAGCGACCTGGCGATCCCGTGCTCTGGTCGTCTCACGTGCTCCATCATGGACAGGAGGTCTCCGATTTAACCTGCGCTGGCCTCGTTTGCTGGTCAACGTCTGCGCTTGATCTAGAGTTGCCATCGTAACACAGCGATTTGAATCCGAAATGAGAGGACTTTCACAAACCACTGCGGAATCCGAACTGACAGCCACGAGACTATACCTCTCCAGTCAGGAACCAGAACACCACATGGCAAGTTGACGTCTTCATTTTTCTTAACTCAGCTCATCAAACCTGACATGCAGCTGGAATAAGACTCGATAAGGATGACCCCTCCTCTTCAATCCCTTAATTATAAAACCGGTAGCCAAAGGTTGGAGGTGTTTACGACAGTATCCATCAACTACAGGGTTTATATTGACAATTCTTAACACAGTTGCGGGAACTTGACCGTGTAGCGCGTTTTTGGGTCGACCGTGTACTTGCGTACATTCCTCTGCAAGTCATCGCGTCGGAACCCGGACACGTGCTGGATAACACGGTACGCCATTTCTCGATCGGCCAGCAGTTGTTCGTCCGCTTTCTTGCCGATCTGAGCCACCATCCACACGCCGTCCAACGCACCCAGAAACCCTCGACAGGTTCCGACACCTTCGGGCCAGAACGGCTCGATCAACAAGTCGCCGATGAGCCCAACGTAGAGTTTCTTGCCGTGTGATGTGAGGATACTCGCGGCCTTGTCAGCACGAGTGCGAGAGCTGAAGTCGAACATTCGGATACGCGAGAACTCGGCCTTCTTCGCGATGCCCAGGAACGCCACGATGCGCTTGACGTACTCGTGTAGCGTGCCCTTGTTGATGTTATCGTCTTGTACCAAATCTCGAGGCTCGGGGTGGTTCACCTTGAGAACCTTCTGGTCCAGTAGGTTCTGACGCTTCGGAGTCATGACGATGTAGTGCATCTCGCCTCGGTAATACACGATATTCTCCAGATCTACTCCGATCTCACGCATCTTGGCGAACATTTGCTGTTTGAACTGAATCGTCCACGAGAATTCCGTCACCTTCTTCTCTTCAGTTGTACCGAGATTCGGGAAGTAGCACACGATACCGAGCGCTTCTTTACGACTGAAGACGAACCGGTTGATACCGGCAGGTTCCGCCAGTTTGTCGTTCGTTCCGGAAGCTCCAAACACCGCCGTGAACTCCATCCACGGGATCTGTGGCTGCGTGGCTACAGTGTAGAACGGCTTGTTGTCGCTCTCCTCGGAGTTGGGGGAGATCACGGCTTCAAACGCTGTTGACGAGTAGACCGTGACACCCACAAGCAACGCCACCTTCAGTAGAATAACTTGAAGTTGACGCGTACCGACGTGGAAGTAGGCGGTCGAGTGACAGAAGGACGGGAAGAGGACCTTCGCTCCCAGCGCCGTCAAGTCTTGCACCACCCACGGCCACAAGTGCAAGATATTCTCTCGACTGAAGTGCTTACGCTTCTCCAAGACCACCACTTGACCTCCCAGCAACGCCGTCTCCACTGCAGCACGTAGACCCACGGGACCCGCTCCAATTATACACACACGCTTCTTGGCCGCAGGTTTGCGCTTGTATACGTCCGTGTTGAAGCGCGCATCCAGTAGCTTAAAGAGCTGTTTGTGACGGAACCCCAACTTGTTGTATACACCCGACTTGATGTGGTTGTAGACGCGCCACGGCTCGTCCACCTTGACACCGTTGAGTCCACACTCAGTTAGAAGCTTATTGAAGCTCGACAGGGTCTCAATCAGGTTCTGAGCTGCATCAAACGCCTTGAACGCGCTCAACACGCCCGGGCCAGCCTTCACCTTGACATTGTCGACTGTTGCAGAAGCAGAAACCACCGGAACAGGTTCGCGCGGGATCTCTGGCCCCGGAGGCATCGCGACTCTGTGTGGTCTCTCCTGTTCATGACGCTCTTGCTCACTCTTCACCCAGTGGCCGCCCGACAATCGACGGACGACGCGGTTCGGGTGGCCGCGGTGTTTCTGAATGTCGTCACGGACGATCTGGTTGATGGACGTCAATAACGTCGAAATACGCGCGATCGACACTTCCGACAGCTCGTTCTTCTGACACGTGTGCGCGATCTGGTCCATTGTAGCCAACAGCGGCGTCATACGCGCAGACGTCGCGCTGTAGACGGCTGGCGCAGGAGCCGGCTCAGGTATTTTAGTCGCGTGGAAAGCAGCTTCGAGACTCATCTTGTCGCTCGCCTTGGAATGGAACGACGACATCAGACGACGAGCGCGCGGCGTGTTGTTATCGTCTGGTCCACGATGCAAGAACTGCGCAAAGCGACCGCCCATACCCGACGGCGTGTTAGGCGTCGGGGGTGACACATCGTCTCCCTGGGTGAAGGGCGTGCTGGTGTCCGCTTCAAGCGACGACGCGACGGATCTTGGAGACGACGCGTCACTCGGTGGACTCGAGTCCATCTCGGACGGTACACTGTCGCCGTTGCGACTACGATGGCCGTCGTCGACTACGCGATCGAGGTAATCTAATAGGTTAACCTTCCCGTAGTCGTCCACCACCGTCTCGCGACGGACAGTGGATTCGTCTACAGATTTGATAGTCGCGTCATTGCCCGATCCTTTGCGCTTGGCGTGTTCTTGTTCCTCTTCAAGCAGGAGCTGTCGCACCTTCTGACGAGCGACCTCTTTGTCTGCACGTGCCTTTTGCTTGCGTTCGGCTTCTTTAGCTACCATGTGGCTGAGTTCTAACGAGTCTACTTCATCAGGGTTGAACAACATCATACGCGACTTCTGAGGCACCACTTTGGTCACAAATTTATTGCGTGGCTCAGTAGAGACCGGTGTCGCGTGCGTCGAGTGGTGTCCGTTGCGGTGGTGGTGCTTGCCGTTCTTTTCATGGTCCAGGAACGCCTTCAATCGGTCGGTCGCGCGTGCAGAACGGTTGCTGCGCGCGTACGGGTGATTGTATCTGGGCTCGTCGTCGCTGTCGCAGACGAGCTCGTCTAGACCGGCTTCGTCCTCGCCGCCGGCGCGTTCCTCCTCCTTGTAGACGTCGTTGAGGTAGCTCTCGCCCACGTCATTAGCCAAGAAGTCGAGCAGTTTGCGACGACGGTGTGTCGCCTTCTTGGACATGTCGCCGTTCTCGGTTGGGTACGTTTTGGTCAGAAACTCGCTGAGTTTCGTGGCTTTGGCGTCCGCATCCGATGACGGACCGCCACGCCGCACAGCTTGTGACTCCTGCATGATCTCCGTGTACGCCTCGTCACTGAGGCGGTCAATGGCCTCAAGGCCACTGGCGTCGATCAGACCCTCGCCGATCCACGTCTCGCGGCGACTCATTGTGCTGCGTCTCACGTCTCCGTACTCGTGTGGCTCGGTCTCAGGTTGATCGTTGTTGTCCTCGTGCACTGTGGAAACGGATTGCACACTGCGTTTGCTGGCGACGGACGAGCGCGGTGAGAGGAACACGTCGCCACCGCCGTCCGACGAAGACGACGAATGCGTGTCAATATCCGCCATCTTGGCTGGTAAGTTCGCACGCTACGAAAGTTGCTCTCTTTCTCTCTCCACGTGCACTGTACACTGCAGAATTATTACTGACGGCGAGGAAGAGAGCTCTCCTTCCACCATGCGCGTGGCTGTGTGGTCATCGAGCCTCGGGTTCAATTATATAAAGCTTGGTGACTGAAATGACCCTGGGCCGGCTTTGTGCAGCGCGTGAGCTTTGTGTCGTTTCGATCTTCGGGACCCGCCTTGAAGAACACAAGAGCACTTTCGGCAGGGACTCAATTCGGCAGTACTGGTTGCTACCGGTATCAGCATGCTTGGTGAATAATGCAGTGCCAAAAATAAATTGCACGTCGGAGCCACGAACACTCATCAATTGCCGAGTCTGTCACGCTGGATCCTACATGTGTAGCCAGCCTTCGCTGCTCTGAGTCAGGGATATCATGGGTCGATGTCTTGTCAGTCTCGAAGCTGCAAGCCGACATTCGTAGCCAGCCATTCGGACACGCTCTTAAAGCGCAAGTTGAAGGTCGCCCCCTTTGTAATGAACATAGCAGCGAAAACGCAATGTAATTGTCGAGTTCATTTCTTAAGCAAGAGACTATGCAATCTCGTCACATGGAAATGAACCTGCAGACGGTTACCATGATACCGCCTGACGCGCTTTGCTTGGGCAGACTTGGTTCGTAGAGCCCAAATGGAATCTATTATCTGGGCGTTGTCGCATTTTGGCATGGGTGTCGTCTATGGTCACCACCATAGTATGGTGACGTGGTGTCAATTTTTTTGATTTAATGTCATCCAGGGGTATCGGATATCAATGTGCGTGTGTAATTTACCGGTGAAATTACTCGATCAATTGGCATGGCATTCGACGACAACTACAACAGCAACATCAGCTCACCTCTTGACTGCTATTATATCTTTAATTTCACCCGTGGACAGTACGATCTTTTTTTTTCGATGCAGTCGTTCCGCTGGTGTGCTTGCTGCTGTACTGGATACAAATGTCTATCGATACGACAACGTGTCAAAAACACTATTATCTGCATAATCGTAGCCAAGATTGCAGAAAAGAACTGCACAATACGTACTATCACAGATGATTGCAGCGTGAGCACTACCAATAGGAAGGCAGCACAGCGAATCCTCCCTACACCACCCGTTATTCCCCCTCGTGTATCCATCCGAAAGCTACCCAATCAGCACATGCCGATTCACAAATTATAGCCAATAGTAAGAAGGTTCAAAAGCCTAAAGTCTCTAGTAAAACTTTCTTCACCGTTAGAGCACGCAATACAATCATGCCTTCCAAGCCTACCAAGCGCCATGACTGGACGGTAGTCGCCCGAGCGTACCCTGCAGACGACGGCAATATGCTGGTGGAGACAATGAAAGCGTCGAAAATAACGAAGAGCCAGCTAACAGCATGTAACGTGTGCAATCTGGCGGCGCCCCACAAGATGCGCGTGCGTGAGCGCTGCTGCCGTGACCTGGCGAGCAAGGAAGTATCGGCAGGATACCATGTGGTTGGTACGGCAAGACCCAGGAGTGCCAAGAATTGCATCTTATCACTGTTGCAGAACGTGGAGAGCACCTAACGCCTCGTCGAGGCATCGAACCCGCCCGTATGAGCGGCGCAATGAAAGCATTTGCCACGGATCTCGCAGCTCAAGGCCTTAAGCCTTCACGAATTCGAAACGGAATGATGGGTCGCTTCGCGCTGGACAAAGAGACACTTCCTTCGCTGCAAGTTGTTCAGCGCTTTGTCAATTACTACACTCGGTCTCACCTACGGAACAACGACTACATCGACGAGGCCACGAAAGACATTTGGGATGCCGGATTTACTGGCAAGGAACATGCTGATTCCCCCTTCACGTTTTCGTGGCGTCTGACGCCGGACGGTAAGCCGTGGGTCGGCCGTGGAACAGACAAAGATCCCGTTTCTTGTAGGTATCTCTACGAAGAATCTACTGCAGAAAGTCAACCGTGATCCTGATTCCTTTATTCTGCACATGGATGCGACGTTTAAGCTGTCGCAAGCTTGGTATCCTGTGTTTGTCGTTGGTATCTCCGACAGCAATCGATCATTTCACCTACTAGCGATTTTTATTTCATCGCAACGGAAGGAAGAACACTACACTAAGGCGTTGCTCGCACTGCGTCGCGTATATTTGCAAGTCGTGGAACAGCCAATGAGGGTTTCCTACGTCATGGGTGACGCGGACGATGCGCAGTGGAATGCGGTACAGACAGTGTTTGGGGAAGACAACTCCTTGTCAACGCTAATGTGCTACTTTCACGTAGCCGCAAAGGTGTTCGAGCGTACGCGCCATCTTCCTACGGATCTCGGGCACGTGGTAATGCAAGGGCTGCAGGATATGCACTTCACCCGTGATGCGTATGATTACCTGGAAACGAAGCAGAAAGTTTTGAGTCAGTGGGGTCAATTGCTAGAGTTTGAAACATTTGTGACATACTTCACAAAGCAATGGCTTACCGGCAAGTTCGAGCAGTGGCAGTGTTTCCGATCTCCGCGAGGCTTGGCTACGACCAACAACCCCGCAGAACAGTTTAATCGGTCTCTTAAACGGGATTACACACTCCATCGCCGGCTCAAAATGGGTGTGCTTCTGGTTCGAATGTCTGCTTGCTGCAAAAATGAGTCCTTCAACACCCGTGAGTTTGCCGTCACTACATCTCCATCAACAACACTAAAGAGGAGAATGCACGAGCTTCGCCGCCAAGGTATCATATATCAGCACTTACCATCGCGCAACAGCATATCGTTCTTGTTGAACGAGACGGAGCCTTCAACTGACGTGGCGCACGTCTTCCAGCAGTCGACCACACGTGTCTACGATCCTGAGCTGAAGCGGACACGTGAGGCGCTCCCTGTGACCGCTTAGCTCAGCTACCACACGGGCCGGATGGAGCTGAAAGGAATGCCGCCAGATAGGTGGGCTATTGACGCCGCCACAGGACGTTGTCCCTGCCTGTACAACATGAAGTATGCTGTATGTGTCCACTCACTCCTAGCGATGTACGATCGAACTCACGACGGAGAAAGAGAGCGCTTTTGTTACCGCGGTCCAGGCCGTGATATTCGACAATCTGCAGGAAGGCCAATGAATAACAAGCATGCTCTAGATAATGAACGTCGTTAGTAGGCAGGTAATTCAAAACAAGAACGAGAAATAACTCTTCAGCATATATATGTACCAATACTGCAACTCGTATTCGTACATGTGCTCCTTGTATGCTGCTCTGCACTGGGGCGACGAATGGTAGCAGTACGGCCACCGTTGATTCAGCGTAACTCAGAGATGATGCTGTTTCTGTCTGTCCTTACGCTCTCCGTACCAGCAGTAGCCTAATAGTCACATCGAACAGATATTCGTCAGTACTCTAGTTACAAAAGCCGATATGCGCTACCCACCGTTTAGGGACTTACAACTGTGAGGCAGCCAACCAGGTGTTCCTCAGCTTTCTGGTCGCACTAAATGTAACATTGACGCAGGACGTCACCGAACGGATCACTAGCTGGTGACAACTCTCCTTGGCTCCTTGACCTTGACAGCACCTCCGGCTACCGGACACCGCTGTGCTAGACCGTTTGGAGCTTCCTGGATCTACGCAACAACATTTATTAAGCCACACCTATAGCAGCAGTTCCGCATAGCCGTATTGACGCACCTCGACTGTGGTGGTGGCGCCCCCTCGCCCCCTCCGTATTACTTCACCACGAACGTTTATTTCACAGGCCATGTCTGGCAAAGATCCTCTTGTGCAAGAAAGCGCTGCCTCAGTAATGCGTGGTGTCAATGGCGCCGCATATCTTGTCCTCAAGCGGTGGTGACTTGCTCTGTGTGGGGCGTTTTCTGCTGTGTGGATAGTGCTAATTTTAAGTAACAATGGTGTACCACTGGCCGCCAGTCTGGCGCTCGTTTCGCAAAGGCTTTGCGGCAAAGCACACACGTGCACTGTACTTGCTCTGCTGTAGTGCTATTATGCATTTTGTGGTGGTGGACGCTGGTTCCAGTAGTGTTTATGGTATTTTGTCTATCGATACCACCTTGCAATGTCAAAAACTAATATAGCGCACAAGTAGTACAATTGCCGGTAAAAGCCATGAGGACCACCTTGTGGAAGTGAAAGGGCTCTTATACACTAAGTGAAAGGGCTATTTGAGCTACCGGTATTTTTTATAATAATTTTGTTTGCTCCACTTTTGACTTTTTACTTTAAATAATGTTGCCACTAAATCGATATCACAATTATTAATTGATTTGTTTTTCCAATTTCAATACACTGGTTGCTACGGTATTGGTTAATTCAACTCCGGCCATGCCACCCCCGTCGCCCACGCGAGACGGGCCGAAAAAGCAGTCTGTCGAGTGCGAGGCTTCCAAGGTGAAAAGTCCCGAGCCTCGACAGCGTAGACGCAGCATGGAGGCGGTGCCGATGGAACCTCAAGAGACCATGGCGGCAACATACACCAAGAAATATCTGCAGCGTCGACGCAGTCAGGTGGACGAAGCACACAAAGAGCAGCAGCGTAGATCCAGTGGATGCAGACGAATGGAGCGCAGATGTAGCAGCTCGGATGCAGAATTTTTCACTGAACCTTTGAAAGACAATGAGTCTTTACCACCTGTTGAAAAGCAACAGGAGAATAATTGCCACGAGGAAAATGGCCACCATCACTCTGGTGATACGACAGTTGCAACTGACCTGGCTGCAACTGGGAAAGGGGTCCAAACGGAGAATGATGGTCATTTTGCCATGATTGTTCGAGACCAGAGCGTGAAAGTGACGATGACGAAGAAGCGGAAGGCTCCTTGCGGCAGGTCGACGCTTGCGCTGGCAGTTGTAGCCGGCGTTGTGACTGTCACGGTTGGCGGTGGAATTGCCATTTGTCGAATGTATCCATCGTCTCCTGCCGCAATTTCGATCAGATTCGTGGCAACAAAAACAGAGGAAATTCTCACCAGACTGCTAAGTGAGTTGCAAAGGGAAATGCGCTATCTTTCCGAACATATGGGAGAAACTTTACAGACGCAGTGGACAACATTGATGCTAAATCAAAAGTTGCGAAACACAGCGCGTGCTGCCGACGTGCTCGTTTCTTCAGGGCTGACAACAGTTGCCACTGTACACTTGACGAGCATTCTACACCAACTAAGACCCACACGTGATGCTCTAAAACTGTCGATGGAGTGGATTCAGTCACAAATGCACACAGTCTTCTCGTTGAAGCAACTGGAGTTTAGTGGCGTTAGTGGGATACTCGATCAAGCTCGCTCTGTCCTGCTCATAGCGCTGTCGTCTCTTACAGAGACACTGACGCATGGTACGGCGTGGACGCAATCCGCTTTGGACTGGACGGGATTGAAGTCCCATATGAGTGATGTGAGTCTTTCTAGTCACAAGTTTCTGGCCCCGTTAGAGACAACTCAAGCAGCGATCCAGAGTATAGCAAGAGAGCTTACAACACAAGAGTCTCAGGCCTTACAGGACGTCAAGCGCTTGGAGAACTATCGACTCACAATCGCTTCGGACACCAACGCAATACTGGCAGAAACTCGGGATTTCGCTCTCGAAAGTATTGGCAAAGTGAAAATGGCTGCTTTGGAAGCAATCGAGCGTCGCTTGAAGCTGCTGGAAGAGCGATACGCTCGATCCTTTGATCAAGCGCTGAAGGAGTACGAGCGGACGTCACAACAAGTCGAGAAAGAGGGCGGAGCTGAAATTACTGTGGAAAGCCAAGCTCAAGTTGATGCAGCGATGGCTATGAAGAGAGCTCTGACAGCGGATGATGGAAAGCCAGCGGAAGTGCCAGTTGCTGACGACTATGAGCTCTCTAGCGATGGACTTCGGGACGATGTTGCCACTGGCGGTATCGAGCTAGGAGACGTGGAGGCTGAAGAGCTGGCAGAGGCTTCAGTTGTGGCAGAGCAAGGTGCAGCTGAAGAGAGCGACAAGGAGGAGGTTGTAATCGCTCCTGAGCTGCTTAAAGAGGGCCTCATGACCATTAATCACGCAGAAGAACCGGCGCAGGAGCAAAGTTTTGAAGTCTTGGAGACTGAAGACGCTATCGAAGAGCTAGCACAGATATCGGCTGAGTTGACTGATCAAGATGCGAAGCTGTCGACTTCAGTGGATGAAATGCTGCGTCTTTCGATGTCAGCAAGCAAGGATCAAGGAGATGGTGTGGTGAAGATCGCGAAGGAAAACGTAGTGACGAATGAGCTGGAGTCAGTGGACAAGCAAGTAGAAGGCAAGCTGGAAGAAACGCTCTTCACGGAAGTCGTAGTGGACGTAGACAGCACGTTGCTGGAGATTGAGCGCACCCAAGTGGAACTGACGGAGCTGTTGGAGGCGCAGAACTTGTCAACGGTAGACGCTTCGAGACAGGAGGGAGATGGGCTACATTTAAACGTTCGAGCTGATGAGACCGACTTGGAGCATGATGTGGAGGCTGATTCGGCTGCAGCTAAAGGCACCGCGGAACGAGCTTTTGCTGCTGTGAAAACGCGGATGGCTACTCAACCAGGTCCTGAGATGGAAGGTGGTGTAGACGAAGAGAAGACTACGATCGAGTTGATGTTAACAGAGGAGCATGCTGAAGAACACAGCGATGTTTTAACGGACGACACGGAGATGGAAGTGCGGACCGAGGAGATAAAAGCTGAAGTCGTTCTTAGTGTGGAGCGAGAAAGTGAGAACGATGCTGTGGCAACTGGAAAAGAGACAGAAGAGCGTGATGTTGATGCAGTCGACGACGCTCCGTCAGGCGAGCAACCAAAGAAAGACGTTCATGTGGCTATCTCTAACGAAATCGAGGCTTTGGAGACGGTGGTGGCGAAGGAACTGGAAGAGCTGGAACAACTTGAACAGGTTCTGTTGCAGACGGAAGGCGTTCGAGTCGAAGAAGAGCTGCGAGCGATTGCGAAGGAGGAAGCGAGCTGGCTGCAAAGTGAAGAGGCTGCTCCGCAGCAAGACTCGCTGTCTGACCAACGCACCGCGACGATAGACACGAACGCGCCTGCTGATGTGAAGAGTGAAGGTCCTCCAGCGTCAACATCCCCTTTGATGCAGATATGCTTGCTCTCTTTGGTCTTCCTCGGCTTTGCAGCGTTGGCTGCGTATTTATTGATTCGATACCACAAGCCTAAAGTGGTTGCTCGATCGCCACGACGTAAGAGATGGCAACGATTAGCGGACTTGGATGACTCTGACACTGAGGAGGTAGTGTTGATGCAAGACAGCTCGGACGAAGAAGACGCAGAGGGTGCGTCTAAGGAACCTCCAGAAGAAGTGGAACTGACGTCCAGTGTCGAGTTGAAGGCAACAACGATCGAAGCTTCGGACGAGGAGGTTGATGATGGCGAGGAGACGGTGGAGACGCACGAAATTGTCGAAGAACACGAAGAACTTGTGGAGGACGAGGCTGAGTCCAAGGCAACTCGAACTGTTGTCGTTGAAAGTGTCCAGACGACGTACACGGCGGATCATCCTGCCTCGTCTAGCTCGGACACGTCGGCGGATGATAGCAGTGCCAGTACTGCCAACACTTCTGTGTCCACTCCACCGAAAGACACTCCAGACACGTCTCGACGCCCTCGTCGAAGCCGTCGCCACACGCACATGTAGGTAAACAAGCAACAAAGTATACGAACAGACTAGCAAAAACGTACATACAAAAGATGACAGGAAGAGCAGAACATCCTGACTACAATTTGAGATAAAGCAAGAACGCTTCGCCTTCTCTTCTCTACATGTAACAAAACTAGGGACTGCTAGTAGCGTCGATGTCCCGATAGTCGCTATGACGTAGCAGTTGCGGGGACTCGCTGCTTTCGGGCCGCTTGACAACTAGTTTGTAGCCGGGGCGGATCTCGCCGCGGTATCCTTTGGGAAAGTAGGCGCGGTTGTACTCGCGCATTTCGTCGTACGTCATGTCGTAGCGTTTGGCCAAGTCTTCGGGAGTGTCGCCAGGCTCCACGACGTGAATTTGTTTGGTGAGTTTCACTTCGGCGATGTTGCGTCGACTGGCCGCTTGTTGCGCCGCTAAGAGATCCGGCACGATTACTCGTTCTCCAGGCACGAGTTCTGCACGTTTGCCGACGGGGTATCGGCCACGGTTAATCTGCAGGAAATGAGAGTATGGAATGATGTAGCTCTTGCAAATGGACTCAAAGGTGTCCGTGTGAGCGACCAGGTGTGTCTTGTACCGTGCGAAGGCGGCCGATGTCCCTGTGTACGTGACTTCGTGTTCGCTTATGGCGTTTAAAGCTGAGGCCTTCGCGTCTGCGTCGCTACTAGCCACAGGATCGTCCTTCTCCATCTCGCCAGTGTTCATCAGTCGCACGTGCAGCAGTTGACCGGGACACAGCAAGCTGCGCTCACCCGTGGGGAAGTACCGGCGGTTGTCCTGGCGTAAAATCTCCTCCGTTGTGTTGTACAGTGCCGCGATGCCTCGCAGCGTCTCGCCAGAGCGCACGAGGTGCATCTGACCCCAGCCATTGTCGATGCATTCAGGTGGCGGTGGCAAAGACACGGCGTGCGCTTCCTCCACGACGAGCTGCTGGCCCGGGTAAAGCTTGACGTGCCGCTTCTTGCGGCCCAGCAGCGGATTCAGCGCCAGTAGCGCCGCCTCCGTCGTCTGCGTCTTGAGCGCTATACTGACCAGCGTGTCGCCCTCGCGGACGTGGTAGCGGAATGGCGACGGCGTTGGAGGTGGCGGCGCCAGGTCGCGCGAGTTGCTGGCGCTCGTACTGGAGCTCACGGTGCCGTACATGGCGATCCTTGGGTCTTTTGATTGGCAAAAGTTCGAATGAAAATGTGGGATTATCTTTGCCACTGCAAATGAAATGAAAAAAAAATGCAGCTGAAATTATCAGATTCTTGTTGAAACTCTTTGTTTTGCCAATATTGGTGGCAGTCTAGAATTCCGGTACGAATATTTTTAGGTGGAGCAGCATGGGTCAACGCTGCCGCGCAGTTCGTCGGCGTCAGTATCCTTGAAGATGGCAAAGCCAAGACCGACGCCAATGATCACAGCCACGAACATGAGCGTCTCGAACGTCATGATGACCAGCATGATCCAGTAGCCGAGACACAGATGCACCATGTACATGGCAGCCAGCACCACTTTGCTCCAGAGTGGCAGTCGACGTACGATGCTAAATTTGGGGGTGTCTGGCACACGACCGGGCTTCACGAACGATTCGTTGCTCGCAGCGAGGCCGTCGCTTACACTACTGGCTTGCGGGGTGGCCAGGGACACGTAGTCTGCCTGGCTGGACACGATGCCGTGGTCTCGGTACAGTCGCGTCTGGACGAACTCACGGAGCTCTCCGAATCCCTCGAGCGACATGGCCAACAGCACAACACCCAGGAAGGCGAAGGCGTATTTAACCCCCGACGAGATCACCCAGGGCTGGAACAGCAGCATCAGACACGTTGCATCACCGCCGATAGCCAGCTGGAAGCCGTTGAACATGACAGAACCCGCGCCAGAGCAGAAATCGTCGGACGAGCCTTGGGCCGCCACGTACTTGGTGGGGTTGTCGAACACCAGCTGCGCGTGTTCCTCTGAGCACGTGTATATCTTCTGTGCACCCTTAGAAATCCACGGCACGGCGTGTTTGAGCTGGTCGTAGCCCTTGCCGCACACGGGGCACTTAATGTCCGTTGCGTCCTTGTAGATCTCGTCCGTGGTGATATCGGCTTCCTCTGGAGAGCCTAGATTCGCGGCCTGTAGCGACAGATAGCACATAATTAGACGAGTTGCATAGTTAAAGGTTTAAGATGGAGCACGTACCGGGTCGTTCTGCAGCGAATCGATGTGGCCAGCCATTTCACAAGCGTAGATGTACTGGTCACCTAGAATGGAGGCATTGATGTTGGGCTTAACGTCCATGTTGCACAGCGGGCACGTGGTCTTGCCGAGATTCTGGTCGGCGTCCGCAAACAGCACCAGCAGCAGCGCCAGCAGCGGCAACAGCAATCGAGCTCTCGCCATTTCGAGAGAAAGAGTAAAAATGAGGATTTCGTAGAAGGTGAAAATTTACGTTCAGGAGTGCGCAAAGCCGGACAGATGTTGACCAGATTGTACCCCAGGTTAAAGGACCGCTCTGGGCAACGTTAGTGGCCGAAGTGTCCACGACTTGGAATCGCCAAGGTGACGATGTAAATGAGCCAAAGTGGAGGAATCCTGCTAGGATGGCTCGCCGAGCCGCTCGGAGCCAACGGCGAGACTCAGCTGCGCGCAGTTGGTTGATGCAACACGGAACGCCGCCCTCTCGCACAAGATATTATTGACACGCATTGTTGAATGAATGGTGGAGGTGATCGGTCACGAGCTCCATGACCGATTCCTCCTTCGCCGCCTCGTTGCAAAGTTGCCCTGCTCGGTGATGGATGCAACAGGAAAGCACCATCCCAGCTCCGAGAAGTATTCAAAACTCGGACGTTTGGCCACGAAAGCCATTTTTCCGAATGTGTCGTGGAATTTCAGATTTGTATGGAACCTAATCCGCCCGTCTCTGCAAAAGCAAATTTGCTCTACAGCTGAACAAGTGACGGCAGAGCTCAGTCTTCAATTCGCCCGCCTCCGAGATGCGTCCCTCTGTGCTGTTAGCCGCCGGTGCGCTGCTGGCCGCATCGGTGCCCGCGCACATCCACCACAACCACCACCACGAGCTTCATCAGCTGCACAACATGCACGCGATGCAGGTGCACCGCGACTTGGCGTCTTCGGGCGTGAGCTCCACCGACTATACGTGCCCCGTGTGTGGCATGTCCACGCTAGAAATGGGCTACGATAACCAACACTACGTGGTGATGAATCATGGCCAGAAGATCTACTCATGTGGCATGGCGCCACGCACTTTAGAACCTTACACCTTCGAAGTGACGGACACGGCCTACCTGGCCGCCAATATGGCCGAGTATATCATCAACCAGACGGACACCGACGCCTACGCTGCGTGCGCGAACGCCTGCGACGAGTGCTCAGATGGCATCAGTGACCCCGTGTCCGGTGACTCCGTCACTAGCGACAACTACGTGTACGCGTGTCTGAAAAACGGGCAGAAGATTTACTTCGCCTCGCAAGACAACAAGAACTCGTACCTTACCAGCGTCAACACCGAGCCGCGGTACTTGGTGGACAGCGTCATTTGCTCAGGTGTCGCATGCTCCGATGCCACCAACATCACAACTTTGAGCCCCGCAGCACAGAGTTTCGTGGCAGACTTATCCTCTGCCACGCCGAGTGCCACAACTGCCGCGCCCAGCGACACGACCACCGAGTCGGACACGTCTTCGCCCGACTCGGACTTCTGTTCAGGCCAGGGATCTGTCATGTTCAATGGCTTCCAGACGTCGATCCATGGATCATGTGTGATGCTGCTCTTCCAGCCCTGGGTGCTTAACAGTGGCGTCAAGTACGCGTTCGGATTCATCGGCTGTTTCCTCATCGCATTGCTGAACGAGTCGCTTGTCAAAGGACGAGAGATGGTGCGTCAACGACTGCTTGCTGCACGTAAGCTCCGCCCTCACGACAAGCTGCACAAGATGCAGTGCAAGGCGACGCTGGCCGTTCTGTACATGATTCAGATGACCATCGCGTACTTTGCCATGCTCGTAGTCATGACCTACGAAACTGGTCTCTTCGTTGCCCTTATTGTCGGATTTGGCGCTGGCTTCTTGCTCTTCAAGAACTCAGATCAGGACATCACAGAAGAGCGTGGATCGTGGCGTTTCACTGACCCGTCCACTGTGCGTATCCAAGTGGAAGGCATGTCGTGTATGAAGAACTGCGGCACGACGGTGGAGAATGCGCTGAAGAACACGCCTGGTGTCACCGACGCAGTTGTGGAGTTCGACGAGCGTGCCGCCTACGTCTCCGGCTCTGCGCAGTACGGCGACCTGGTGGCGGCCATCGAGGGCGTTGGCTTCACTGCTGAGGTCAACAATCAGGCTGGACGCAACAGCAACGCCTCTCCTCACGCGTAAGAATTTTATGCATAAGCACGCTGTTCTTAAGAAAACAGCGAAAATTCTCACTTTTATGAAATATTTGTTTTCGGATGTTGCATTGGCTGTAGTGAATGCCGCAAAGACGTTTAAGTGCAACTCAACATTTGCTAGGAAACAAGTAATGCAAAAGGCAACAACGGGAAGTATTTACGCCAAGCAGCTGACCATTCGGTGGATTCTTTGCGTTTTTAGTAGGTACCGTTCGTGTCATTTTGCAAGAGAGTGCAACGTCGACAATGTTGCAGTGATTGTTGACAGCACCTCAACATGAAAAAGTTGCCTCCAATCTCCTTACCCTTGCGCGTGTATCCGTTGATCGGTCACGTTAATTGCTTCGTAAAGGGCTCTTGGAAAGTCTCGAGCAGTTGCCGCACCTTCTTAGCGCCCACGCCCGGACAAAGCGACAGCTCCTCCATCGAAGCATTCATGAGCCCCTTCACTGTTCCGAACGTGGACAACAACGTCACTACGTCTGTCTTGTTCACCGATCGGATGGAGGTGAGGACGTCGTTGGCTTTAGGCAAGAATTCTGCCTCCACCTTCTCCTTGATTATCGTTGCCGACTTGTTCTCGTATGCTTTAAACGTCTCAAGATATCGCGCAGCCTCCAGCCAACTCCACGCGAGCACCAGTGTGAAGCCGCTTAAAAGCGCCACGCGGTTAACTTCTCGCAGCGCCACCTCATTGTCGTCCACATCGACAAAGCACAAGACGAGTTTCGTTTTATAATGCGTTGGGTCGTCCTTCCTCACACTCTGCACGCGTTCGTCTAAATAGGAATTATGTAGTAAATGATATCGCACACTGAGGAACAATACACAGCAGGAAGACTCGCCCATCACATAGTCCGGGATTAGTCCATCCCGGAACTCCAACCCCACATTGCGCACAGACTTGAGCATCGGGTTTCCCTTCTGTCGCCGATTCACGTAAATTGTGGCAGCTGCGTCTCGTGCTGGAGGTTTGTCTTCTTGTGGCGGTGGCGCTACATACGATGACGTCTTTCTTAGCTGCGCAAAAGCTTCGTTGAAAGTCAGAGAAGACGGCGTGGATCCATCTTCCTGTGGCAGGTAGCGCGGCGCCGCATCATTCCCATCGGCCACAGGAGGCAGCGTTCGCGAGTCTAATAAGCTTGGGACACTGGCGTCGGATACTGAAGCCCCTGAGGGCGGCAACGAAGAAGCTACTGTTTCGACTGCGTCGTCGCCATCGCCGGAAGCTCTTGCATCTGCAACTTTGTCTTCCATCTCAGTTATGCTTCACGATTGGTAAAAAACAACGAATGATGGCATTGGTTGAAATGAAATGCAAAATAACTCTTCATGAATGACATATAATTATTTAAAATAAATTCTTATTTAACGGTGGGCCCTGTCTCATTGGGGTAATCGTCAACTTGACACGGCAATGCCACCAATTCCAGACGAGATCCTGCGTCCAAGCGGAGAAACGTTGAGCGCATCGTACTCGCAGCTTTCGGAGATCAATGGCGATGCACACTTAGCACCAGAGCGACCTCCGTTTTCATGGGGTAAATTCCGGTCCTTCGTGGGGCCTGGGTGGCTCATGAGCATGGCTTACCTGGATCCGGGCAACCTCGAAGCAGACCTTCAAAGCGGTGCATACTCGCGCTACGAGATCCTGTACGTCACATTCTGGAGCACTGCCTCTAGGTGGACTGTATCAGGTACTAGCTGCGAGGCTGGGCTCCTGCACGGGACGTCACTTGGCTGAGCTGTGTCGAGCCGAGTATCCACGTTTCGTCACGTATGCCGTGTGGGTCATGATGGAGCTGGTGATCATCGGTTGTGACATCCAAGAGGTACTGGGTACGGCCATTGCACTACAGATCCTGTTTGGACTGCCCTTGTGGATCGGTTGCTTGATAACAGCGCTGGATACGTTCACCTTCCTCGCTATCGACCGACACGGGGACAACAAGAGTAGTCGCCTGCTCGAAACCTTCTTCATGGGGCTCATCGGAATCATGTGCGCGTGCTTCTTCGTCGATTTTACAGTCAGTAAACCTAGCGGCACTGAAATCGCCAAAGGTATTGCCATCCCACGCATTGACGACCAGAACGTGATGCAAGCTGTTGGCATGCTCGGCGCCATCATCATGCCGCATAACGTCTATCTGCACTCAGCACTTGTCCAGTCTCGCAGTCGACGTGGCGCGGGTACCGATCCTGTCAAAGAAGCCAACTTTTATTTCGGATTGGAGGCGGTTCTGGCACTATTTGTGAGTTTCCTCATCAACATGTTCGTTATTTCTGCGTTTGCCAGCAACTTTTACAGCGAGCAGTGCGACCAGCTAGCTGCAGATCCGTCGTCCGATGTCTACGGTGCAGGCATCCAAACAGCCTGTATACCCGCTGCTGCTGCGTTAGTATCAGGCAACGATATTTACAGCGCCTCAACCGGACTCGTTTGCAGCATTGAAAACGGTGTAGTAGCGGTGGCGTGCACCCGGTGCTATACGATAAAGCATATCGGGAATTATTGCCAGCAAGTTGGATTAAAGGAAGCGGGAGCAGCTGTGAGCAGCTCGCTTGGACAATACGCCAAAGTTATCTGGGCTGTCGGATTGGTCGCCTCGGGACAAGCATCGACAATGACAGGGACATACGCCGGTCAATTCGTGATGGAAGGCTTTCTGGATCTTCGTATTGCAGCGTGGAAACGCGTGGCAATTACACGCACGATGGCGCTTGGTCCTGCGCTGGTAGTTGCTCTGCTAACTGAGTACGACGGATTCCATAGTGACATTGTGAGCGAGATGATCAACGTCATGCAGAGTGTGCAACTTCCATTTGCACTGGTACCGCTGCTCACATTTACGACCAATAAGCGGCTAATGGGGCAGCACAACCGATGGATCAACTTGGCATTGATCGTCGGTACACTCGCGCTCTTCGGAGTAAATTACACGCTCGTCTTCCGGACACTGCAGCAGGGTTTCGACCTGTCGTCCAATGCCTGGGCAGCTGTGGCCGTTGTGGCCACGTTCTATGGCGCGCTGGTGCTTTATCTCATGGCCTTCCCATTGCTACACTAGGTAGGTTTGTAGCTACGTTGAAGACATCAAGACTCAAACACGATTGGTCAATATCCATCATATTCTTGAGAAATTTACATTCGTAGTCATCCCCAACTGGCAAATGCAACTCACTTGCACAAAGTATCAGCAAGTCTCGACGTGAGTGCGTTGAAGTGCGTGACCGTCATTCTCGTTTTTGCTGCATCTCGAATGGGAGAAGAAGTCGCCGCGCTGCACGTGGCGGCCGCGTCACCGCCCGCCAGCGGCGTATTGTCGCCTCGCAACGACTTTTTCGTCTCACAACGTGCCGCCACCGACTTCGAGCTGAGTCGTCTGGACACGCTGTCGCTCGAAGAGCAGGAGATCTTAGCCAACATCCAGGAGCTGCAACTGCAACTCATGCAACTCCGCGCCGAGCAGGAGGAGGACAGCGACGACGACTCGACAGATAAGCCACTCAATTCCTCTGGCAACCAGCTCATCGTCGTGTCCAACAACCTGCCAGTATTACTCGAACGTCAGCCACAAACTGGACGCTGGAAAGCCACTAAAACCACCGGCGGATTGGACAAACTCATGTGCCTTACAGGCGTGCGAGCCGAAATGAACTTCCTGTGGGTCGGCTGGGTAGGTCAGCATATCCCCAAGAGCGAACACGAGGCTGTTCGTCGCCTACTACTGCAACACAACTGCCTCCCTGTCTTCTTATCTTCCGACGTGGCGTCAAGACACACAGGCTTCTCTTCCGAAGTGTTATGGTCGCTATTCCACTACGTATCGGAGCCTGTTCCGTTCACTTTCAACACTGGCAACAGCTCGAGTTTCCATCCGACCAAAAGGTTCAACAAACAAGACTGGAGAGCGTATGAGTCAGCGAACGAGAGCTTCGCCGACGCTATAGCCGAGATGTACAACGAAGGGGACTCGGTATGGGTCCACGACTACCATCTCATGTTGCTACCGTCTCTACTACGTCAACGGATCCCTCTGTGTCGCATCGGATGGTTCTTACACACGCCATTCCCAGCTTCAGACGTATATTGTCGTCTCCCTGTACGCTCCCAGCTACTGACGGGTGTTCTACAAGCAGATCTTGTGGGTTTCCAGACGTTTGACTACGAACGTCACTTCCTTTCCACGTGTCATCGACTTTTAGGCGTCGAATGCTCACATAAAGGCGTCCGAAGTGTCTCACCCGACCGTGACCACTTCACATCGATCGGTGTGTTCCCAATTGGCATCAGTTTGGAGCCATTTGCACGTGCAGCATCCAGTATGCCCACACTGAATCGCGTGAATGAGCTACACGACAAATTCGGCGGCAAACGGATCATTCTGGGCATAGATCGACTGGATAATATCAAGGGAATACCGCACAAGATGTTGGCGATGGAAATGCTACTGGATCGATTCCCCGAGTGGCAACACAATGTTGTTCTAGTGCAAATTGGCATCTCGTCACGTTCCGGAGTGGTTGACAGCAAGTCTACAGGCGCTAACGACAACACGCGACGTGCCAGTGCCAGTAGCGCCAGTGGAGACAGCAGTGCGCTGCTTCCTCGCTCCGCCTCGTATCCTATTGTAGGCCCAACAAGCTCCACGGGCAGTGACAGCCCTATCAAGAGTCTATCGGAGTCTCCACCCAAGGCTGCGAGTCCAATGGCAGGCGGGAAGGGCAATATCGGCTACGATCCGTGTCACCAACTCGAGATGAGCTCGCACAGCTATCACAATATCGTTACGCAAGTGAACCAGATTGTCGGACGCATTAACGGCATCTTCGGGACGCTCGATTACGCTCCGATCCACTTTATCCAGCAGCAAGCAACTCCGCATGAAGAGTTGTGCGCATTGTACGACTTGGCTGACGTTTGTCTGGTGACGTCGACTCGAGATGGGATGAATCTCGTCTCGCACGAGTTCATCGTGTGTCAGCAGCATTTCATGCGCAACAAAGACGAACGGAAGAAAGCAGCGCGTGCTGCAACAAGAAAGTTGAGTAGCAGTCTCAGTTCTGACAACGCATCCGCGCCAGCGCACTCAAGAAATACCGAGAGTATGAACACTGCAGCCAAGAGTGGCGTGCTGTCTCCCATCCAATCCCCAAGACAATCGTCGGCGTCTGTGTTGACAGACTGGGAAGGCGAAGACGGAGGGCCCGGAGTGTTGGTGGTGAGCGAGTTCGCAGGCTGCTCCCAGTCTCTGAGTGGCGCTATCGTCGTGAATCCGTGGAATATTGAAGACGTCGCGTTGAGTGTTCACCAAGCGTTGAGTATGTGTCGCACGGAGCGGGAGATCCGTCAGCAGAAACTCTATCGCTACGTGTCCTCGAACACGGCGTCAGCGTGGGGGGAGCAGTTCTTGGAAGAACTTAATGAAGCAGTCGAGAAGAACCGCAAGTCGTCGACTCAACTGCCGAAACTGGACAGGAAAACCATCGTCCGAGCGTATCGAAGTGCGCAGAACCGCGTGATTATCTTGGATTATGACCGGACGTTGACACCGCAGCATTCGCTGCTGCCTCTTGCAGCCGTTGGACCGAATTTTAAGGCTCTACTTGACGCACTGAGTACGGACGAACGTAACACGGTGTTTATCGTCAGTGGACGAGAGAGGAAGTTCCTGGAGACGTGGCTTAATGGTGTACGAGTCGGTGTGGCAGCAGAAGATGGATTCTTCTATCGTATGAACTTGAGTAACACGCGCGAACATTGGAAGACGATGAGTAAGTTTCAGTATGACGTCGCTACTGCTCGATCGGGTGGTAGTACAGCGACGATGGCGGGTGTGGGAAGTGTTATTGGCAGTCTGGATGCGTCGTACTCTAGTGAAGCGCACAGTATGATGCATATGAGCATGGGGAGTCTGCCAGCGTATTCTCGACACAGCTCTGTGCCCGGATCTACAAATACAGGAGACAACACACCAGTCGCGGGGAGTATCGCGCCGACAGACGACTCATTCGGTGGCGATGATATGTCGTGGAAGGACTTAGTGCTGCCTACCATGCTCACGTTCACAGACCGAACGCCAGGAAGCTATATCGAAGACAAGGAGAGCTCGTTGACGTGGCATTATGGCGACGCGGATCCGCATTTCGGTAGCTGGCAAGCGAAGGATTTACAGATCATTTTAGAGCGACAACTCATCGGTACAGCGCTGGAAGTGTATCAGGGTCACATGTCTGTTAGTGTGGAGCACGAAGGCTGCACGAAGACGCGGGTGCTCGAAGGAATCCTCAAGCACTTGTCGCTGCCTGACCAGATCTCCAAGAAGAACGACCAAGCTGTTGACTTTGTACTCTGTGTGTGCGACGACGTGACGGATGATCAAATGTTCCAGACGTTGAATGCGCTGGTAGCCGAGTCGAATGAACGTCATGACGAGAGGAAAAGAAAAGAAGAAGAAGAGGCAGAGAACGAGCGGATCCGCAGGAATTCCATCGCGTTGAGTAGCTCTGCGTCGTCTCAGCTTCGTGCTCAGGCTGTGCCGTCTGCTGCGCACGTCTCAAAGGCGAAACCTCGCATGCCACGTCCTCGAGGAAATGGCGTGACGGATGAGTTGGACCCGACAGTTAAACTCAAAGCAGTGAGAAGACGACACCACAACGAGCAGATAATTGGGGCAGCAGCTGCAGCAGTGCGAGGACATGACGAGTATTCCACCGACGACGATGACGAGCTGGACGCTGGAGATGTAATGGATGACGACAACAAGGTGGCGTTCAGTCGCTTACAGAAGGTGCCTGTGCGTTTGGCCGAGAACGTCGAGATCTTTGCTGTTGTTGTGGGGCCGGATGTTCAACATAGCGGAGGTCGTCACGCGTGTTCGTTTGCAGTCGACTCGTTGGCTGATGTGCGTAAAGTTCTCAAAGAGTTCGTGGATGAAAGTCGCGAACGAGGAACAGCAGATGGCGGAGATGACATAGCTTCGTTATCGCCTCCGTAGGATGAATAAGTGACCGATTGACTTTATGAATGGGAGACCTTGCTCATTGTTGTGTTAGAGCAGATCGTAGAAGAATTCAAGTCCTGGAAGGCACATACAGAAATGTAATTTGATAGGTCAGCTCCAAGTAGAGAGGGTGTACAGTACGCACCTTGTCCGAGCTCCCAGATCGCAACACCCACATGTTTCTCCTTGTACAGCTTCAGACGATCCTGTAGGAACTGCAGACACGGGAAGAAAACCACGTGATGGCTGTTCGTCTCTACAGCAGTGTACGTGTGTTGACATTCCTACAGTGAGGAGCATACATGTCAGTCTCCCATCTCTCTAGTAGGGACTCCCTGTTGCGTCTTACATGTGCCGTAGCGTCCCATCGAATCTTAGAGACTTCATTGTCTGTAAGCGACTGGATGTACGTGCTCCCCGTAATGGCATCTGCGATAGAGATCAGTTAAAGCATCGGGATAGCGTACATCAGCCCTGTTACTTCTTACCGCGGTTGTCATAACCGTAGAATGGGATTCCCATCAGAACTTTCTGTCTCTCCATCGGCGACATCTTCTCCAGTGTCTTCTTCAGCCACGGATACGGCGCATTGGGCCCTGGCATACTGAAGTCGTACGCATTCATGGAGAACCGGTGCACTAGTGGAGCCAGCTCGTTGAAAATCTCGTGCGTAACTGGCAATTCACCCTAATAAACCCATAACAAGTTAGAAACACGTTAACAGCTATTCGTTATATCATCGATACCTCCTTTGAGCTTCTGGACAGCACGAGGATCAGCAGCTTATCTGCAGCTCGGAAGGCGCGACCTATGTGCTGCAGCATATCGACTGTCCCTTGCATCACTGGGATCTCGAACACCATCCCGTCAAACTTGAAGTCTTCCATCAGCTCCAGCATCTTGTCGATGATCACAGGGACGTCCTCCGAGCTGAGACGGTTGCGTTCGTAGACAATGCGAGGCACGATTTCAGGTCCTTCTCCCTGTTGATCGTCGCCTTCAACTCCGTTCTTGACGTCCAGCATCCACTGACGGTCGATATCGTGCGTGCCCGTGATGATCGGGACGTGGTCGGTGTCCTCGCGTAGTTGCAGCCACACGGGCGAGATGTACGTGAACTTGGTGCGGAATTTCTTGGCCCAGTCGTAGCCACGATTGTTGCATGGCGTCACATAGCCCAGCGTTTCGCCTCGGAACTTCTTCTCCACTTTGGTGGCCGCTCGGGCGTGTTCCTGTAGAATGAGCTTGGGTTTGAGCTTGGGTGTCACGAGGCCGCGAGTCCAGACGGAAGGCACATCTTCACTTCCGTCCGTCGGTTCGGACGCGCACTCCTGTCCGCTGCATTCCACTTCCACAAAGTCGTCGTGCTTGACGAAGTTCAGCTGCAACAGAGCGAGTTAGACACTGTCTCACATTTTACACATGGAAATATCATATTGATGGCGGGTTTTACGTTGCTGGTAGCAAAATCGAAGTCGTCGTCGTCTTCCTCCACTTCGTCGGCATCCTCGTCACCTCCCCAAGCGTAGGCGCCGCGATCCAGTGTGAATGGAAGCGTCAGAAAGCACGCAGCTAGTGTCACGAGCACCGTCGGCTTCATGGTGCTCAAAAAGTATCTGACTCGTGATTGATATCCACTGATTGGTTAAAATGAAAGCATTGTTTTAGAAACGAGTACCGGTTCCGGCTACCGGTAGCTATCGGATTGGTCTGTATTTTCAACTTTCGTAATTTTTTCTATCGTCCATGCGCTGAGTATATGAATTGTCCAGGTGGCCATCCATGTATTGTCCAGGCTGTAAAATTACCGACCTAAAAATTATAAATTACGGGCTGTGTAAAATACATGTATTATGCATGTAAAATGTCCATGCTTCTCAACGATTTTGAGGGCTACCACAGCCACTCACTTCACTTTCGATAAGCCGGAGCTTCCGGTACCGTCGTCGCTGTGCACGTCGTTGCCGCCCCCCCCCCGCTCCGGTATGTCGGATAGCAAGTCTGAAACTCCCCCACTGGAGCCTCCCGCGCCCTCTTCACTGCCGACGCCGCCATCACCGGCCTCAGAAACCGCGACAGGTCAGCCAGAGGTGCGTTGCATAACTACCTGATCTTATACGTATGTCGGTTTTGCTAACTACGTGCCCTCAACAGACTAGCTCGAGCGAAGAGGCGTCAGATGCTGCTCCTTCCGCTCCTACGAACTCTGCAGAAGGCTCTGAGAACTCCGACGAGTCGGGCACCGACAATGCGGAACGTCCATGCAGCGTCCAGGTTTCAGATTGTCCAGTGCCTGTTTGTGCCCCGGAAGCCCTTCACTCAAGCTGGGCCAACTGGGCGGTCTATTTGAAGAAGTACGCATCTTCAACGCGGCAGATCATCCGAGTTTCCATGACTGTGAGCTGCGACTTGCGGAACAAGCGGTTGACTAAAACTGTCGCTGCACGAGAAGGTCTTGACGTACCATACGTTCCGACCCAGTGGGCAACGTACCAGCGCACATATATTTGTACGCATGGGTGGTGGACGAAGGATCGGAGCACAGGTGTGCGGCCGAAGCAGTTTGTTCGTGGCACTGGGTGTCCTTTTCGGTTCGTGGTTCAAGTCGTGGAAGAGGAAGGCCAGTGGCTGCTTCGAGTGAAGAACGGGGTTTACCACCACAACCACGTCGTGGGTACCGCCCACTTCAAAACTTACGCAGAGAACCGAAAGTTGGAGGATTCTGAGACAAGGTCCACCGTGCGCGAAATGGTGAAGTACGGTCGCAAGCGCGCTCGTATTTACGAGTACCTGCTCGACAAAGGAGAAAGCCTGGTTAAGAAAGACGTGGACAACATTGTCCAGCGTGTCAAGGCCGAGTTACGAGGCGGACTCGACGATGGTGATACCTGCGCACAAGCACTTACCGAGTTTGCAGCGATGGATGGCAACGTGGCGACTGTGGACGAGACTGACGCTGGTCACTCCGGAGAAACCGACACTCCAGGAAGCGCTAGACCGCGTAAGCCCAATTTCTACCAAGTGGGATAGAGCGAGTAGCAAGAAACCGAAGTATGTTCGACAGAGCGCCCCTGTGCTGAACGACAACGCGTTCTATCTTCTCCCGAAGAAGCTGCTGGACAAGTGCCTCTCCGTTCTTCCAGTGAAGAACACAAGAGAGACTGCAATCGAGATCTTCACCCAGAGCCAGCCTTCGCAAGCTGAAAGTGATGACACGCAGTTACGTGGACAAGACCTGGAGATTCATGGACAAAACCTGGAGATAGAATGTGTTCAAATTTCAGGTATTGGAACATTTTCACGAGCCCATATTGAGGCAATGTGTTATCTGTCGACTATGAAGGACCAATGCGAGCAAGGTGTCAAATTCTGCACTTGGCTGCTTCAAAACGTGATAAGCACCATACCTTCAGTGCAACATCCTGTGTTGGAAAACATGGTAAACCAAGTGGCGAAATCGAACCCACAGAGCACAATCGTGATCGAGGTCACTGAGTGTCACTACGCGATGCTATACCGCTTGAATCCACCATCCTGGGCGAACGACGCCTTGATACATGCTTTCTGCACAAGACTGTGTGCAACAAACCCTACTGCTCGTGTTCCGGGGATTGAGAGCACGGTGACGGGGCGAAATGCCAAGGGCATGAATGAATCCCTCAAGAAAAAAGCGCAAGAGCTGGTGGGAGAGGCAGACCTCCTTATGATCCCGGTTAACGTTGGAAATTCGCACTGGTGCGGAATTGCAGTAGATGTGAAGCGAGCTCGAGTCCTTTATTATGACTCCATGAACCAGAGGACTTACAAGACCGTGCTGGATCGACTGTCCTGGGATTTGGCGAAAACCCTGAGCGACGACTATGAGGTTGTATCCATCAACGCGCCAACTCAGACGGACGGCCACAACTGTGGTTTCTTCGTAATGCTACGACTCTGGCGAATGGTAGACAATAGCAGTGCGCTGGATGTAACTCCAAAAGGTCTCACGATATTGCGCTTTCACATGCTTCAGCTAGTGCTCCATGGTAGATCTAACTAACCTATCTAATTTGAGTCTAAATACACGGAGGATATCTGACCAATGCATGGACTCGATACATGGACTATAATACTAACGTTTCCTGTGTTCGTGTTCATGCCTAATGCACGGGTGATTTATGGATTATACGTGGACTCAATACATGGACTACAAAATTGACAATGCAACTTAGTAGCAACTTGATGCGGTGAAAAACTGATCGGCGGTAAATACTTGATTTCAGTATGGATATAAATTACGCAGAACGTAATTTATGGACAACACCTGGCGTGGCTGCATGGTAAAAGCATACAGTCGGCGCATGGACAGTAGCATCTGCCTAATTTTTTTAAGGAACTCACCGGAAAATGTTATTAATAGACAAGGTCAATGCGGTGCTCGCTACGTGGATAATTTTGTCATGGACAGAGAGAATCGAGTGCTTGCTGTAGCGGGCGAGCTTGAAGCGTCTAGAAGTAAGCGAGGGCAGCCAGGTTGTGTGGCGCGTCGCGCCACCCCTGTCCCAAAGGTGCAAAAGGAAGCACTCATCCGATGTACACAAGATCCAATCATCTGATGATTCATCACGCGCTGTGAAGATGGCGCAACGTTCGATTCAAATCGGAGTGCGTGGCTCTGCACAAGTGACAGAGCTTATGGGCGCTGGGACTCCCAGCCAGTGGCTAGCAGCCACTGGCTGGGAGTGAGCCAGTGGGAGTCCCAGTGGGACACTGTGAAATGAAGATTGATTGAGATTTTACATTACGATATGCATGTATGTGAACGCGTTTCGCGAGCCGTCTTGCCACCGAGGTGGATCAACTTCCGCATGCGTCGGGTTATCTCTCATTCTCTACGTTTCTCTTTTCTCTCGGCCAGAGTCCATTAAGCGGCGCGTACGCAATAAGCGCCTCGGTTAAGTTCTTCCAGGCTGCACGATCCTGTGCACATAGGCGAAGGAGGTACAGGTCCGGGGCACGTTGAAGGCGGTGTCCTGCGGAAAGTGTCTGAAGGTCGGCATCTAAGACCGTCGGTAGCGTTAGTCCCAGTGGGACACTGTGAAATGAAGATTGATTGAGATTTTACATTACGATATTTTAATAAAAAGGCATGCTGTACTTGCAGTGCAAGTCTTGCACCGGGAACTTTACCGTCGAAAGCGCACACAATCCCAGTGCATCTCCCCATGAGCCGGTTAAACTTACCTTATCAATAAAGCACGAAGGGTTCAATGAACCCGGTTCATGGTGCAGCACAATTCATCATCTCGAGATAATTTTCGCCCTCAAAGTACATAGGGATCGTTCCTGTCGTGAGCTACAAAATGGCTGCAGGTAGAGCGAAGGCGTCGGGCCTGCCAACTCATGGAGGGGGCGTTGGCCTCTCCCTGGCGAAGTCTTGAAGGAATTCCGCACGACAAGAATGACAAAGTTTCATTTACATGTTATTAACAGTACCAGCCGAATTATGAGTTATGAAGAAGTATACCGGTACAGTAGTCCACCTTTGCATTAATACGCTGCACTTGAGTTGAACCGCGATCGGACACGACTGCAAGATCATGATAAAAATCGCCAGTCGTCACTACCAGATGAGGATCCCTTCGAGTTCCTGTAGCCGCAAAACCATCTCGAATCAGCTTACGCATCTAACATGGCTGGACGGATTTCCTGGACGTCCACCCACACTCACCCCGTCAATACGTAAAACAGTTTCTGTACTGCCCCGTGCAGCTTTACAAGCCCGTAAACTATTTGTGATATTTCTTGGACAATCTCGAGTGGACTCTAACGTCTGTAGCAAATTGGTTAGGTTTCTCCTAGGATCAACCAACCAGACCAGCCATTCTTCATTACGACGTCAAGTGGTCTCGTCAAATCCTGCACCGACGACAAGGAAGAAAGTCAGTTGACAAGTATTGAGAACACCATGTCGCTGCGTCAACGAGACTTCAGCAGCTCCGGTGTCTCTTCTCGCAATATGTTCACATGTTCGGAGGAGACCAGTTTCTTGAGCTCTTCGGGTCGAGTTTCCCACACGACGCCATCCCCGAGCATGCGCTCGTACTTCAGCTCCAGCAGCAGCAGATCCACGTTCTCCGCATCCAGAACTTCCGTTGAGGTCAAGGGAGAAGATGACGCTCTACTGGCGCTGGCTGCAAAAGCTCGTGCCAAGGTGGAACACGCCCGTGACGTCTTTGCCACTGCCGGATGGAAGGAACGAAAGGACGGCCAAGGTGTGCGTTTATTTGAGCGTAAATTGACCCCCGGCGTGTTCGATGTTGCAGCCTCCTCAGCGCTTCCTTGCAGTGCCAATGAAATTCTAGAGGTTCTCTCCAGTCACAATAGTGACGATTTCAACGCCACCATGGTGGCTCTCGCAGGCGACGCCTTCTCGTACGCAGTCACACTACGAGAGGTACCGACGTCGCGGATGAACGTCCATCTGACGACCAAGCGGATGCAGTTTTCGGGTTCCATCCCGCTGGTTTCTAGCACTAAGACGTTCGAATTCCTCGACCACGTCGAAATCAACTACAAGACACGTACCGCTGTTCGTACCTTTCAGACGCTAACACGCGACCGTGCAGGTCGATTGATAGTCGGTGGTGACGTGTTGGCTGGGTACATATTGACAGAGCAAGTGAAATCGCACCAGACGTCGGTGTTTTACTTCGGAACGCACACCATGTCCTCGGATGAAGTGAAATCCAGGGGAATTGTCAAGGCCAAGCTGAAAGTTGCTACTCTGCGTGAGGCCGCGTTGGTTAAACTTGCTATATTGATCCCAAAGATCGGAGATATCGCAATCCGGAGACGTCTGGGAGCTGAGGATACCGTGGATCCCTCCGACAACGTTGGCGATGGAAGCTGCTCGGGATGTGGCAAACTGGTGAAGGATTCACTGCTGCGAAAGAAACACGTGTGTTACATCTGTGGCCACGATACTTGTGGCTCGTGCTCCAAGTCCCAGGATATCGAGGGGCGTATTGGTGTCATTGAGCGTCTTCGTGTTTGCTGCATGTGCATCTCGGCCGCAAGGAATCGTGCGTTTGATACAGTTGACGAGACTGACGACGGACGGGTTTATCTGCTGCGTCCTACTTTAATCAGTGGGCTCAGCACCACCTCAACGACCCGTACCGCTTCAACAACACCGTCAAGTGTACGGACGCGGATACTGCCAGCTACTGCATAGAGAGAATAGGAATCTTTTGACTTTTATCTATCTAACATATCATTTTATCAGACTCACGTCATCGAAATGGCAAGTTATTATCTGACAAATGTGGTTAAGGAGTTATAGGGTGCAGCAATAGTTCGTTCCTATTGCAGACTAACAGAGCTATGATTGTACTACTGGGAAGATCGCTCCTTATAGTGCACTGGGGACTTCAACCCAAACAAGTGTAATAGCCACTAGAGCGTACGCTGTGAGTAGCATCGATCCTTCGAGCCAGTTAGACTTGCCATCCGCGATAATAGCGTAGACGATGATGATCGACATGAGGTAGATGAGGATCTCGAACTGCGGGAACGCCAATGACATTGCGCGGTCCATAAACCACCCGGAGAGCACGACGACAGGCACCACGAAGAGAGATACCTGGGTGGCGGACCCCACAGCGACGCCCATAGCCAGCTCCATCTTGTTGTTAAGTGCAACCTTAACTGCCGTTACGTGTTCCACAGCGTTACCAACAACTGGTAACAAGATAATGCCAATAAACGACTTGCTCAAGTGCATCTCGTTCGCGAAGCCGTCGATAGAGTTCACGAGGAACTGGGAGAATAGAGACACCAGTAAGGTGGCCACTAGCAGAACTGTACCACTAGCACGCTTGGATAGCGCTACAGTCTCCTCAGATTCATTTTGTTGGTCCTCGAAAAAGTCCGCGTGGGTTTTGAGTTGGAAGAAGAGAAGTTGCAGGTACATGAAGAGCAGGAAGACGGCAGCGATGCGAGAGAGTGTCAGTGTGTTGGCTACACGTTTCTCCTCCGAATCGGTATCGGAGAAGTAGAAGATATAACTGGGTAGAAGCATTGCAAAGCTGGCGAGCATGAGCAGCGACGAGTTGGCGCTGGCACCCACGGCGTTGAATGAGTTCTCCTTGTTGCGTACTCCACCAGCGATAAAAGCGCATCCCAGCACTAGTAGCAGGTTGGAGAGTACAGAGCCAATGAGCGAGCTCTGCACAACGTTGATCTCACCCGCCTTAAGTGCGAAGATCGCTACAATGACCTCGACGGCGTTGCCGAAGGTGGCGTTGACTAATCCGCCAATTGTCTCGCCTGTATGGAAGGCCAAAGACTCGGTAGCTTCACCCAACAGGTTGGCGAGAGGGATCATGATGAGGAAGTTGAAGATAAAGATCCAAAGATCGCTCCAGCCACCCAGTGAGGCCCAAATGGCCACCGGTGCCGAGAGCAACAAGAGGTTGAGCGGCTGATCCTTGATCATCGCGAAGATGGCGTGTGCGTCCTCCTTGAGCGTGGGCGTCGTGTCGTTGACATCGCTAGACGAGGACATTTGGAAGCTTGGGCTCACGTGGCCGTTGCTGCCGCTGTGGCCGTTGCCGTGTAGTAGAGACGAGTGTTCGCTCGGGTATTTGCGCTTGCCGCCCTCGGCGTCGTACGTGCGCGAGCGCCGGATGGACGCGAGAGCTTGGGCCGTGTGCATGGGGGAGGTGAGGTGCCTGGGTTCGAGCTTGTTCGGTTGTGTGACGTGCTGGAAGCCAACTTTGCCCCCTTCGCCACAGTTATGATGGATCTGCGGCGTTTTGTTTTGTAAGGAAGGGGCGTCCAAATTATATGGCGCCCACTATGCCGAATTTGTTCCGCCTTCAAGGTCGCTTGCTCGACTGCGACAGAAGGAAAGTGGGATCCGAGTCAGGGGCCGCACGCGTTATGTGCATTTTTCAAGATATCAGGTGTTGTGATTGGTAGAAACACTTTGAGGCAAAATATGATGGACAAAAATAGATCGTGCAATTGCAAACCCTACAAAATCCATCGAGCGCAGGTGCATATGCTGGTGATGACCGCGGCGTTGCAGTCACTATTTTAATTATACATGTACAATAGTAAAATCTAGGTGTCGTGTCCACCGCAGTAGTGTCGTCCTTATGCGCGTGAGAGAGCTTGTCGAAAGACGGCTCGCTTAATCGAATTCGCTGGTCATCCAAAAAATCCATTCGTTCGAGCAACGCGATCCGATTTTAGATGACTTATATCGGCTACAAGTCTTCAACGTGATAAATGCAACAAGAATCATAACTCTCCTTGGCATGCAAATTGCTAATGATGATGGTATTACGCCTTTTACGCAGTTTACATCGAGTTTCGATTCGAAACCCTTTCGAGCGCCAGACTACTGTGCAGTTTACATGTAATTGCAAGTACGTGTTGAAAGAATCTCGCAATCGAGCCTCGTTCCATAGCCCAGTGCCCTAAAGTTAATGAAGATGCGATGTGAGATTTGACTGCACGTATATTGGAATCTTGAAAGGCTGTCGGAAGAAGCACGGCAAGGAATGGTGTCCTAGCGTGAAAATTCTGAAGACCATAAAATCGCATGACAGGCAAGCACACGTAGCGTCAGCAAAAACAGTGCTGTGAGTCGTATTTAAACAAACGGCACCCGTTTGATGATAAATGCCCTCTGTGTCAATTCGCTACTCGTCACCAATTGTGGTGGAAAAGGAGAGGGAACGAGCCATTGACAGCGCTATCTCTTAATAATACTAAGCGAAGTACACGTAGAGCTCGAAACGGCGTTGGTTTTGAAAATGACAAAATGATCAGATTATCAGAGTCAGATTTAGTCCGCGAATGTTTTGGCATACTGGTACGCCCTTTCCTCAAAACACTCGTCCTCGAAGGAAACCTGTAAATTGGCATTGCAGTACTGTACAGACAGCAGAGCTCACCGCACGAGTGAAAACCAGGCTCTGTCTACAACTGACCTCGCGGACTGTGCTCCAAATCGATACAAACTCCAAGTCTATTTGCTGCGAGCGTACCATATGAAAGCGAACGTTGATTGGCCAGAATGGTGAATTGGGCTTGGAGGGCCACGACTTGACCTGGTCACACTAACTCAAGTCTTCACCTGTGTTCGGCCTAGCGAGCGCGAGCTCAGCACAGCCCCAGGCGTCTGCGCAGCCTCCGCATCAAGCGTAGCTGTTGCCAGCGTCCTAGTCTCTTCGTTGCATCGTGATCCGCCTTCTACAGACCCCAAGCAATCGTCCTATCGGTTAGCATGCTGCATCCTACCAACGCGTTTCGGGACTTGGACTCCATTAAACAAAAAGTCGCAGGTAAGATGACATATCAATAGCGATGGCAATAATGCAATTGCACCGGGCCAATCTGGAAGCATTATAACCGATTATGGGGTGCTGACATTGCTGTGCGAATACAGGCAAGCGTCCTGTCGTGTTCCTCGACTACGACGGCACTCTGTCGCCCATTGTAGACGTGCCCGATCATGCGTTTATGACGGATGCCATGCGATCGGCACTCAGCGAGCTCTCGTCCAAGTTCGTGACGGCTATTGTGACCGGCCGATCCACCGAAAAGGTGTACAACTTTGTGCAACTGGACAACCTCGTGTACGCTGGCAGCCACGGATTCGACATCAAAGGCACTAAGACACGCCCTATCAATTGCCAAGTTGCCGATCACTTCCGTCCCGAATTGGAGCAGGCACTGCATACCTTGACCGGACAGACTGCGCACATTACCGGCGCTGAGTTGGAAGACAACGGACTCGCCATCTCAGTTCACTATCGCCACGTGAGTGTCATTTGATAGCCCCTGGTAGTACGTTGTTCTCTTCGAATTAAAGCTAACACATCTGTCTGTCTTGTGTTCCACTGACCAGGTTGAGCCAGCGCTACAAAATGCCGTCGAGCAAATTGTAGACGACTACGTGGCGTATCACCCTGGCCTGACCAAAAAATTGGGTAAAATGGTATTCGAGTTGCGACCTCGGGTACGTCATATCTGGGAGCTCGAGTTAAATTTGTGTTTTAATAGTGTGTGTGTATTTGAAGGTTGACTGGGACAAAGGTCGTGCTGTGATGTTCATCCTCTCTGAGTTGGGACTAGATGCGGAGGATGTCGTGCCCTTCTACTTAGGTGATGATGTTAGTGACGAGGACGCCTTTAGCGCTCTGAATGGCCGTGGACTCGGTCAAGGTATTTCGATAATTGTACGAGACCCTGAGGCGGAGAAGGTGGATCTGCCAGGCAACCTGAAGGAGTTGCCGGTGACGAAGGCGTCATATTCTCTCCGTGACACGGCGGAGGTGCAGCAGTTTTTGACCGAACTGGCGAGACTTAAGTGTGCGTGCTGAATCCTGCACCTTAGCGCTAGAAGCCCGGGAGAACTTGAGAACTGTCGTCGAGCTGACTGCCATTCGTGACTATGTATTGCCTGGCCGAACGCTCCGACAAGTACTGTAGTTGTGGGCATCATTTACCACATAACCAAAAATGCGGTACCTTTTTCATATTTTTCACGGTCAAAACCGATCTGATAATATTTTTTGGGGGTCCAACAAACATTATTATTAATTATGGAAAATATGCCAATATTTAGACATTGCCCTGATCAATTTGAGGCTGGAAGAGCTCCACAGACAGACCACAGGTTCCTTCATCGCGATGTCGCTGCGTGTGCTCCAAGTGTCTACGCGTGCCGCCGCGGCCGCTTCCAGCAAGCGTGCGGCCTCTCGTGCCTTCTCTGAGGTGGCTAAGGAAGAGGAGGCTGCCAAGGCTGCGGCTGAAGCTGCCGAGGACAAGCTCATGGCCAAGCTGCGCGAGCAGCGATACACCGATGCCGAGCGTACCAGTGCGTTGCAATAGCGCAAGCCCTGCACAATTCTATTGTCTAGATAACACTAACGTGAAGGCTTTCCGTTTATTGCCGCAGTTCTGCCGTACCACGCGTCGGAGGCTTGCGTCCCGACCATTGAGAAGTCTCCCATGCCCTACCCGGAGGAGGCTGCCATTATGTCTGGTACGGGCGAGTGGTCCGTGGGCCGCAAGGCGAATCTCTTTAAGCCTGCGCGTAACCAAATGCAGAGCGGAATTCACCAGACTAAACACTGGGAGATCCGTTTCTCGTCCCCCCGTACATGGGAGAACCCTCTCATGGGCTGGACCAGCACGGCTGACCCGTACATTGGTCTAGTGACCAAGTTTGACACTAAGGAGGAGGCTGAGCGCTTTGCCAAGAAACAGGGATGGGAACTCGAGATCACTGAACCTGCCCCCGTTGGCGACTACTACGGCAAGATCTCGTACTCGCACAACTTCCTGCCGGAGCACGTCGAAACGCTCATCAAGCAGAAGGGCAAGAAGTCAGCCGTGCAGTTCAAGCACCCCACAGGTCGCCAAAGCAACTGGGTCAAGACCCTCAAGTACCACGGTAATGGCGTCGTGGCGCAGCACGGCGGCGAGGCCAAGGAGTAAAGTACGCACAGAATAACAGCAATGCTGTGGTGCGAAATAAGCAACTCGCTTGCCAACAAGAAAAAATCTCCTATGCTCACTTACTATTTTTTTACAATTGAAATTTAACAAAGTGATGCGAAAAAAAAACTGATATATAACCATGCAACTTAGTTCTCTTCGTGTCCTAGCAGTGCAGGTGTAGCCATCTTGGTCTAGACCGACACGTGAGATGGCTGAGCCTTGTTGGCAGTGGACGTTCCAGACACGGGAACTTGTGCTTGCTTCTGGTTATAACGCAGTTCCGGCATGGCTTCAAGATCCGCTTCCTCCTGTTGTTGCGCAGTCGTGGCAGTGCCCGTCGGCTGCATCATCGCTTGCTTGTACGCCGGGTGCTGGAGAAAAACAACCGTGAGACTCTACTACAATCCTAAGTAAAAATTCCATACAGAGTCCAACGTACCCGGTGGATGAGGAAGAAGTTGAAAAGAGCCAAGAAGAAGAAACACACGCCGAGAATCCAGCCGATCCAGCCTTGCGAGACGGCCAGGAACGCGATGCTACATAGCACAACAAAGCCACAACGTACGCGTCAGTTCACGATAAAAGAACCAATCGAGTTGCTGTTTTATCATATAACGCACCAGAGAATGTAGGACGCCTTGCCCGTGGCCGAGAACATGAAGCCAAAGTTAACCTTGACGCGGTCGGCCACAGACGGGAAGCGTTCGTGGTTCTCGATGAACGCGAGTCCAGCACTCAAGAACCTGTAGGTAGAATAACAGTATCAGTTATGGTTCTTGTGAAGCTGTAGCTGGCCGACGAGACGTACATGATGTAGATGCACACTAGGAAGTGCGAGTAACTGGGAGCTTGGAACATGCGGAAGAAGCACAAGACCCATAGGAATCCAGCAAAAACCAAGTTGACTAGCCGCATGTATCCATTAATCCGCGCGATGTCTGTGCCCGAGATGCGACGCTCTAGCTCGTCCGTGCGCTCCTTGATGGCTGGGGGCATCTGCACCTGCGAAATCTGAGTTTTAAACTGCGTAGAGATTTGGCGAAGCATCTCCGAGGCGGGGACCGGCGCCGGGCTAGTGGTAGTGCCTTCTCCACCTGCTGCGGCGGGGCCTGCAACAGTGGCCGGAGCAGGGGGAGGCACCGCAGACGTGGAGGCCGAGGGTTCCATCATGGTCGAGCAGTTTCTTCCTCAAGTGACTATGGCACCGCGACGCAAAAGGCGACACTTGGATGCTTTTTGACAGTTCCTTACAAAACACTATATGCGGAGCGATCCGTTGGGACTTTCGATCAGAATCTCAGCCGGGAAAATAGTGCTGGAGCTTCCCCACGAAGGTGACCCTAAAGGCGGTTTCGACCAATCCGAACCGTTGCTCTGATTTGAAGTACTACGATTGGTCATAATAGAACCCACTTTAACTGCCGACGCTTTTTGTCTATCAAAAGATGGACGACACCCTCAAGAAGTCCGTCGCGGCGTCCGTGGGCGCAGTCATCACGTCCTTCGTGGTGCGTGCTGTTAGTTCTGGATGAGCACGACCAATCTTCTGGTTGCCACTGACAATTAATGCTCGCGCTCCGCAGATCACACGTAAGGTGTCGCGTGAATTGGAATGTTGATCAATCGGGCATTTTACTGAGGTCAGGATACTGCTTGTGTGCCCTTACAGCGCTCGAGGTAGTGAAGACGCGCTTGCAGGTTCAAGCACCCGCTGTGGCTCATGTATCGCCAGCTGTGCAAAAGGTTAATTGTTTTAAGATACTCCATCAACCATGATTTCTAACCGTGTTTCTAAACGGCGTTTGTAAGTAGTGCCCATACTACAATTTCTCCAATGGATTAATGGATACGATGCTACCCAAGCAGCGTCTTCTAAAGCAATGCAAATGTTCACCACAGCAGATCTGCTCGCCGCCCAAGCCTGACAGCACGCTATTTACAATGGCTCGCATCGTGCGGCTTGAAGGCCCATTGGCGCTGTATGCCGGATTACCGCCCACACTGCTTACGGCTATCCCGTCAACTGCCGTGTACTTCACCTCGTACGAAATGCTGCTCCAACGCCTTAAAACAGCTTTTCCGGAGCAAAACCATGGTCTTTTGGCGATGGCATCCGGTAGCATTGCACGTGCAGCTGCGACCACGATCTTCTCTCCTTTCGAGTTGATTCGCGTCCAGATGCAAGCTGTCGCCAATGCGCATCCGTTCGCGACATACGTGCGGCTAGTATGGCAAGGCGGGGTCCGGCAGCTGTTCGCTGGTCTTGGCGCCACATTAGCAAGGGATATTCCATTCTCGGCCTTCTACTGGTACGGCATTGAGACGTCCAAGGAGTTTCTGACTGACCGAGTCCCTATCGCCGACGCCCAGACGAAGCGAGTCTCGGTCGCCTTTATCTCAGGTGTACTGGCCGGCGTATTGGCCACAATCTCCACTCACCCATTCGATGTGGTGAAAACGCGGTCGCAGCTGGCCGTATACTCAAAAGATATGGCTCCAGTGCCATCGTTTGCACAGCTGCTACGACAGGTGTGGGAATCTGAGGGCGCTCGGGGCATGACAGCCGGATTGGTGCCGCGAGTCGTTAAAGTCGCACCAGCGTGCGCCATTATGATTTCTTCGTACGAGGCCATTAAGCAGGCCTTCAACGTGGAGTAAGGTCAATACAGAACAGTAGACGCATCAATTACCACTCTCGTCAACGAAGTGGCGTTTACGAGCGTCAATGACAACCTGTATCATTCAATACAATGGAGATCGATAGGATTCCCCTCGAATGCTTCTCGCGCGCTCGATTTAGTGGCAGATCGATTTGCCTTTTTTAAAAACCTAGATAAATAACACGGCCTCATTTTACTATAAATCGACGAGGAAGCTAAGTGAGAACAACAAAAGCATTCAAAAAAGCACAATTCGTGTTCTGTTAGATAGATTCCACCACTCCCTGCTCATTCGAGCGACCAGGTACTTGACTTAATGCATGGTCGCTACTAGAAAAAGTACCGATCCATCAGCTGCTCCTACTTGACCCAAAAGCCTTATTTATACTGTAAAACTGGAAGCGCTTACAGCATAATCGAGGTGTAATAGCTACCGATGGCTCGGTATTTGTACCAATATACCAGTGAGGGTGATATCACTGCCGATAAACTTTCGAATTGATCCTTGTTGCGCTGCCCCCAATTTATCAAACCTTCATATCAGTAAAATAGTAGATCTCATCTATGTAATGTACATGTATGCTGCTTCAGCTTCATGTGGAGATCACTATTGAACGCAGTCGCAGCCTCTTCATGCGATTTCACACCTCCAAATCCACGACGTGAGTTGAAATTTCTGTCCGTGTCGTGTTTTGCTGCAGTCTCCGAAGGCTGCTGTCGGTCGCCCTTGGACATGAAATTCTGAGAGCATTTTGTTATAATAGGTCACCTGGCAAGTTGCGCGGTACATAACCAATTATGCTATCTTTGTCAAAGTAAAAACAATTTACTCAAACCGAGTAGTAACCCATCGCACACAAAGACGTTTTCAGAAGATCATGTTAATCAGGAAAAACATACATTTTGGACATGTTACCATGGCTGTCTCTAGGGCTTTTACAACAACTTCAGTACACTGTTTTATGCTAAAAAAAAGTCTTTATGAAGCTTCGACCAGTTTCGATATCGTTTACCTGTTCAAAACTCGTCCGAGTACTGAGTCAGCGAGTCCTCACTTGAATCTTCTTCTCCGCCGAGATCGTTAAGCGATGTTATCAGACGACGCTTCTTCTTCTCAGAAACGCGCCATAACATGTTCAGCCTACCAAAATAATTTTCCACGATAACCCGGTCACTAGAAATTCTGTCGTTGTTCACAAGCTCCGGACGAGTCAAGTTTCTTTCTTTTTGGGGGTGAATGCATCGCAGATATTGTGCTGTACCTTGGTATCCTTTGTCGGCGAGTATGGCCCACTGATCAGAAAACCTTTCGATCAACGGACCCTCGTCTTCGAGTTGGCTATCCCCTGGCAGCTTTAGCATTCTCCCAATGTGAAATGACTTGTTTTCTTTGAACATCGACACATCATGCGTTGCGCCTTTGGCGTGATCAGAGCAGTTGATCGCGTACCCATGGCTGTTAACCGACACCTCCACCTTCAGGCCATACAAATGATGTTTGCCACTGTAATATTTGCCGTTCTCCTGGATAGAACATCCTGGACGCCAGCTTTGCTGGAATGTGACGTCCACGGCGTACAAGGTGCAAGGGAAGTTCTTAAACGTATGCCGAGACGTTACAGCAGAGCGCATTGTGGTGAGGTCAGCTTGTGCCTCAACTTGATCCACATACAGTTTAGGTGACAAAAGCCGTATGAACTTAGTTACAGTGTCGGTAAACGAAGCAGTCGGAATTCGGAAGTTCTTGCTGAGGGTTTCCCACGTCCCTCCAGCATGCAACGTGACCAGGGTCATGAAGAAGGCGTCCTTTCCGCTGATTTTAGAGCGTCTACCTCTTCCGACGTTGTAGTTGACTACAACGTAGTCTCTCACCGACAACCAAATCTCGTTGAACTCTCTCAAAGTAAACGTTGTCATCTCCTTAATGCCAGAAGATCCACCAATGTCACGAAATTCATCGAGGAATGGAGTGTCAGTTGACTCGTTGTCAACGTCCTGCAGTACTGTTGTAGGGAAGCGGCTCAGCTCTTGTTCACGTCGAAGCTGGTCCTCACTAAATTGTGAGAGTACATTCTCTACATGCTGACGTACTTGTTGCTGAGAGCGAGCTCCCCGCCAAGGCCTTTGAAGTGTTGTATGTGAAGCACTTGATGCAGTTGACGTTCGACGCGACATTGTCCGAGTTAGACTTGGTCTTGTATGTGGGCTTGGAAAAGAGTTAGTAAATCGGCGAATGAGCCACTTTGCCAACGGGTGACTTTATTCCACGGGAGAGACTATGTTATTCCTGTAGATCCTGCCCACCGAAAAAAACACCATCCGTTCAGAGTACAACATGTTATTCCTGATGTTGACAATATTCTGTCATATGACGGGTAACCCAGCGGGTCGAACATTGTTCCCAGTAAATCATCTACTCTTTTAGAAGTTGCTAGCCAACTATCCAAGCGTTTTAATATTCGGACTCAGTCCAGATGACACTTGGCAACATTCAGTTAGACTATCTATTTCAATCAGATATTAAGATCCACGGACACAGACTCGCATTTTTAAGCTAATAAGAACATTTTTCTTTCCGTTTTAGACAGGACCGTAAAAATTAACAAGGTATTAATAATACCCCCCATCGCACCCCTCTGAAATAAATTTCAGAGTTTTTTTTGAAGATCTGGAACGGAGCCAACGAGCCAGTGAAACCTTCAAAACCTGGTTCTTCGAGGTTAAAGTAATACACATGTATTTCAGACCATGCTGAGAACTGGGAACATGTGTGAGACGTCCGAACATGTTCGTTCTTTCAACGAAACGGAAGCCGATTTCCAGAGCGAATCTAAAAGCCTAAACTTGATTCTGGACGGTGAAGATGAATAACCGACACCATCTTTGGATGAAAATACACTTGCAATCAAGTGCCTAGAATTTGGCGTTTCATGCTTCGGGTTGTTCCAGTTCGTTCCAGCTGAGGTAAGATGGCTGCTTAAATGACGTTCCAGGCCCATTGTAGTACAAATTGTACCGGTAAACTCACTTTCCCAATAATAAAAAACGTTTTCTGCTATTAATAAGTGTAGACACCTGTGACAGGGAACTGTTTCGACGCATGCTTCGCACGGAGCAGACGTACATCCATTCAAGCAGCAGCCGCGCCCACATCACCCAGATGCATCTTGACTGGAAGCGTTTTACGCCCACCACAGGCCCGCCCGCTAGCTAATGTGGGCTCGTCGCCGTAGCCATACGACGGTGCTTGGCGACTCCACAAATTGGTGATAGGGTTGCGGTTTTTCTCTGGGCTATCCCGAATCAGCTCCAAGCAGGTAGACGACCGAAGCTGAAGTATGGACTGACAGACGCGGTGTGGACAACCTATTCCAAGGGTATGTGTTGTCGCAGGATTAAAGTCAGCACGCGCCGTGGGGCAACTTCGCCTACCGCCAGCGTCAATTGGCAATTGGCGTTGTTGCTGACTGTTGGTCGGAACGAGTTCGATAGATACGCTCATAACATGATGCACGACGAGCAACAATCGTACATGAAGAAGTTGCAGAAGCCGTTCGATGCTGCGGCCAGTGGTGTCTCTACGTGCCCCACCGGCTCAAACCGCTCGGCCGAACCTGTGGCCGAAGCTGAGGTTGAGTCCTCGTCGCTGTCGCTCAGCTCTTCATGCCTCTCGTTCGCCTCACGAAGGCTGCGACGAAGACGTCTTCGCAATTTGCACGCACGGGTGCCGCTGGTCTCGGTCACGTCGCTCTTCAACCGTTTGCAGACTTCGGGTGTTGTGCTCGTAGACTGTCGTAAAGGTGCCGATTACTCGGCCGGTCACCTCCCAGGCGCGCTGCATTGCCCGCCGCTATACACGGGATCGCATCTGTCGGCGTTGAGCTGTGCTGGGCAAGTGGCCAAGACGGTGGACGACGTATTGGAGCACTCGGAGAACGCTAAGCTACGAGGGAAGCTCGAAAGGAGAGACCTCATGGAGGTCGTAGTTATCGGCGGTAACCACACGGGCGCGTCGTTCCTCTACAAGATGGACTGGGGCTACCGTTTCGCCAAGATGCTGGTGGAAGAGGGTCGTGTCTTCTCCGTTCGGTTCCTGGCTCAAGGCTTCCCAACTTTCGCCAAGAAATACAACTTCATGTTGGTGTCATCCCCTTTATGGATGGAAAACGAGGAAGAAACGAGCAAAATGCAACAGGAGCAGCCATCCGAAAGTGCGCTGTCGAGTCCAAGTTCGGCGATGCAGTTCCCTAATGAAATCGTGGATGGATTTCTCTATCTTGGCAACTTTTGGCAAGCCAATTCCGCTGAGGTCATTGACGCCTTACAAATCACTCATGTGGTTAATATGGGTGCAATCACTGACCACCGTAATACGTTCGAGCACGTGGAATACCTCGATGTTGCCATCAAGGACAACGTGGACGTCGATATCGCGCAAGAGTTCGGTCCAACTATTGAGTTTATCCAGAAGGCAGCGGCACAGAACGGACGCGTGCTTATCCACTGCGTGCAAGGCGTCTCACGCTCGTCCACGATCTGTATCTGGTACGTCATGCTCGACACCAAGTGCACTCTGTCGGCTGCCTATAGCCACGTGCTCAAGTGTCGCCCCCTGATTTTTCCTAATCGAGGATTTATGGCGCAATTAATTGCCAATGAGCGAGAACTTTACGGAGACCAGAGCGTCATGGAGGACGAACTGGAATTACTGCAAAACGGTCTACTACCGCCCATCGATCGCAGCGGCTCTGTGCTGTGCGAGACCTTCCTTCCCTAGCTTGAATGTCGACGTGGACCTGAATTGCCATTTATAAGAATTTATTATTTGTTCAACACAGGAATGTTTGCTGTTGCCAAAATCTTGTGTTTCATCTCAATGTGTGAAAAATGCGACCATTGTCATACTTGCCGTTCACGAAGCGGCCACGCCATTCCACACCGTCTTTGTCCACATACAAACCTTCTCCATGCATTCTAATAGCAAAAAAATATTTTAAGCTCCACAAATAAGACTTCAACTTCAATTTATGCCACAAACTGTTCAACGTACCGGTTGAAGTACCATCCGCCTTCGTAATGCGCTCCGTCGCCCCAACGGTAGCTCCCTACGCCATGGAACTGGTTGTTCTGGAACTCCCCGTCGTAAATTGCACCCGTTGCAAAGCTGTATACACCACGACCGTGCATTTGGTCATGGAGCCATTCACCGTCGTATCTCTCGGCTCCCGTCCAGAAGTTTCCGTGTCCTTTTCGAGCAACTTTGCCGCCGCTGACACAGTATTCTCCCTCTACACCATTCATAAGCATAAATAATTAGCTAAAAGAGAAGCTAATGGCTTCAGTAAAGTTATGTTAACGCACTGTACTTGCTGCCGTCGCTGAACGAAAAGGTGCCAGTCTTGACGGTCTCGTCGTTTTCGTCCACGGCCTGCTCTTCCTCTACCCGCACTGCGTTAGCCGAAGCTGCCGCTGCGGTCGCAGCCGCAATCGCCTTGGCATCGCCTTGTCCAACAGTTGACGCCTTTGATTTGGCTACCATGATGCCAATTTAAAGGTAAAGCCAAAAGTTCCCTTGAAACGCCGCGTCGCTTCACGTGCTCAAAAGAATTTGATCTCTGCAAAGCCATGTCGCTCCAAGACTTTGTGCACAGCTATGAGATGGAGAGCTTGCAACTGGGCATTACGGCACGTCGAGATGTGATCACACGTATGGCAGATTTCTTCCCTGCATCTGAGGACGACGGACTCAGCAGCAGTTTCCAAGCGACGTCACAAGCACTCGCTGCACGCCGCGTAAAAAACACGGACGAGATACCAGACATGGTGCTGGTTCTCGCTGGCAACACACGAGAAGGCTTCCACTACCGATTGCGCAACATCCAGCTAGTGGCGCTGGCGAATGCCTTGCATACAAGTCAAGTACCTGGCCTTGTCGGACTGGATCTACGCTACAACCACCTCGGAGAACATGAGGAAGATGTTGTGCAGATTGAAACTGACAGTAATGAGGACGAAGAAGAAGGAGAAAGAGATGAACGAGAATTCCTGCTAGATACTGCGTCCAGTCTCGGTCGACTGTTGCAACCCACACCTGCCTACGTGTGTCGGATCGCTGAGTTAAATCTACAAGGTAATCGGCTCGGTAGTGAGAGCTGTCGCCTGCTCTGTACTGCCCTTGGTGCTGCTGGAGCGGTGTCTCCTTTACGACGTCTGAATCTTAATGGGAACCCGCTTGGGTCTGCAGGTGGTCACGCCATTGCAGCGCTGCTTAGCGCTACCACTTGTCCCTTACAGGACCTCGACGTAGGCAACTCTGGTCTCGACGTCTCGAACCTCATTGCCATCGCACAGTCGCTGCGTGCTAACCGCAGTCTCAATGCACTGAATCTTGACAATCCTGTCGTTAAGACCACCGAGGAGGAAGCGATCCAGTATATTGGGAAAATGCTGCAAGTGAACCGTGTGCTTACGGATCTAAGTCTGGCTAAGCATCAAATGACCGATCACGGTGCACAGGTGCTGGCCGAGCGACTGCTGGACAACCGATCGCTACGGCGTCTTGTACTTCGCGCCAATCGGATCGGAAGTTCCGGTGCTTCAGCGCTTGCAGCGTTAATGTTGCGTCACCCAACACTTGCGGAGTTCGATCTAAGCGCTAACCGCGTTGGTGACGCTGGTGCGAAGGCCTTTGCGACGGTATTGAAAGCCAACACGGCCACACCGCTAGAGACTTTGTCACTATGTTCTACGTCACTTACTGATGAAGGTATGGCTGCACTTGCAAACGCCTGTCTAAAGCCGCAGAATCCGGAAGCAGGCTCACGACTGCGTTGTTTACTCCTGTGGGGCAACACGTTTGGCTTAAAGGCGTCGCCGCTGGTACTGGAGCTGTGCGAACCTGGAGGTCGCTTCCACACGTACGGCGTCGAGACCGACTTCCTGCCGCGTCTTGTAGATGATGAAGTGCTGGTTGCACATCAAGATACGAGGCATTTCCCCAGATTTGCATCACCCAAGCGATAAACCTTTCAACTGTAATAACGATCTCGCATAATTTATGCGACAAAATGTCAAATTCTCTTTAAACTAATACACAGGTAAATCACAAAATTTGATCGGTGAAAATGCTCAAGCACTTCCTGCGAGGGCGAGCTGCCGTGCCTGCCATACGCGCAGCGCCCACAGTCGGCAATAATGCTCAAGTAGTATGTCGTACATTGCAAGTATCTCGCGCCGCTGCAAACAAAGTTTGGATTTCATCGCATCGCTCCTTATCTCTCCACACCTCGTCAAAGCTTCATACCGCACCATCCGTCCGATGGTTTTCATCCACTGACATCTCAATAAGCGACGAATCGTTTGCGTCCTTGGCTGAGCAAGCCCACCGCGAGATTGCAGTGATACACGATGTCGTTACTACGACTCACAATGCGCAGGAGCTCGCTGAGTTGCGCCAAGAAGCCGCCGATCCGAAACTCTGGGATGACGCTAGCAACGCTGCGTCGGTGGTGCAGCGACTAGCAGCGTTGGAATCACGGGAGACTCGCGTTCACGAATTACATCGCCAGTTTCTCGACACCAAGGAGCTTTACGTACTCGCAAAAGAGGAAGAGGACGAGTCCATGCTGGGAGACTGTGTGAGTGCAATGACTGTCGTGCGAGCCGAGGCGCAGCAGCTTCGACTGGAATTCTTGCTGTCCCATGAGACTGACGCCCACTCATGTTTCCTCGAGATCCAAGCGGGAGCTGGGGGTACTGATAGCTGTGACTGGACAGCTATGCTGGCGAGGATGTACGCACGCTGGAGTGAGATGCGTGGCTTCCAAGTGCAATACGTTGACGAGTCTGTTGGCGACGAGGCTGGCTTCCGATCGGTCGTATTAAAACTAGACGGTGTGTATGCATACGGTTGGGCCAAGAACGAGGCTGGCGTTCATCGTCTTGTCCGCATCTCACCGTTTGACAGCGCCGGGAGAAGACACACGTCGTTCGCGCAAGTGCGTGTATATCCCATGGCTGCTGAAGGCCGCTCTAGCGCAGAAATCGAGGTGTCGACCAAGGATCTACGCATCGATACGTTCCGATCGTCCGGTCCTGGAGGACAACACGTCAACTCCACAGACAGCGCTATCCGCATCACCCATTTGCGTACGGGGATCGTCGTTCAAAGCCAATCTGACCGATCTCAACATCGAAACAAAGCTGAAGCGATGGCGATGTTACGTGCCAAGCTTTATCAACGGAAACTTGAAGAGGAGGCAAAAGCGAGACAGAAATTCGCTCAAGGACTTGGAGATAACGCGTGGGGTAACCAGATCCGGTCGTACGTATTACACCCGTATCAACTCGTTAAAGACCATCGCACTAATTATTCGGAAGGCAACATAGCTCAAGTACTTGACGGTGATATCGACCGGTTCATTGAGAAGATGCTGCTTCATCAAACAGCACCAAATAACCCAGATGAGGGCAGATAACATCGAAAGTTTCACTTAACAGATACATATCTGTTAACTATCTGTCGGAAACAAACGAGTGACTACCGTTGGCCCTATCTGTTGACAGAATAGCTCGAGAACCTGCAGGTCGTCTAGAAGCAGCGCTATCCGCCACACGTCGTGCGATCTCAACTAACAAGACATCGCGCTGCGTGGAAGTGATGACATGGGAGTGCTCAGCCCAATCCAACACTTCTCCAACCTTCTTCGTCACCACATCTCGCTCCTCCACAGTTCTACTTAACATGAATGCTTGTTGGAAGAACGAAAGCTCCATCTCACCTGGATTCTGCAACCACGGTTCGCCGTCTATTTGTACCGGTAATGTCTCTTTCAGTGTGATCCGCACTGACTTGGCTTGACACAAACGTACGGCTTTTGACAATCCCACTTGCATTTGTCCGAGATGTAGAGTCCCATACACTGCGACAACATCCAACAATCCGTCGTGAGGAGATGAAGGACCGAAGCGAGTACCGGTATCCAAGCTATCAATACTACTGGACCGACTACGATCATCGTCATCTGTCTCACTCGCCGAGTCGGAGTCTTCATTGTCAGATTCCACATCATCATGCCAAAGTTTCGAGCCACCACCATAACTGTTAATGTTAAGTAAAATGACACCTTCGGTACCCACTGGAAGAGGGATACGCTTTCCGTCACAAACAAGAATTATCTTCTCCGGTAAACCAGCACACGTACGAGCCAGGAAATTCTTGGCTCCAAATTGACTGTACCAGAGTTTATTCACAAACTGACTCATAAATAATCCAGGCGAACGTTCTCGTTGTTCGTGGAACTCCAACGCCACTTGGGCATCCACACCCACACCCACGTAATTATTCAATACAACCCGCTTCTGAGAGTCTCCAATGTTCACTTGCCATCGGTCCAGAAGACTCACATGGGCTGCTTCCACTTCGCTGAGTATTTCACTGACATCTGTGGGCGCTGAAAATCCAGCTCCCCAACCAAGCACACGTGCCAAGTCATTACCGGTTCCTAACGGTAATACCGCGATAGGAGGCTGCCTCTGAGCTCCGATCTCGTCCAACGCACCAAGTACCCACCCCACAGTTCCGTCACCTCCACATACTAAAATGCGAAGTCTCGGGAGGCCAATAAACCTACGTAAAGGTTCAATGGGGCTTTGATGCGATAAATCGTGGACTTGTAAGGGGTTCAGCCACATTCTCACTTGACGCAGAACATGAAGCCCCATCTTGCCACCACTGCGACTGTTAATAAAGACCAATAGCGGCGTGGTTTCCTTAGAGGTCTCCACCAGATCATACGGAAGTCCGTCCGAGCCAGAGACGACGCTGGATGCGGCTACGAGTGCATTTTCCCATCCAGAACTGCGGAAGTTGCTTGTAGGTGGAGCATGGGCGTCGGTAGCGCCACTGGGGCGTCGTAGACGAATATTTGACATCTTGGATACTGCACTACGTACTGAATTAAGTGCACGTTGTGACTTGCTGGCGATGGAGACTGGTTCGTGTAAGATTACGCATGAAGGAGGTAAGATGAGGCTCGCATGTCTACCGAGGTCGCAACGACGTAGTAGTGGAGGCTTGTGGGTACGAGCTAGAGCCTGTTGGAAGCATTCTTCGTGTACTCGAACGTGACACCAGGAGCATTTAAGACCGGACAGTGCTAAGATACTGCCGCAGAATAAACCACATAGTGAACACGAATCCATCGGGTCGATGTTGCCTTTGATCCACATGTGACGTTGCTGTTGAGTGACCACTTTGTCATCTGAAGCTACCAAAGTAGACGGTGGCAGTACCCCAGGAGCTCTACAGGAGCAAGATGATGATAGAGACGATTCGGAAGTAGATAAGGATCCGTTTACGCTTTTGAAGCGCATTGTGGTGGCTGCACATTGCGCGTGTGCGTACATGCCACAGATGTCGCACTTGACCACGTAGCTCCGAATACCATAAACGATAGCTTCGCACACGTTGCACCATTGCGGACTGTAATCAAATAGAGCATTACAATAATTAGTTCAATAGTGAAGGCAATTGTACAGTGAGGACAACAGCAGACACACCCGGCAAGGTTTCCTGGTCTCCATTGGTGTTGGCCGATGACGTACGGACCGTCGCGGAAGCTGCGCCACGTGAGGAAGAAGAGGAATTTCCGTACACAGAGGAAGACGCTGAGGCTTAGCACTAGACCCACGAAGGTATAGCCCACGGAGTTGAAGAGCGCCACGGCCTCAGGCGGCAACGAAGGCTCAAGAATCGATTCCATAAGTTACGTGCTTTGACGAAAAGTCACTCTCTTCTCAGAAGTAAGAGTGTGGACCACATTAAGCGCAACATTAGCTGTTGACACTCTCCCACTTCATATCGGTGATCTTCTCGACTTCGAACAGCTCGTCTGCCAGTCAGATCAACCAATCAAAACGCAGCAAGAAAAGTATCTTTTTGCTAAAACGTTTCTTCACGAGGTTTAAACGCTAATATTCATCGATACTTACGACAGCTTCTTGGCCACGCCGGCGAAGGATTCGCCCTGAGCTTTCGCCACGTCCAGCTCAAGCTTGCTAGGTTGGCGGGAGCCGTCGCCGCCTGCGATGGTGCCAGCGCCCCACGGAGATCCACCGTGGATCTCGTCCAAGTTGAAGAGGAGCGGGCTGCGGTAGCCAAGCGGCACGAACGACATGCCCTGGTGGGTGAGGAAAGTCACAGCGGTGAAGGCCGTGGTCTCCTGGCCGCCGCCGAGAGTACCAGTGCTGAAGAAGATGCCAGCAGGCTTGCCCACCAGCGCACCAGCAGCCCAGAGGCCTCCGCAAGCGTCGAACAGGGCCTTGACCTGGGCCGGGAAAGAACCAAAGCGCGTGGGAATGCCGAATAGTACGCCGTCCGCGTTCTTGATGGTGTCGGGCGTGGCGACAGGATGATCCTTCTTAGGCGGCGCGTGCATCTTGGTCAGGATCTCCTCCGAGAGAGTCTCCTGCACCTGGTAGATCTCGGCAGTGACGCCGTCCACGGACTCGACGCCCTTCTTGATGGACTCGGCCATCGTTGCGATGTGGCCGTAGGTAGAGTAGTAGATGATAGCGATCTTGGTCATCTTGTCAGGGTTGCTTGTGCTCGACGGAGGAAAATGAAGAGTGAACGGTCTGGAGACTGACGTGACGTCAATAGGGTCCAAGCGGAAATCAGAGGTACATGTACAAAATTACCTCTCTCTTTTATCTGATTTATCAAATGGGATTTGCTTTGAGATCTTCATGCAAATCAAACGACACACTTCTTCTAGCTAGAATTGAGTCAAGCTTGTCATTGATTAGTTGGGTTTTCGACTGCTAAAACGGAGTTCTAAATCTCACTTGAAGCTGATAAAAAAAGATCAACGGTACGAACGGCGTTGCGTAGTGGAGAAGACCGAGACGCCCTTCTTGCCTGCCTTCTTCTTGGCACCCTTGCCGGAGCCCCAAGCCACTGCAGGAGGACTAGTCGACGTGTTCCCCCACGCAGACGGCGAGCCGAACGCTATGGGATCCGTAACATGCGGTCTGGGCTCAATTGGAGCAGCTCCTCCAAGCGCGGGGAAGTATCCCGAGTTCTCCGTCACTCTAGCGAACGATTGCTCCTCGTCCGCCTCTGTATGCTCCGCTTCAAGCTCAACACTCGTGTTACTCAGATTGAATTCCTCCAGCGACTCAGCCAGCGCTTGCTCGTAAGGCGACGGCCACATCATCCCTTCTTGCTCTATAGAAAAGGCGTCTGCGTTCCTCTTAAAGATCGGAGACGCAGGAGTCGGCGCACTCTGCTTGTGTTTATGTTTCCTCTGCTTAGCGCGTTTCTTAAGGTCATTGCGGAACGCATTAAGAGTCGACGACGAGAGGTGCGACGTCAGATCGAGTTCGCAAATGTAGAAATCGCAGAACCGCGGCAAGTGACTCAAGAAGCGGTAACGTTTCTGTGCTTCTTCGTCCAGGACCACGTGCTCGATATCCAGTATTTTCCCGTGAATACGTTCCGGTAACATGCGATAGCGATCCACCGGAAGCAGCTCCGAGCTCACAGACGAACTCTCAGTCCACGCAGTCAACTGAGTGTCTTCCCCATGTTCTTGATGTTCGTCCGAGTATTCCTTCATCAAACACTTCATGTTTAAAGGATGTAGAACCACGTACGTTCCATCCGCGATCTGGTAGAACGAGTACGTGTCTCCACTGTCGCTGTCCTTGGGTGTGTTCTTCTTCCCAGTAGTCGAGTTGTTCGTACTGTTAGCTTGGCGATAAGTGCCGTGACTGAAGTCGTCACTCTTGGCCAAGCGTCCAGATGTGTTCCGCATGGCTTCTTCCACAAAAGGGAGGTTGTCTACGTCGCCACTACTGCGGAATTCCGTGTCCATTGACTGGAGATCGCGCATCTCCGAGTACAAGAGTTCCCGTAAATATTCAAGCGTCGCCTCCAAGATACGTGAGTATATCGCATCAGCATCGTCCACATTCGGCAGTTTCCGAGAGCGTTTACGTGCAGCAAAAGCAGCAGCTTCGGGAGAAGACTGAGTGGCATGAGAAGACGCAGCATGTTCACTCTTGTCTTCTGCTGTCGGGAGTACACGGAGCTGAGGGAACATGCTGGACTTGGGACGTTCCAAGAATTGGAAAGTGACGTCGCTGCTTACGTGGGGAGGGATTTGCAGTTGTTGGAGCTGTACACTGCGTAAATGTCCCTTTTGAACAGACTCAAAGCACATGGGACAGCGACGCCAGTATTTCTCCGACATTGACAAATACCGTAGAATACACGGCCCAGCTACATACATATCAAAGAAATTAGCATACTGGAACTGACGATCACTCATGGAGAATTCGACATACCAGAAGACGTGGCCCACATTTGGTGATTTTCGGTGCTCGAAACGTGTCCATGCAGATCGGACAAGTCTGGGGACTTCCGACGTCATACCACAGTAAAACCTGCTCGACCGATGACCCTGCACATTATAATCGACGAGTATGTTAGTTACAAGCGTTAATTGCAACGATAAATTAAGAAAGACATTACATTCAGTGAGAGCTTCAAGATCCCACGTCGGTACGATGGTATCACGGTCAAGTGGAGCTATCACGAATCGGTAGCTAATTGCACGCAAACACAGTATTAGCAAGCAAACACAGTGATTTAAATAGATGTATCAGCTCTCAAACGCACTTGGCATGGAGGTACTCGCTCTGAGTGCGTGGTGTCGAGCTTTTCGTCTTCTTCTGGTGATGGTGCACCTGGCGCTCACGTTCAGGCATGGAGAAATTGAGCAGATGATTGGCGGATACTCCGTTACGCGTGACTCGCGCCTCGTAGTCCATGTTCTTCTTCTGCAGATAATAAACCACCCACGAATGAGTGAGCTCAGCACGATCCACACGCGTCGACAGTTTTCACTGTACCTGCTCCCGACGGGGGCCACGACGGCTGGAGCCGCCATTACTGCTGTTGCGACTACTGTTATTTCTACTATTATCCACGTGACAGACGTTAGCGACCTCGTTCATCGTCAGTAGGTCTCGATTAATACTAGAAACGCACCTCATTATTGTGGGCAGTAGGGTGGCAAATTAAATAGATATGGAGTTATGTACAATAGACACACGAGAAGGAGACGATGGGGAAGACGAAGCGAAGGACGAGAAGCGGGGTGAGGGGCTGGGAAGGGCCAGCAAGGAATACGGCGTCGGCGAAGATGTCGTTCGATGCCGAAGACTGGTGAAGTGACGTGTGAGATTCAATCCTCGCGATTTCCACCAATGGAAGAGCTTCAGTTAGTGCGTTTCGTGGTGTTTGATACACAAATCGAGATGGCGGAGACCAGGGAGGTGCTGCGCATGTACCGACGTATCCTCAAGCTGGCGCAACGCTACCCAAGCATCAAGCGCGAGTCGATTATTCGTGACATTAAGACAGAATTCCATGCTAACAAAGACCTCACAGACGCGCAGAAGATCCGTGAAGAGCTGGCGTCAGTACGCGCAGGAATTACAGAACTGTCCATGTATGCCAGTCTGCATCCATCGCTGCCCAACTGGAGCGTCGAGGTCGGGCGGGATGCGATTCATCCACCGCCGATGCATGGAGGTGTAAAGACAAAGGTTGTCAGTGCTGATAAGAAGGAGTGAGCACTTAATAAGCTTTAAAGTTAGCGTTGAATTATGTTGTTTCACTGTTTGCTGCTGCTTTGAATGGGTGGACAGAGTGTACAGCCTTCGCAGCATTGTTCACAAACAGGACCAAGCTGTGTCTGCGGGATAAGGATTAAGTCGCCCATTAGCTTAGACGTCGTCATGTTTAAGTACTGACTGATAGGACAGTCCTCGTCGGCGGCCTGAACAATTATAAGAGCATGCTTGAGACGAAGGAATCCTGCAAGAGTCAATCATTTCAGACTCACCGCAATGACATGTGGAACACTTTCACTCTCGTCCTTGAAGTGACCAAACCAGTAGGTTTGCATAGCGTTAGGTGGCCACTTGTGCGGGTTCGAAGACGTCGCGACGAGTGCCAGCACTTCCTGGAACATGATGCTGCGTCGGATCACGTCGTTGATCTGTACAAGCTCGATGCGCACTCGCAGCTGAGTGAACGTCACCGTGGCAGCCTCCTTATCATCCAAGTTTAGCGTGCCCACAACAGGCAGCAACCCACCCTACAGCGTCACGGTTGATTAACCGTATAACGCGCTTTGTTAAGTACAGTAACTTCAACAGCGCACCTCAATGGTACCGACGACATACGAGTTCTGCTTCCTTGGGTCGGATGGGAACGTAAACACACGGACCTTCACTCGAACCATCTTTAAAAAAAATAAACTTAAGAGTCACTCGAATATGTTTTTTTTTCGTTACTGAAACCAACTAACGTCAATGAATGGACCAAGTACAGAAGTGTACTCCGTTAAAGATAAAATACGTGCATTACTTAGAAGGAGTCTTTGGCGAGTTCCCATTTTTCTTAAAAGTACACAATAGTGTTCACGTTTTTGCTGTCCACATAAATATTGAAACAGGACAGAAGTTGCTGCTTGATCCCTGTGCATGGTGTCGGCAAGAAGACACTTGAGACGCTTCTGAATCTTCTCATCTGCTCCAGTCACGAACGTCCGCTCGAGTTCGTTCGCTTGTGTGTTGATGACTACTTAGATGTAGCACCATCCGGAGCGTTCGAAGGCAGTCGAAGGATCCGCTTTCTCCAGCTTGGACTGCGTCGACATGCCAAAGTGCTTCTCGGAAGGCACGTTGCCGGTCATCGGGCGGGACATCACGTTCTTAAGCTGGTCGAGCATATTGTAGAGGTTGGTGGTTTGTAAATCGGAGAAAGCTTGGCTTCAGTCGATGGACGAGATGCTAACAACGACGCAAGTTTGGAACTGAGCAATGGCAGAACTTGCCATTGCGTGCATGCGCGGCGGAAACCAATCGTCGACGAGGCAACGAGAACCGCTTGTTTCACCTGTGTAATATTATAATTTGCGCACGTCACTGCGGGTTCTTCTCTTGCCAGCTGCTTTTGGCTTTGGTCATATCCGATACCCTGTATAAGACGATTCTTGAAGCTGAGACTGAAATGCTGACGCCGCCTCGTCGATGTGTGGAATTCGACTCGCCGAGGTCACAGATCTCCACTGAGGCGCAGCACATTCAACGTCGCTGCTTGCAACGCAATTCTAATAATACATGTAGGTGCGTTCTTTTAAAAGCAAGCTTCCAGAGAAATATGCTCCCAGATACGCGTTGGAATTCTGGTTTGTTTCGGCAGCTTCAAGCACATTGTGTTTTTACGTGCATCTGAATAAGGCCGTTATGCTACATTCATCCAAATACGAGGCAATGGACGCCTTCCAAAAATGGAGAAATCACCCGGCATAACTGCAGCAGGTATGTCGGGGCTTAACGACCTCTATGCCAACATATCTATTTCTTGGCTCACCAAAAATATAGTAAGAGAGGTTGCTCTGGTCGATGTAGAGTGTCCCCTACGTGCGATTGCACTTGAGTTAGTTATTCATTTTACGTTCTGGGGCTTTTAAAACGGAACAAAAACTCAACAAATCTTTTTGGATTCCGCTTGAGGTTCGCCACTTTCCCTTTTTGGAAGCCATCGTGGGCAAGATGCGCGAGGAAGACGAAGACAGTGACGTTCTACTGCTATTGTGTGATGAGTACTTGAGGCGCGAGGCAAACCTGGGCAGTGTCCGCCGTGAAATACACGAGGCCTTGATGGAGAGCACATGGCGAGCTGCAATGCGCACTCGTCATTACTTGACGGTGGGCTGTTTGGATGCGCCCTGTGTTGCCGCGTGGATGGCTCTCTACAGGAACGGCGTGGACTCAAACTTTCTGAATGCTACTAGTCTGACCAGGTACGTTACGGATGTCCGGTGTGTTATCGGGGGGGGGAGATCTAATTATATACCGTCACGTACTACACAGAGCTGCATTCAAGCACTTACTGCGCCGGTTTGCGCGCTACTACTACATCCCTCCAGCCAGAAGCAGAGGACGGCCGCCAAAATTGCGCTACCATCATCAGGCTCTAGGTCTCGTTCTCTGCTTCTACGTCGGGTCGATGGAAAACGGAACGCTGAGCATGTTGTTTGGGGTGCCTCCGAGCACTTTATCTCGGACGCTGCGCAAAGCCGAAGAGGCGCTGTCGTGTGCACTTCGGGATTTCTCCCCAGCGCGGATTTCATGGCCGTCACCTTCTCGCCAGAGAGAGCTTGCCAGCTTGGTGAACGCACGCGAGCCGTTGCTGGAGCATACGTTCGGGTTTATCGATGGAAAGAACTTCCGTGTAAGTACGACGTTGGATGCCTTGTAATATCTCTTGACTTGTAACGTGATGCTGTTACTATTTACGTTTGCAGGTGCAGCAGCCTTCTAGCTCCGACCTTCAAAACGCAATGTACAATGGATGGCTACACTCGGTTCTAGTTACGGGTACTATTTGTTTTGCCGCAGACGGCTGCATTATCTGGGCCAAGCATAATTGCCCTGGATCCTGGAACGATTCAGATACGTCTCTTGGTTTCCGCATGAAACTTCTGGATCCTGTGTATTGCCCTGACGAACGCATGAACGTTGTGTCAGACTCCGCCTTCCCGTGCTCCACGGCAATGACAGGCAGGATCCTGACTCCGCTGAAAGACGGAGATCTCGAGAGAATTGAACCGTCGCTTCGGAGTTCAGCGCGGACGCTGCACAACGCCATCACTTCGGTGAGGCAGGCTGCAGAGTGGGGAATGGGCAGCGTGCAGAAGGTCTATAGTCGCCTTAATGTGCCGCTACCCTACGATCCGAATCTCCGTGGTCTAAGGCTCAACAACATATTCCGTATGGCGAATTACCGCGTGCGGGCGGTGGGTATCTCGGAGATACGAACAACGTTTATGGGAGCGATGGAGATGACGTTGTAGCTCCAGCTGGGTGGTGGGGATTGGGAGAACTTGGATATGTTCATTTGCATGACTAGCTTTTACCCAAGAACGAATACAAGTGCGGTTATCGGACATTTTCAGCCGTGTCGGTGGTTGCTTGGCTCGCTACGGAGGGCTGGTTTCAAAATGCAACGCTACAAAATACACTTCCTCCCTCTCGGTCCATTCCCGACGGGTGCTTTCGGTTCTGCGAATCTGATCTCTTCACTCCTTCTTCACCAGAGCACTGATGAAGAACATTAGTTCCTGGGAGTGCGCACGGGCCTCCTCTTTATCGCGGCGAGCTCGTTCCTCCGTCTCCAGCTTCTCTTGCCGATGGCGTTCTTCGGCCTCCAGCTTCTCGGCGCGGTAACGCGCCTCGCGCGCCATGGCTTCATCGCGGCGACGCTGCTCTTCTTCCGCCCGGCGAGCTTCACCCCTACGTTCGCTATCCTCACGCATGAGGATCATCAGCTCGACAATATTTGTACCCATGGCCCCGGACGAGCTTTCTAGGTCACCCAAGCGCTTCTTCAGCTGTGTGGCCGCCTTGATAGCCTTCGCCCGCTTCACCTTGGCGTAACTCGCCTCGTGAAGGTCTTGGTCGTCGTCGGCATCTCGCTTGCGGCCAATGGTTCCACGAAACTCGGCAAGATTGCCCCCTCCAAGGCGGTTGGAGTAGCTAAGATAGCGCGTCGATTCCGCAGCACGGCGCGAACGATCGGCTGAGCTCTGCTCTTCGAGGACCGCAGTTGAGGTTGTGTTTTGCGATTGACTGGGCTTCGGTAGACCAGCAGAGCGAAGCTCGCGTTGAGTGGATCGGTCGGGCCCAGATGATGACCTCGGAGTGCTGGCGAATGCCTCCAACCCGTCATGAACAGCGGCAGACTCGAGGATCTCGGCGAAGCTACTGGCTGCGTCCGTGATGTTGATACCCGGCTCGTTGGGCAAACTGGGCAAACTGCTGGATCCCTCACGGTGAGGAGTATCGGTGTTGGAGAGGCTTCCACGGGCAGAGTCAGTCGTGTTGCTCACTGAGCTGGAGTCGTTGCCGATCCCGTCGTCTCCATCAAAGTTAAAGGAGAAATCTGGGTGCTGCTCACCCTCTTTCTCCTGTTGGTCATCTACGTCGGCTCCGTCGTCCATCTCCTCAACACTCGCCTTATCGTCGATACTTTGCTTGAGCTGTTTAGCTTCCTTCACGTGGGGAGGCATGTCAGCGACTCCCGTGGGCTTACGGATACTGTACAGCATCTTGAACTTGCGCCGGAGACTCTCGTAGTCGCGCTCGCCAATGCCCCGACCGCGGTTCGAGTTGTACATGCTGGCAAGACGCTCCCATTCGTCCTTACCAAGCGGCAAGAACTTAGCAACAAGACTCAGCAGGCGTTGCACCTCCGTGAACTTGTAGTTGGTGGATCCAGTTAGTTTAGCCATCTATCATGAATTAAACAGCAATTGATGAGACGTCAGTACGAAGTAGAGGAAGCAATGAAGAGATTGGCAGCGTACCGGGACGAAGTGAGCGCAAGAGGCGATCGAAGACAAACACTTGGTCGGGAACGGGGCTTGGACTTGCTCGGATGGGAGTAAAACCAAAAATGAGACTTCGGGGACGTCGTTCGCTGTGTCTGGAGGCCGCACTGTGGCAGCGCGCCCTAGGACGCGTGAGTAGCTAGCTATCACAAGGGTTCGCGCCGAAACGAGCGCGCGCTAACAAAGATCTACGAGCTCACGAACCATACAGTATGGAGTCGCGTTTTGGCGCGAAACCCGTGCTTGCACAGCTTCAACGTTGACGCTAAGCTTCGATATGTGAGGGAACCAGCTTTACTTCAACGTCCAAGTAGCATATCGAAGATGAGCATTTGTCTTTACAGTAGGTTTGTATGCACGGGCTACCTACACTCATCACGTCTCCTGACAGCACGTCGGCTACGGATCGCTCTGGTCCTGGATCTCACGATGACGACAGGAGGCGAGACCACAGCGGCACACGAACCAAAGATCACCGCCATAGTCAACGGTGATCTCCTCTCCTTCACGTACGATCTCTGTAGTGGCGACAATAACCGTGGCGCGGTGTCCGTTCGCGACCTCGACAAACTGAGCGACCGGTGAACACGAGTGGTTCACAAAACGCATCAATCCACCCATTTCAGCTGCGTTGATGGCGACACGAATCGGGTGGCTTGGCCTCTTCGGTCGTTGGGTCATCACCAACCGGAATCCTTCGTTCCGTGGGCGACGTGCTGGATCCATGCTGACGTGCTCGAACTCGCCTAAGTACTGACCCAACACCTCGCCTGCATCAATGTCCTCAGCAGCGACTACAGATAACTGGAGCGTACGCGTGTTTCTCGCCAAGTACACCTTGGTTGATTCCTCCAGACTGTTCCCGCACTTGGCGTCGTATGGACAGCAGCTTGGGGTACAGTACAGCTGCACCAGCGAGTTCCTGCACGCCCCGACACGGCATGGCTCCGGACAGTCACACCAGCCGTAATGGGGCACTCTTGGGAATACCAACCCGGTCGGGTTGTACTGAGTACGGAGGTGAACAACACGTACCGGCCAGTCCGCTGGTACGAAGCGGTCCCGAGAGCGCTTTTCACGCGCACATGGTGGTGGTTGTGACGACTTAGGACTGGTCCTCATCAGCCCTCGAGGGTTCAGCGACGGAGAGGCAGCTTCACGACGGTGATCCTGACGTCGGTGATAGGGTTGAGCAGCTTCTCGACGCTCTCTCCGGGAACTACGACGATCACGCAGGGGGATCCGTGGCAGAGAGCGAGGAAGCGATGCTGGCGGTGTCTCCAGTAGCACTGGAGATGACGTCGTCGGACTGTGCGGCGGCCGCGAGTATGGCGGTGACGCTAGGGCCACCACTTCATCCGCACGCGGTGGAGTCACTTCAGGCTTCGGTTTTCGCGGCGGTGATAGCATCCCTGTAGAGCTGTAGCCATACTGCTCGCTAATAGTGCTCGATTGCGACAGGTTTGGAGGAGCGTTTTCATCCTCGGTCGACGAGTCGGCGATGCGCCGCCCGCTCCAGTATGAAGCCGAGTGAACCATGCTCTGAAAGTACAAAGATCGTCAGCAAAGACTTAATGTAAGGCTTAGTGAACGTACCTTCTCAACAGCAGAGGCGCTTTGCTCCCAGCGGCCGATTTTCCAAAGTGAATGCTTCTTCAACTTGGCGCAAAAAATGAGATATGCCAGATACATGCAGTAGGAGTGATTGTGGATTGGGTCAGAGCGATGGTCAGCATTTTCAATACAAAATCAAAGATCTAGCCTTAAGATGGCTACAGAGATTAAACCTAGGGGTAGGGAAGGTTATGGAGACGACCTCTACGCCTCCGCCGGTTTATTCGACGATATGCACTTGACATACCTGCTGCAGTTATGTTCGGGTGGTTTCTCCATTTTTGGAAGGCGTCCAATACCTAATAGGTCAAAACAAGAGACTCAAAGAGCCTGTTGGTAGGTGCACACATTATACCGGCCAAATTTGCGCATGTCTAGGGCTGTATCAAGAATTATGATTCACAGAGTGAAACTTGTAATCGGCAGCAGGTTGACGAGTGTGCAAGACTCCGCATTCTGTAATTGTAGAAATTATGATATGACTCTCATTCTCAACTTAAATGGCGGCTTGCACAAGAAAAACTGTCCATGTTAATTGTGCAACCCGCAACTTCACACCAACACCACTCCATTCAAATGGCAATGGAATGCGGGAAGTTTTGTGGACAAGCTTGCGATAACAAGCTCGTCCACACTCCCCCAGCAACGGATGACGAGTTGTATTGACGACCACCGAAACTCAAACCGGTTCCATTTAGCCAATCAGCAATGACGGCGTTCGCCATCGCCGAGATCAAGGCGCTGGTGCGGCAGCCGCAGCGCGTGCAGGCTCAGCAGCTCCTGGAGCGCTTAGCTGCCGCTGTTTTGCCGATTCTGACCCGCAGACGCTTCCACGTGCGGCGACTACACGAGTTTTTCCCCAAGGATGGCGCTCTACTGGGCATGAACGTCAACCGAGGCGCTAAAATCTACGTTCGTTGTACGTCCATTCCATCTGTCACCTTAACATTAGCTTAGTGATCTGACTATTCCTCTCCACAGTGAGACTTAAACATGCACCTGATACGTTTTACCCCTACGAGGCTCTACTAGAAACGTTGCTGCATGAGCTCACGCACATGGTGCATGGGCCGCACAACGAGGCGTTTTACACTTACCTAGAGGAACTCAAAGCGGAGATGGAGTCGCTTATGGTGCGAGGTCTCGTAGGTGAGGAAGGCGCCAAGTTTGCAGATGCAGGAACAGGCCAGCGACTTGGCGGCAGCAGAGTCAGCGCACCAGCTCGCGTCGCAGCAGTACTCGCAGCCAAGCGTAGAGAACAGTACACCTCGCTACTTGGGGGCAAGATAAATCATCGGCTTGGGTCATTAACCTCAAATAACGTCTTCAATGAGGTTCTCGATCCTCAAACACTTCGCAGAAAGACACTTGAGGCAGCAGAGAGGCGACGCAGAGACAACGAACACTGTCGAAACGTACTTCAAACAGGAGCATCTCATGAAGTTCTAGGAGTTGAAAGCAGCGACGAAGATGACGATGACGCTGCTAGGGCTTCTGGCTCCAGCGTACCTGTCGTGATCGACCTCTTAGATGATGAACACGAGGAGAAGCGTGACGAGTATTCTTCACGCAACAGAAAGCGTAAACGAGAAGATGCCGTAGAAATCGTCGACTTGACGTGAACAAGCACAAGAACAAAACATACAAATGAGCTTTATCAAGCTAAAACTCGGCACTGAAGCGCGTCTCGAAGGATCCCTCGTCCAGCACGACCTCGTTGCTCTTGAAGATCCCCTTGCCAAAGTACTCTGCGATGGTGTGGAAGCCGTCCGCCGCCGTCTCCAGCTGGTTATAGAACTGCTCGTGGTTCCCCGCCTTCTGTTCCAGCTGCGTCTTAAGTCCCAGAATGTGACGATGGTCCATGGAGCACGTGATGCACTCGCGATCTGTCTCGGAGATGCAGTTCAAGTGGAAACTGTGCTGACACATGAAGTGCACAGCCGGTAGATCCAAGTCGTGGTTGCACAGATCGCACTTAGTGGCTTGGAAAACCACTGCACGACTACTGAGTTGGGCGATCTCGTCCTTCATCTGCTTGGTGTCGTTCTTGAACGCCTTGATCTTCTCTTCGTCTTCTTCAATCTTCTTCTCGTCACTCGCCAACTGGTTCACCACATACTGCTTGATCACCGACACTGGCAACTCGCGCGACTGACTCAACACTTGCACGACTTGGAGCGGAGGAATCGCCGGGTTCGTGTCAATAAGCGCCAGTAATTGCTTCAACTCCTTCCACTCTTCTCCTCCCGTGGCGCCCTTGGGCAGAGGCCCTCTTTCTGCGAAGTATTTCAACGCCAAAGACCAGAGATTCGGGTCTTTCTCTCCGTGTTTACGCACTTCTTCAAGGATACTTTGATCGTCATTCTCCTCAATGTGGAACTGCACCAACATGTGGTACATGTGCAGCTTGTTGTACAGATAGCGTTTGCCCCGCTTCATGCCGTGCATCTGCAAGTGAATCAGGGCATGGTCTTCGTCGTACTTAACACGAGGGTTGTCCAGAATACGCAGCACGGCTTCTTCCTTCTCCTCAATCGAGCGTTTGCCGTTCTCTCCTTCGTCATCGTCACTCAGCACCATCTCCAGCAACGTGTTACCGATCGACGTGTTACTCACCGTCTCCACTTCCACAATATACTGCAAAAACTCCTTGAGTTGCGCTCGATGGGACACAAACAAGTGCAGGAAATCGCCCGGATCCGACTTCATCGACGGGTTACCCGGTACGAACTTCCCAGTACACAGACGCTTCAGTAATTCCGTGGTAGGCGCTGGCATGTGCGTAACCAGGGTACGTCCATACTTCCTTAAGTTCGAATCGGCTTCCGAAAAACTGAGATGTTCAATGTACTCCAAGGCATCCGCCACACGTTCCTTCTCGCTCTCCGACAACGCCGCCGAGTCCTCGGAGTCCACGTAGCTGATGTGATCCAACTGGATCTTCAGATACCAACTGTGCTCTTCATGTTTCTTGGCCAACGTCAACGCGTGTTGAGGATAATTCTCCCATAACACGCTGATAGCAGTCTCCACGTCGAAGTTCAAGTTGGCGACTGCTCCGTTTCTGGGCGTTAACTCGCCGGAATCACTGTCAGTTTTCGTCTTCTTGGCGTCGATCACCTCGTCCAATTGGATGAATTTATCCAGCTTCTTGACGTCCTTCAGCTTGGTGTAACAGTTAAGTAACAACGTCGTGTGCTCGGCATTCGCAAAGGCCTTCTCGTGAAGAGCTTCGAGATATGCTGTGAGGTTGTGGATACGCTGAGCGTCCAGGAAGCGACGAATCACGTACGATGGCTCGACGTGGCCGATTGTACGCACATATTGACGTAAAGAGCCGTCGTAGTCGCCCTTTTGATACAAATGGTCGCCATACATACGGAAGATATCGATGATACTGTTGACGTCGTAGTTGGAGCTGAAGGCCAGCGAAATAGCAATCGAGTACAAGTTCTTGCGGAATAAAATCTCCAACTTGGACGTCGTATCCTTTTCGCTTAGGCGGTACACATGCCCCATAGAAGACACCACGAAGATCGCGCCGAACTCACAGACCACGTGACGTACTTCCTCCATTTCATCCAATCCGAAACGAGCTCCAGGGGATCTGGCGTTTGACGCGAGAGGAGGTTTACGCATCGGTCCCTTGGGGTTCGTGCTGGTTAATGTCCAATTAAATGCGATGAACTTGTTCTGCAGGTCGTACACATTCACTTGGTGTCGTCCACGTGGATCCACGTGCGCTACTAGCAGATAGTGCTTGAAGAAGCGCAAGAACTTCTTCTCGCCTTCAAAGCCGAAGCACACAGAGCGGTCTTCCGTTGTGTAAAAGTACACAGCGTCAGTCTGACCCACAGCGATCTCTCCTTCTTCATTCACACACGAGCAGTTCATATCCACGCCACGTTCGTCCAGTACCGTCGTACGTGGCGGTAGAGCAGCAGCTCCACCTGCACTCTTGACCAACGCAGGGTCGTCGTGGGAGCAATGGTAACACGTGAGTCCTCGTCGAGTGGAAGCGTACAGAAATACGTGAGATACAGTCGCGGTGACCGGTTTACTGGTGAACGACAGTCCTGTGACAGGGTATTGGCCTGCGGGTTGCAGAAGTTGAGGCGGACGGTCTGTTCGACGCTTTAAATCACTGCGGAACAAGATCACGGCGCCGTTCTTCAGACCTACGGCAAACTGACTTAAGTCGTCGTTCGCTGCGAAGGCGGTGACTGCTTCTTCAGGGTATTTCTTGGCGAAAATAGGGATCTGTTGCAGTAATTTGGGTTTGCCCTCTCGATCTTGCTGGTCTGTGCGCCAGAAACGCACTACCGCTGTGCTCTTTCCGGCCGGTTTGGACGTGTACATCTACGTCGTTATAGCAGTATACGCGTTAGCTCCTCAACATGTAGAGAATAATTGAGCAGTTCATTTGCGTACTTCCTCTGCGTTGGGTGCTCGACCAGCTTCAGCGATGGCTTTGGACTGTTCCCGCAGCTCCTCGAGTCTAGGGTCGATACCGTCACCAATCGTGACTAGTACGTTGCTGCGTTTCATCTATTGACAGGGTAATTCATCGGGTTTTAGGAATGAAACAAGGTTTTTAAGCTCTAGATCCAATGAAATGACGCACCATGACGACGTGCGAGACAAACAACTCATGTGCTTGGAACTTGCGCGCCTCCAGAGATCGATTCGCTAGATGCACAAAGCCATCGGCGTCTCCTACGCAAATGAGACCTCGGTTGGCACTCATACTGGTAACGTCGACACCCTGCGGATTGAGCAAGATTTGTCACGTTAGAGATGGAATTAGAGAGGTGGGGTATTGGCGTTAAATAGCGAGAAGACGTACCTTCATCCATGGACCATTCGCATCCTTGAGCACCTCCTTGTCGAAGAACGCGAAGCGTCTCCACTGCGCCATAGCTCCAGCTTCTTCTCCCCCTCTTTGTTGTTGGGAATGATACGATCAGGCGCACTTAACCGAGAAAGGACCACATTTGGGTACAGCAAATTGGGATTTCTATCAGGCGTAGCCATAATACCGCAAAAGTACCCATTAATCGTAATTTTACAATCTGTAAATTACAAAATGTAAATTACAAACAAGAACACGAAATAAAATACACTTGAAATTGTGGTCAGTGATCATCGTACGTTAGGATATGCTGCATGAGGTCTTCATCCACATCGTCGAGACGCAATTCCGAGTGCTGGGATCGTACAGACTGCTTGGCTCTCTCGGGAGTCCGCCGGTCGCTCGTTTTTACACGAATGACGGGACTTGTCTGTATATCAGGCCGACCATATTCTACTTTATTAGAAGCAGATACGAAGGTTGGCGTCGCGACTATAGCAGGCGCTGTTATTGCTGTCGTTCTTGAGGCCGGTGGTAGCGGTATCGACTCGACGTCGCTTAGATCGCGACTGTCGTCGAAGTCTTCTATCTCATTTGATACGGAATTTCGACTACAAGGACGCACAACTCCATTCGACTGGGCAATATTCAAGTAAAAAAATAAGCAAAATTATGTAGTTGTAGTTGTCACTCAAACCCACCTGAGATCGTATCATTGACGTTGGAGGTTCAGCCTTCGGTAACTCATCTTTACCCGACGGTAGCTGTGGTGACTTTCTCCAGCTTTCGAAATTAAAGAAACGTGATCGACTCTCCGATAATGGTGGCTTTTTCGCTTCTTCATCCAACGAATACGCGTCCTGAATCTGCTGAAAGTGTTGTTGTCTTGCTTGGGGGCTTTGCTGTAGCAGTGGCTTCACATTTTTTAATTCATTCAGTTGCGTCTGTGCTCGTACCAACGTCGGCGGTGCTTTGTTTTTCTCCCTTTTACTCTTTTTTCGCTTCTTCTTTTGCTTTTCTTCTTTCGCTACCTGTTTGCCCTCACTATTGACCCCTGACTCATTCGTGTGTGGCAGTTGTTCCTGCATGACTGATCGCACAACGTGTGTCGCGGCGCTTTGAGCTGGAGCAACAGCCTTCTGTCGCTTATGAGCGCTACTCTCTTGTGATGCTTCAGGTGTTGGGTCCTGGAAAATCTCGACTCCTGTAGCCTCCGGTTCGATCCTGTGCGGTGCTGGCTTAGAGCTTGTCCCTCCCATGTCAACAACGCAGTGAGTTCGTCAGAACCCAGCCAACTTGGCGGCGGCGGCGTGTCGTCTGAGAAACATCCTTCCAAGCTAAATGTAGCCATGATCTATTTTGAGTCATCTGATCAAACTTATTTCAACCAATCACCGGGGTCTTATCTAACATCCAATCGGATCTCGTCTGCTGGTAAAGTTCAGTCACATTGGAACACTTTGCACCGCACCAGCTCTGAGTCAGGGCGTGACGTAAGCAGCTCTTAGCCATGGGGGAATTCCACGACAAGGAGGCCGCTTTATCCCTGCGCACAATGGAGAGCAAAGTCGCCGTCTGTATTGCTGGTGTGTGCTATTGGTTCTACTGTTGTAATTGATAAGATTCTGTTGACTCACCTCTCTTTATCCAGCATGGTATGTGATCAGTCTCGTCACTCTGTGGACCAACCGCTACGTGGTGGCCAAGCTACGCGTGGATTCCAATTTGCTGTCACTCGCACAGCTCGGTATGTCCGTCGTGGGTGGTCTGGGCTCTGAGCTCTACCTCGTAGGCTGGACGGTATGCAAGCGAGGCATGCGCAAGGTACTGGACGATGGACTCAAGGACATGGTGTTGCTCGCTGGTGTGCGCATTCTCACGGTGTTGCTGGGACTTACGGCGCTCAAATACATTGCCGTATCCTTCACACGTACGCTATGCATTGCCATTATCGTCGTGACGTTGTGCTCATGATGATCCTTGATACGTTGATAGAAACGATCAAGTCTTCTGCACCGTTTTTCACAGTAGTGTTGACCTACTTCTTACTGGGTCAGCGCACGGGATGGCGAGTGAACTTTTCGCTGATCCCAATCGTCTTGGGCCTTATCTTCTGCAGCTTATCGGACAGCTCCTTCCACGTCATCGGATTCATCGCTGCACTCATGTCCAACTGCGTTGACTGCATCCAAAACGTACTAACCAAACGACTATTAAACCGTTCGTACTCGTAAGTAGCGGTTGACTGCAGTATCTAAAGGGTCGCCATACTAACTCTGCTACTGTTTCTCAGGACCACGCAGTTGCAACTGTACACTAGCATCATCGCTGTGGCCATGCAACTCACGTTCATCGCATACAACTGGATGGCTACGCCACCTGAACCAGCTCTTGAAGTTAAGAGGACGGACCGCTCAACGGCATTCGTCTTCGTGGTACTCGTCCTGGACGGCATGTGCTTCTTCGTCCAGAGTGCTCTTGCTTATATGCTCATGAGTTTGGTGTCGCCGGTAACACACAGCGTGGCAAACTGCGTAAAGCGTGCGCTCATCATCGTACTGTCCATTTACCGATATGGAGAAGACGTGACGCCACTTAACTGGTGCGGGATGGTGCTTGTTATCTTCGGAGTGTACGTCTTCAATGCTGCTTCGAGACTCGAGCGCGAGCAAGCCATTAAAGGTCCAATTATTGCACCTGCCAAGTCAACTTTCGTCGAGACGAGCACAATTAGCAATTTGTCGGAGATCCGAGTCGAGAAAGGGAGATGAAGATTTTCTTAACCTTTGAGGACACTTCCAAAGTGTCCATGTACAGAAGACGCTTAGATTGTTCTTTTTCAAATGTTTCATTGGTCGATTTGTGCAATGTTTTGAACCAATCATAGCAGTTTTGCCGAGGGCGGTTGAGCAACGCCACCACAACTGAAAAAGAGCCATCGAGAAGGATGGCGGGCGCGACGGACTACGCGAAGGAGCTTCTGCGGAGGCAGTTTCTAGGTACGAAGCTCTTCCCCTGCATCTGATCTCGGTGTTTGGCTCTTTCCCTGCTCCAATACGCCGTGTATAGCGCACACAAGATCAAGTTAATAAGTGGATCTTTTTGCTGCTTAGAAATGAGTCGTAACCCGCCTGAGGGCGTATCTGTGGGCTTGGGTGACGACGAAAACATTTTCAATTGGGAGATCCTGCTGGTTGGTCCGCCTGATACGCTGTACGAAGGTGGATTCTTCAAGGCAGTGCTCGAGTTTCCATCGGACTTTCCCAATATGCCGCCCAAGATGACGTTTAAGTCAGAGATGTGGCATCCCAATGGTGCGTCTTTGAGAGCGTTGTAGTCTCTACATCATTGACACGTGACCCGGAGTTATTGACGCTGCTGTATTTGCTGCTATAGTGTACCCGAACGGCGTGGTATGCATCTCGATCCTTCATCCTCCTGGAGAGGACCAGTTGAACCAGCAGGAGACAGCGGACGAGCGATGGCGTCCAATTCTCGGCGTCGAGTCTATCCTAGTGTCGGTCATCTCTATGCTGTCAGACCCGAACGACGACTCGCCAGCTAATATCGACGCAGCGGTACGTCGCTCTGAAGAGAGATTTGTCACTTTGAATATTAATAAGATTAATTATGTTTACTGCTCAGGTGGAGTGGAGAAGCGACAAGGATGGCTTCAAGAAGCACTGCCGTCGTATCGTTCGGAAGTCGCAGGAGGATATCTAGTCAGTCAGCAGCTTCTGTTACGTGACGTCTTGCACCGGAGCTGCAATTTGTTTGCTTCTTTTGAGCTCCTCGCCAGCGTTTACTTCAGTACTTTTGCCTGCTATAAAACCCGCTTGTCCACTCGAACTCGCTCCGCGACGATGACAACGACTCGAATGAATTGAATGCACGTTGGATATTCCTCAACTCCGTCTTGTAATGATTGCTACATAAACTCCGAACTTTGCTTGCTCATGAAAAGAAAGTGATCGGTTTGGCCAATCGCCGAGCAGAACTGCGTCCGATCCATCGATTCGACCCCAAGCAGAAACCGAATCGCGCAGTGTCCCTCAAGTCTCAGCATGGTTCTCGCTCTACGTCGCTCGCTCGCCATCTCCTCACGCGTGGCCAACCGCTCGTTGGGTATGTTGCATCAGCAGCAGAAGGCCATGAAGCACACGCACACGCTGGTGCTGATCCGTCACGGAGAGAGTGAGTGGAACAAGAAGAACCTCTTTACGGGATGGTACGACGTGCAGCTCTCTGAAAAGGGCAATAAGGAGGCCGCCGCTGCTGGTCAACTGCTTAAGAAGGAGGGATACACGTTCGATGTCGCCTATACGTCGTACCTTAAACGTGCGATCCGTACGCTGTGGCATGTTCTAGAACAAAGCGACCAAATGTGGATCCCTGTGTTCAAGACGTGGCGTCTTAATGAACGCCACTATGGCGCGCTTACTGGACTAGACAAACAGGCTACGGTGGAGAAGCATGGCGCTGAGAAAGTGTTAGAGTGGAGACGTAGCTACAACATTCCGCCTCCGAACCTTGACACGTCTAGCGAGTACTACCCAGGCAACGACGTCCGGTACAAGGACGTCCCTAAGGCGGATCTGCCTCTGGCCGAGTCTCTGGAGCTCACGGCCGCCCGCGTACTACCTGAGTGGGAGCGCACCATTGTGCCCAGCATCAAGTCGGGCAAGAACGTGGTGGTCGCCGCCCACGGCAACAGTCTGCGTGCTCTTGTCAAGCACCTGGACAACATCTCGGAGGACGAGATCACGGGTCTCAACATCCCCACGGGCGTTCCGCTCGTCTACCACCTGGACGAGAACCTCAAGCCCATCCCGCACAAGGACGGTATCGCACCTCTTAGCGCCTTCTACCTGGGCGATCAGGACGAGATCCGTGCTCGTATCCTCGGTGTTAAGAACCAGACCAAGTAAGATACCGCATCTTCGCGTGGTAGACACGAAATTAAAGATATACTGGGATTACCGGTTTGTTCTTTAGTGCTTTTAGCTTTTTTTTTATTTCGTAGTGGCTATATTTGCAATGTGCCAGGTTAGAAGTGGTCTAATGCAAGATCTTCTTGGTCGTGTCGTTGGGCTCGACACCCGCCGTCTTCATGAGTGAAGCCACTTCGTCAATCTATTTCACCAGCAGAAGAGGTCAGTACCGGTATGTATTGCGTGAACACATACTTTCTGTTTTGGCCAGCCGTACCTTATCCTGCATGTCGTTGTCCTTGAGCTTGAACAGCAGGTTGTTGCACGTCACGCGCTGCAACTTTTGCACCTCACTAAAGCGTAAATAACAGTACAGTTAGCATCATTCTATCGACAGAAATATAACAATATAACGTACGCTGCCGTCTTAAGGAAATCCACGGCCTTCTCGTAGTCGGCCTGCTCGATGGCCGCCCGGATGAGGATGTCGTAAGTACGCTCCGTGCTCTTAACGTTGTACTTGCTGTGGCCGATCTCGTGCAGCGTAAAGACCTTGTCGAACTCTCCGTCCTTAAGAAACTTAGACAGCAACTTGTTGAGTGTGGCCGGCTCCAAGAAGAGGCCGATACGGTAGTTGGCTTCCAGTACATCGAACACCACGTCGGGTGCGTTGAGTTCCAGTGCCTTCTTAACGAAGAGACCGGCAGCGTTAGCATCCGGGTCCACACGCTTCTGCTCGTAGATCTTCATGATCTCCTTCGACGCCTCCAGCTGCTCACTCGTCGTCACAGTCTTGAGGAACGATGCCAGCTTAGTGCGTTTGATCAACACGTCCTTCTTGGCAGAAAGCTTGATGTTCTCCATCCACTCCTCGGCCGAGCGCATGGACACGGCCGCAGCCGAGAATGGCGCACGTTGTGAGCCCGCCACCAGCTGCCGCGCGCCCTGGCGCCGGCCCATCGACATGACCGTGCGGAACGCCTGCATACCTCCTGACATTGTTGCCCTTCGCTTTGTGCAGATAGACAAGCACAGCCAGACAAAGCAGAGCTCCGGTACAGCTCCGGTACTGTATCGGTACGCTCAAGAAAAGACAAATCCCCTCTTTACGGATCAAAACCGGTACTAAAAGGTATGAGTATAGCAACGAGAGGCTGCGGGGTGTAACACTTGACTGGCCTTGATCTACTAGGACGATGTTGGCTGTACGCTCGCTGGTGTTGCGCGCGTCTCCGGCCGCTTTGGCTACCCGTAAGCAGGCGGTTCGCGCCTTCAGCGGAAACTGGGAGTACCCTAAAGTAGAGGGCAGCGTGGCTGACATCACCAAGGCGCTGACAACCATCGGCGCACGACTGTCCATCCCCACTGCTCCGCTATACTTCACGCACCTGAAGATCGACCACATTGTGCGTGAGATGAACGGCAAGGACGAGCTGCAGCAGGTGTACAAGACTTTGCTACTGTGCGACGCCAAGATGGCCTACCCGTCCACCTTCGCGACCGGAAGCTTCTTCTCGGCTTGTATCAAACTAGACGCTGCCGACACGGCGCTTGAATTCCTGCGCCAGGCCGAGAATGTGCGTCACTACGTTAAGAACCAAAGCTTCGTTCGTCTGGCCGAATACTTTGCCAAGCAGGAAGACCAGGAGGCTGTGGACGAGATCGTAAAGATCATGGCGGCCAAGCGTGTGCCCTTATCCTACAAGATGTACTCGTTCCGTGTGCTTAACGCCAAGAAGCAGGGCAAGTGGGACGAGGCTGTGGCTCTCGCTAAGGAAGCGGCAAACGAGCTCCAAATCAACTCCCACCTCATCATTGAGCTGCTCCAGGACCAGAACGGAGGCATCCTACAGGAGCATGTACGTGTAGCCTTATGTGGACCTGGTTACGGCTGTTTTATTCATATTTCTATTGTTTTATACAGATTCCGCTGGCCAAGTACCTCGCGGACAAGGGCGACGTGTACGTGAATGCACGACTTGCCGATATATTAGCAGGAGGAGACGGCAAACTTCCGGAGCCAAAGACGGAGGAGCCGGAGCAAACCGACGAGGCCAAGAGCGAGGAGACAACGGAGGAGAAAACCGAGGACAAGTAGATGGCAACTTGGACCTTTTTTAGAGTGAAGATCGGTACGCTGTTGAAAACGCTTCGGACTTGTGATTTTTTCGTGCATTATAGATTGGGTACATTCAGGAAATTAGTCACTTTAGATGTCGTTCTTGCTGTCAATAAGCGGCGCCTCATAGAAATAGTCGTCACCAGAGCTCAACAGCGCGCGTCGTCTTAGCTCCGTCGTGATGAACGCCAGCATCGCGCCGAAGCCCACGAGCGTCGCCACTGCGCCCAAGAAACTCACCAGTCTCTGTCCAAAGCCACGTTGTTGTCCGCCATACGCAGCAGCCTCCGTCTCGACAGTTTCTTCGTCTGTGTGCAAGAAACTGTCGTGTAGTTCTTCAACTTGCGCTTCCCCACTCTCTCCGGACTTTTGACGGTCGTGGTGTTTCTTCTTGAGTCCTGGGTATAAGGCCCACACAGACTTGACGTCGGTTGTGGTCATTCGTTCACGTTGCCCCATGTCTTTCATCACTGCGAGACGTTTATCGTCCTCTGCGATCAATGGCACGATGCTAGGACACCATTGTGGCTTGGTATCATCCGAATCCGAGTGTACAAACGCATCGACTGGATGGTGCATGATACTGAAGAGATCATACGGAGGAGGATCCAACACGCGGTCAATCGCTCGAGTAGTAGGCGCAGCGCTCATCTCTTCCACTACAAAGTAACTTCGCTTGGACTCAGGAATACATTCCCACGCAATCCGAACGTGTTCCTCTCGGTCAGGTCTGTCCACTGCGTGTCGTAGTCCAACGGCGTGAAGTAGAACGTGGACGACATTGCCCAGTCCGCAGTCTGCAGACACACCGAGTCGCTGCGGGCCGCCGATACGTCCAATGAATGAGTAGCACGAAGCTTTGACGCCTTGCACAACCACATAGTCGTGGCTTCTGCAACTCATGTCTGTCCGGCAATTATCTCCTGCGCAACGATGGAATTTGAAGCCTGTGGCATGTGTGATGTGCTCTGTAGCAGACAATAAGGTGCGTAGATACGAGCGAGCACTTCCGTCCACTTGGAAACATAATTTCTCGTGTGGCCATCGATGATCTCTTCCGGAGTCGTAGTAGCCATGTAGCACATGTTCGATACGCGTCGTGACTTCCTCGGGATCGTCCGGATCCACGTCGTCCCATACAAATCGCTCGCCTATAGCGACGTCACCTTGAATGACCATGATCGTGTCATCCACGAGTTCGTAATGATACTCAATACCCTTAAACAGCACTCCTTCCGGTTTCTTATTTGAGGGTTTCTTCTCTGGAATCTCCTCAATTGGTAGTCGACACTCACCACTTAACGAGTGAATTACTCCCGGGGCTCGACAGGCAGCTGCAGCTTCATCGGCGAGTACACTCTTCTCTTTCGATGCGACGCAGCGGAATCCGTCGCCGACGCCACGAGACCACTCGATTTCACTCAATGTAGCCATTTCATAACCTGATAGACACGTGCAGCCATCTGCAGCTTCCACGGGCCAAGTTGTAGCCATCGAATCCTGCGGACACTGCGAGAAATCGGGGCGTGTGTCGTCCACTGGCCTCGTATTGCATGCTTTCTTCCTCTTCTTCACAATTGGCTCGTCTTTAGCTGCTCGTTGAGCCTCTTCTTGTTCTTCGAGGATAGTTTCATTGAGGCCATACACACACTTGCAGTTGGCATTACTCTGTAATGGCCATTGAGTGAGTACAGCAAACGGAGGACAAGCATTCGAGTTGGCTAACATCCACGGTACGCAACGTTGCGCCACTGCATCAAGGAAGTAGCCACGTGCACACGCACAGTCTTCGAATCCCGTTTCGACCTCGGAGTTTCGCAGTTTACTGCGCTTGTAAGCGTGTTCGGGGCATTTATATGCTGATGTGCGTACACAAGTCATGTCGGGCATCTTCCAGGCGTATCCGGGGATACATTGGCATTGTTCAATGGAGTGAGGGACAGTGGCTACAGCGCGAGAGAATGGCGGACAGGTGTACGCTGTGGCGTCTCTGTCCACCACTTCAAAGTTGGCGTATTCGTCGGCTTCGTTCTCACGAACATGGCTGTGTTTCCTCTTCGCCTTTCGAGCCTGCATCTGAGATACAGGCCAACACGCGTGTGTTTCTTCATCTCGATGGTAGTCTCCAGTAGAGAGACACTCACAATCGAAGAATCCTCGAGGACGTTCGCCAATCGGAAGATCCGATCGCTTGATAGAGTTGACAGGACAAACATACGCGGCGTGTTCTCGTTCGCAAGCTTCGAGGCTGTTGCGGACGAAGCCCCAGCTGCAGTGACAGTCAGCAAACGATTGCGGAGAGATATCCGGGGTTGGTGTCGAGTTCGGCGGACATTTGTAAGCACGAGTAGGAGCTTGGGCTTCGTCTCCGCGGACACATTGACCGGAGGTTTCGACCTTAATAAAGGGCCGTGTGCACGTACAGTCAGCGAGTGACTCGACCTGTTGCACGTCTGGTTTCGGTTCGTAGTTGCCAGCACGAGGGCAGCCGTTTAAAACGCATTCTAGTGTCTTTGGGTCTTTGTCGTACGGATGGTAGCAATCGCAGTCTACGAAGGAGCTGGGAACTGGTGCCCCGCGTTTGGACTTGTATCGACCTTTGCAGATGAACTGACCCGTGTCCCTAGCATCTGCTGCCGCCTCCTCTGCTGTGGTGTCTACTCCGTCGTCACAAATGCAGTCGTCGATCATGTCCATATCTCGAGGTAACAACATGGCGGCGCATCCTTCCGGACACACGTAGAACGCTGCTTGCACTGAAGGTAGAGCGCTCCAGCCCACAAGTCCAAGCGCACACACCACTGATGACAGCCGAACGAGCATTATCACACTTGAGTACGTGGCTAATGCGTGTCAAGGCAGGAGAATCAGGAAGTGGATAAAGATCTTCGTTGATTTACATCGGATCCGAATCTAGAAGATTGGGATCCGCGACCTTTCAAGATCCTTAAGATTTTTTATTTTGAATCAGCCAATCAGAAGATGGATACACTTTAAGGAGTTTTGCTTTTTTTGAAGTAAGTAGAAATTTGGCAGCAATACGAAAGATGGCTTCAGCCAACTTCCTCCGTCTTAGATCTTGGACGAGCCGACGTAGATGACGTTGCGTGTGAGGCAGAGGTCCACCATTTCCAGCAATGCAGTCTCCAAGTGGCGTTTGAATGTGGCTGCACTCGTCTCCGGACACACATGGTAGCACGTGATGCTCACGTTAATACGGTCCGGTTGCAGTGCATAGCAGACGCCATAGCCTTCATTGTACATGGCTGAGAACCCTCCCCAAATAGGACTAGCACCGGGACCGCCACTGATGTTACTAGTGGAGACCAGAAACTTCTTGCTCACCTCGAATGCTCGATCCGTAAACAACGAAGGCTTGGGTGTGATACCAGACATTTCAGCCACAATCTGTAGACCCATAAAGTGGCGGTCAATACCGTCTCCAGTCAGACACTCCTTCAGCGTCTCCTTATGCGCGTCGATAGCAGTTTTCAACGCGTCCCACTTGGCTCCATCCGAGGCGTTCGACTCCATCGTCTTGACGAACGTAAGCGACTCCTTCGACAGCGATCGAATGGTCTCGGTACGACCATGATAGAACATTCTCGTGTGTGCTGTCTCATAGACTGCGGGGACTTTAATGTGCATTTTATAATGCGCTAGCTGAATAGCCATCTGCATGAAGAAATCGGGAGTTAACTTGTATCTCTTGAGGAACGCTGAGCCGTAGTGGTTGAACTGCATCGTCGCGATGTCACTAGTGTGGATCATCTTGCCTACTGCTGCACTGGCACATTCAATAGCTGTGTAGGCGGCGTTGTCTAGTACCCAGTCCAGACGTTTGGGCTTGAGATTAAGCGTGGGTTTCAAGTCAGCGCGGTTGGCGAACTTGGCCTTGAAGTTCTCGTTCACGTACTTGATGCAGTAATCGAATAGACGAACCACCACGAGAGCATCAGCCCACGCGTGTTGACCATTCAGGCCGCCACGAGCATTCTCGTGGATGATGAGTGTGAATGGCTTGTCGTACCAGCGATTGCGGCCATCTCCAAGCAAACAATTGCGCGCGATCTCATCATACGTCGACGCAGAGCTCTCGTCCAGCGCCACACAGAACAAAGCTCGCTCGATTAGATCAAAACGACTGTTTGTTGATGTCATCTAACGACATAATGTGGTCCCGAGCCTATGAAAATTCACATAGTGAGCATTTTTTTTACTAATTTGTTGGGAAAAAACGTAGTAATTGCAGTACCTTGGCCCAATTGGTGCGGTTCTCTGATGTTAAGACGCTGACTGGAGGGTAGCGTTCCAAGTCGAAGAGTCCTGTGGCTTCATCGCGGACGAGCTCGAATTGTCTACAATTATTGTTTAGAAAATATTAGAAAAAAGTAGCATATTCTAAGTGAGAATTGTTTTTTTTACCTGAGGATGTCTGCGAGTGGGATTTCCTCTCCATTGTCACCAAACACTTGCACTGCCCACATGCAGTTGTTCCTCAGCACGAGAATGTGCTTAGCATCATGTGGGTACGAGACCATTTCGTCGCACTCCTCTCCAGGAATAACGCACGTGTTGAACATGCGTGAATACGTAAACATACACAGCGGTCGACCCATCATCTTCTCGACGGGGTACTTCTCCCTATTAGTCATACAATTCTAAATGAGAATTTCACCTCCCAATTAGAATAACATCTCGTAACAATTGACGTACTCAAGTAAGTTCTTACGGAACTTGAGGATGGCGTGTGTGAAGATGGATGCAGCTTCACATTGGCTCATATCTCTCGGTCCCCAGTTGCCAGGGAGAACGCCGTACCAGTTGATATTGATAGCCGAAGGATAGCGCGGCTGCAAGTACGCAAAGGTCTCCCACCACTCCTCGATCCAGTTACGCTCCGTGTCCGCACGTTCCTGAAGAATAGCTTGCAGTTGAGGCCCCACACCGTGCAAGAAATCGTGGCATACAGCCTTAGTATGATCCAGCTCGCTGGGTGTCAACAGTGGCTCGCAACTCTTGATGTATTTCTCCAGAGTTTGCTCCAGTGGAGGCAGTGGAAGCGGCGGCAGCTCGTCCTGATACTGCATGGTTCGCTCGGGTTGTTGAGGCTTGGACATGGCTACACTCGGTTCACTAGGAGAATGGCTATTCTTGACAGAAGTCTTGGTGCTTCGAACTCCCATGCGCAAAAGCCAAAGTGCGTCAGGGTCTTAGCGGGTTGATGATGTGTTGACCCGTGACAAAAGTGACTTGATTTTGTATTGAAAACGAGACCCATGGGCCGGATGAGTCTCACGTGCGAATTAGCAGATGGATCTGTCGTGTTGCTTAGAAATCATCTCAACTTCAATAAAATCTAAGAAATGTCGAGTCGAACATGGCTCCCTTTGGGTGGATAACTTACAGCTTGTCACATGTAGTTGCCTCTATATAACGTTATCTCAAGAAACCCCACACTGTGGAGTGCTTCATTATCAAGAAGATCCTTGTCTTCCGTCGTGGTGTCTGTATCGTAACGTGCGACTGTTCAACAGCACAGCGCTGTAAGCCGTCGCCACTGTTTAGTACCCATGTCCGTCACGGCTGCCGACACGACTATAAGTCTCGAAGGAGAGCTGCAATCTGCTGTGGATCCGCCTGAGAGCTCCACACCGCAACGTCAACAATCAAAGGCGCTGTCCATCTCGTCGTTATCAGACGAATCCAAAGACAACGCTATTGCTTCTGAAGCTTGTCGCGATGTGGATCGTGAACTTGCAGCGATTAACACGCGATTAAGTGCGTTCCAAAGGAGAAGACAGCGCAAGGACAACGTATCCAAGTTAAATACTGTTGCACCGCTTGAACCCAGTCAAGAAAAGGCTCATGATGCTCGTGCGTCACCCTCTTCGTCCGTATCTTCAAGCTTAGAAACTTCATCGCCCATTTTCTCTAAATTATCAAAGGCGCAACAAGAGGCCGAAGCAGTTGCAGAACAAGTGGCAACGACGCTAATGAAATGTGACCAACTGTTGCAACGTGTTAAATCTTGCGGTAAGTTCTTGCAACTTGAAAATGTTATGCAAAATGTGCTCATGGCTACATATTTTTTTTTTATCAAAGATACATCTCGAGTTTCATCCGCCAGCAGCATAGAAGACCGAAGTCGAGTTGGTAGTAAAGCGATACGTTCTCGACTATCTGAGTCCATGGCAAGCAGTGCTTCGTCAGTCTGGGACGTCAAAACTAATATTGAAGACGAAGAATTGTTATTAAGTCGGAAGGCTGCAGCTGTGAAGCGTCTTGCAGTACGCTGTCAGCGCGACATTGAGACGAGCACGGCGAAGATCGAGCTACATCACCAGCAAACACAAGAATCGTACTTAAAGGAGTTGCAACGCAAATACGACTCCAAGAAACACATGACGCTGATGAAACTTCGAGAAAAATACGAGAAAGAAACAAAAACACTCGTGAGAGCCAAGATGGACGAGTATGAGCTTGAAGAAGCGACTGCAGTGAAGAAGACGCGACATGTATTAATGGACGAGCGGAATCGAGCTCTAAACGAGCTACAAACCAGCCATAACACTGCACTGGAGGAGAGTTTATCGCACTTAGAAATGCAGCTACTAACCGAGACAGAGCGCGACAAACAAGAGCTTCGTGTACAGCTACAAGAGGAGTTAACTCTTAGATTAAAGCAGCTGCAAGACGACAGTCAAACGTTGTTAAAACAGTGGGAAGAAGAGCAGCGACAGAAGTTGGAGCAAGAACTGTACGACCACCGAGAAGCAGCTGTAGCTTCCGTTCTAAAAGCGCAAGAAGAACGAACTGCAGTACTGAAACAAGAGCTCCAGACCGGTCACAACGAGAAACAAGCCGTGGAGGTCGAGAAGTTGCACAAGGCGCTCGCGTTTGGCACTCAAGCGCAACTGCAACAACTTCGCTCCTTGTTAGAAACGGAACATGAGGAGAAGATGAACGAGATCAAGACAGACGCCCAACTGTCGCTTGATAAGGAGACTGAAAAACTTAAGAAAATGTCGACGCGATCTCATCGTGAGCAACAGGACCAACTGCAACGCGATTTGGAGAAAAAGAACCGTGTAGCCATTATGGAACTTCATGACACTATGCAAGCTTCTCATCAAGAGAGCTGTCAGGCGCTTAAAGATGCTGCAGAACAACGTCGAATGAAGGCGCTAGAAGCGCATCGTCACGATTTTGAGCTGGAATGTCGGCAAGAACTGGAAACCCTAAAACAAACCCTAGATCAGGACATGGCTACAAAGCTACGTCAATTAGAAATGGGTCATGCTGAAGAGTGCGAGCTTAAACTAGAGCAACTAAGAGCACGCGCAGTCACCCAACACGCTAGAGAACTGGACGCCAAGCGATCGCGGATGATCCAGTGCAAGAACGTGCTTCTAGCTGAAGCTACAGCGTTTCTAACCTTCGACAATAACTTGTCCGACGAGGACCGAAGTAAAGCGAACCCTGAAGATAATTCCGCAGCTGTTCACTTGCTCGAACTCAAGAAACATTTGTCCAAGGAACTGGCTCAGTATGTGGATGTGATGATCGCGGAGTTCGACGAACTCGCCGAAGAGCAGCAGATTTTAGTAGCCAAGATCACGGAATCGACACAGCTTTACTTGTCGTATAAAAGACAATGTGGGGTGCTTGAAGCGCAGTCGGAAGAGCTGACAAGTGGCTTAGAAACACTCCACGACCAGCTACAGAAGAAAGATGGCGTTTGTAGGAAACTGTACCAAGCCAACGAAGCACTTCTGAAACGACTGCAATTACCTGCACTAGAGGCAAGTGCGGGTACAGACAAGAGCGACATTGAGTCACCTCGAGTGAACAAGTCTCCAACGTCGACGAAAACGCGTCAAAGTGCATCGAATCGGCACAAAATTGACTCATTTTTGACCCGAAAAACGTAACGAGATGTAGCGTAAAAATAACAATGTTGCCCATACACTGCACGTGTGTGTCTGACTGTAGTAGTTATGGCTGCTCTGCCGTCGATCAATGGCAAGTTTTCGGACAATATGACGGCGGAAAGTCCGGAAACGCGGCTGTCTTCGTCGACCACCACAGTGCGACAAGCCTTCAGGATGAAACCTAAAAGTGCCGGTGCAACATCAGCTGCACGACGTTCAAGACACAGCCAAGTCGCAATGACGTCGAGTTGGCAACAGCACGAGAAGTTTGTACAGCGACCTTCTTCAAGTAGCGTTGCAAGAAGAACTGAGCGTGCTAAGGAGCCAGAAATCGCCTTCCAAGGCGATTCCAGAGACGAAGTGCAGCAATTAAAAGATGAGAACGATTTACTTCGGTCAAAACTGGTGGAGAAGTACGCGTGTGTATTTTTTTTGTATTATATTGTTGGTTTTTAAGTGCTAAGTATTATTTTTTAAGGATGCGAGGTCAGAGTAGAGTAGTTGCTGGCGGGCAGTATCGTGCTGCGTCCGCTTCTCCTGTAGCCAAAGTGCCATTCGTGCCAGGCTCAGGATGCTCGAAGTGTTCCATTGCACGGACGCGAGCGATCAAGGCTCATCAAGAGAGCGAACAGACTCGAGCTGCTGCAGTCGAATTTCGGGAATATGTCGACAAGATTGAAGCTTCCCAGCAGCGATTATGGGAAGAACGCAGCTCGCATGTACACGAAATTGCGAAGTTACGAGAGAGAGTGGCACAGAAAGTGGAGCATTGCATTCTGGTCGAAGCAGAGTGCGCTAAACTGGACAACCAAGTGAGGAGACTTCGGTCAGAGAACGAGATTATCACTCAACCGTTTAAAAACAAAGACGTTGTGGACAAGGCAACGCAGTGTGCGCTACAACAAAGCTACGAGGGTGAGAGTAACGCAGACCGACTGCAAGAAATCTCAAGTTTAAAAGCGGAGCTGCTACTTTTAATACAGCAACGTGAAGAACGAGAACAAGAACAGAAACGAGTTTTTAAGGATTTAAAAGAGTTCCAGATTACAGTGAAGCTGGAAAAGGAGAAACGACTTGATGAGGCGGTTTTGTGGCGTGCAGAGAAAGGTGAATACGAGCGACGTATCTTGCAGCTGGAAGAGAGCAATAGAACGCTGGCAATATCGGTCCAAGATCTTCAACAAACACGTCAAAATGAAGTGCAACTTATCCAGCGAACAAACGTCGAGATTCGTGAAAATATGCTCGCCAAGGAAGCCGAGATCCAGCAACTTGTTAAACAACATAAAACGGAAACTCTAGCGGTGGAGCAGCGGAATCAGACGCTCGTCAAAGCTCTCAAAGTTCGGATCGAGCAGAAAGTTGCCGATGTGGAAAGATTGCATGCTTTACTGACAGATCACTCGACTGTAAAGACAAATAACGCTACGATGAAGCGACGTATGAAAGACTTGGAAGCGCAGATCCAATCGCTCATCTGCAATAACGATTTGCAGCAGCAACAAACGGCAGATTTGGCTCAGATTGAACGCAATAAATTGCTAAATGAAGCAGCAGCAGAGCAGCATCGGTTATCGGAGGCTCTCAGTACTCTTCAGCAAGAAAATCGAGCTTTAAAGACGAGAGTATCGGAGGTGGAAGCCGAACTTAACGACCGTGATGAGGTGATGCAGAGACAAAAACGTTTTAATCAACGAGCAATGGAACGTTTGTTTGAATCATCTCTGCGCTTATGCGTTGTGGCACCGACAGTTAACGTGCAGTTGAACACGAATGGAGCGAGTATGGGTAAGAAGGACAAAGATTCGAGCGAGTTGACATCCATAATATGTAAATCTACGCCTCAAGAAGACAGTATCAAACGCTTGATCGAGAACGACGTTTTGCCTCAATTTACGAGCGTATTTTTGCAAAAAGACGACGACGGAAGTCCTCAAGTAGATGTACCAATGACTCGTTGGCTGCAAGAGCTACTTCACGACATGCAAGCACGAATAGCTACTCAGTTGGAGAGTATCTACTCATCCGCCACGAGTAAAAGCCACGAGTAAAAAAACACTTGTATTTAACGTTATTTGGCAATCGCAAGGTGTGCCACCAACTCACGGCGAAATGTAGCCATGAAGATGGCTACATAGCTCGTCCACGCTTTATCTTGGCTTGTTTTCTTGTCGGAAGAAGTAGCCATCTTCTGCACGGGCTTCAGCAACACCTCACTCTTAAGCACTGCTGGATCGCGGCGACACGAAGCTACTAGTGTCTCTAGAACACTTGGCTTCATGTCTTGTTGAGCTGCTGGGCCTTGACGACACATGAGCATTCCGATATCGTACGCGGTCATGTGACGGTCAAGTGCGCAGAACTTCAATAATGCAGTGCACACGAATAACGTGAGTAGAGCCTCACGTTCGATCTGATAATTCGCTGGTAGATTGTCTTCCAGTAGCTTCAGATCGTGCTGTGCGTCCAACGCTGCAATATAATCGCGTTCCGAGCGAAAAAATGGCTGCTTGGATTGAGGCCAAAGCAGCCACAGGAACGTGGTCTCCGATAGCGCCGAGATGCGCGGTAGACACGCTCCGTGATCAATTGGAACGAGCGAGACCTTCTTGCCCGCTAGTGACTTGGTCACCACAGAGGTGGACGTTTGAGTTACCGTTTGAGCAGGCTCTACCACCAGCAAGTTGCCTCCGTGGCGATCTTGATTGGCTAGACGGATGTCCAGGATGGCGATGGCATGAGTCTCTGCTACGTTGAATAGACTCGATCCAACGTCGTCTGCAGTGTCTCGGTGAGCAACGTAAGCTTGTAGCGCACCAGTCTTACCGTGTGGGGTCGTAGACGCCTTGAAGTGGAGGTCGGGGTGGTAAATCGAAGCCAGCATCGTCACTGGAACTCGTGCAAAGTGTTGGTGATCCAGTAGATACGCTGCGACCTCTCGAACAGCGGCGTCTCCTGCAGAGATCCCCTCACGCATGCTGGATATACCAGAAGCCTCTGGTTTATGGTATTGCTTGGGGTTGTTAGGCGCGTAGGCTTCTTCGTCTTGGGGCTTAAACACCCCCGTCAAACGACGATTCTTCGTTCGTAAGTAGTAGACACCACCCGTGCAGTCGTCGATGGGGATGGGAGCAACTCGAGCTTGCAATCCTGATTGCACGTGGTTGGCCAGCAACGCCATCTCCTTGGCGTACAAGCTACTGCCTGTGCAAGTAGCTGGCTTGAGGACTTGGAGGCTGATGCTGTTTCGAGTCGATGACATTGAAAAATGATGAGACCGATGGACAGCGCAGAGCGTGGCAGACAACAAAGTATCTTACACTGGCGCACTGCTGTCACAAGTAAGTAGAGACTTGGATGGATTGAAAAGTATTGACGCCGGCGGTTGTGCTGTTATCTTGGTGGCTGGATGGACCAGTACCCGACCATTGATGCGTGGAGCACTGATGTCAAGAGACTGCATGATGTTGGCCACGACCTCCGCTGATGCCTTTGACGTTCGACTCACGATCGAATGTGCGGGTTCTTTGGACGAAGAGGATTGTGCGACAGCGACCATTGTCGACGTACCCCTCGGTAAAAAGTGAGAATGCGTCGCCTCTTCCTCAGTCGAGTGGTGGTAGCCCTGCGCAGTGGCAACAGCGTTCCTGAGGCTAAATGCATCTTAGCGTTCCTACCCCCCTCCCCCACATCTGCACGAACGGTGCGAATAGTATACGTAACGCTTAGGATTTGTCACAAACCAGGGCGCGAGGAAAGGAATAAGTTGCAAAGCGTATCCTTACAGATGGATACAGTACATGTACACACCTTGCATTTGAGCTCTCGACTTTTTGGGAACCGCTTCAACTTCAGCTGTAAAAGCTATAAGATTGAGAAGTTGGGCTTCACGTTTCTGGCTGTGGCTGAGCCTTAGGGCAACTACCGCACGTCGGTGCGCTCGGGCAACACCATCTACATGGCAGCGACCTCATCCTGGGTAAGGTCAGCAAGGACCTGACCCCCGAGCAGCGTGGCGCTCAGTTTCATGGCTACCCTCTAGCGTACGTAAAATTATCGTCGAATTCGAACATGATAAAAAAGTGTTTACATTGTTTTCTCTTGTTTACAGAGGAGGTGGGCGACCTTGACAAGATCAAGCGTGTGGTGAAGCTCGTAAGCTTCGTCAACTGCGTCGACGGCTTCACCCAGCAGCCGGCCGTCATCAACGGCGCCTCGGACACCATCGGAAAGGTGTTCGGTGACAAGGGCATCCACGCCCGCTCGGCTGTGAGCACTAACGCCCTGCCCCTTAATGTGGCTGTCAAAGTCGAGACCATCGTCGAGATCGAGGACTGGACTTCCAAGTGACTGACTTGGCTAGCTATACAACCCCTATATTCCTTGTTTCTCTCGCCCTTATTGTAAAACAGGAATGATTAAAAATTATTGTACTCGAACTCGTTCAGCGTCTTAAAATTCGACGGGATCGATCCCTGTGGATTTCCAATAGGAAGGTCCGTAGTTGACGAAGATCTGGTCTCCTTCCTCGATCTCGTGGATTACAAACTGCAGTACAGTAAACGTCAATAAACTTTACCTAAATACTTGCACTAAAAGCGCCGAATATCATGCTCATAACGTACGCAAAATATCCGTAGAATGCCGTTGTGTACCATAGGCACGAAGCGAGCATTGGGGGTGGCGCTGTGGTTAATACAGCGAATAGAGTTGCCGTACTCGCTCGCACTGACGTAAAGATTGCCGCCCTCGTACACGGAAGGGTACGAGATGCCGTACGGATCGAACTCGTTCATCTCGCTCATGCCAACTTTAATCACTCCAGTGTACTCACCCAGAAACTCGTAGCAGGCGAGATCTTCTGCCGCAAACAGACCAAGTGGCTTCTCCTCGACATGACTGAGGAGCGAGACGTGGCCGATCGCAACTTTTGACGACACTTGAAACGTACTGTGGCCGAGCGGAGCAAACTGGTCAAACCCATCCGAGACGGAGTCCGAGAAGCCCCAGAATCCATAGTTACGCAGCAGATGTGTGCGTTGGAAGAGCAACTTGCTCGTGTATGTGCATTTCATAAGCTCCTGCAACTCATCCGCGGTGAGCATTTGCACGTCGCCATTCTGGGCGTGGTATCGGAACGTGTGCTGCACGTCCGTCAGCGTGTTCTCACAGGTAGCACCGTCATGGATGAACGACACCTTCTTCAGCTCTTCATCATAGTGATAGCACTCGTCGCGGTCTAAGCAGCGGAAACCTATGCAGCTCGTCTCAACCATCTTTTACCGCAGCTTCCACTCGTTTGTTGCCGTTTGGGAAATGGCTACAGTGCACTACGATATTGAATTAACAGCAAGAATGGCACAGCGTACCACTCTTGAATTAACAATCATTGCGATGGTACACTGTACCGTACACAACTCGCACACTATTTACAAAATGGCGCCGCACACCGGCGTAGCGCTGACCCCAATCCTCCAGAAGCTAGTGCCGATCTGCTTCGCGACTGGCGCGGCGATGGAGTTGTTCATGGTCAAGACCGGCTTCTGTACGTGCAGCTAGCAGGACTTGTACTAGACTGAGTAAATACACTGGAATCAAAGACTAAGCTGCTACTAATTTGCGCTCCACAGACGACATCGTGACGGTCACCGAGGCGGAGCGTCGCCTGCAGCGCGACGAAGAGCGCCGAGAATACTTGGAGGCCAGAAGTAGAGCCGCTCGGGACGAGTGAGCGCTCCGCAGAGACTTATAAACGTCACTGTTTCCTGTTTTCTTTGCCCTGTGGGGCTTCTGCCACTTGGATCACCTACTGCAACACTGCTCTGTCCTCTCAGCTTTCTTTTTTTTTGCTACGCTTTGGGTGCGACACGTTGTAGCACCAGCTCCAACTTGGGCACACGGTAGCCGCCGCGGTCCTTGGGGCGGTTCAACGCGTACCGTGTCGAGATTTTGGTCGTGATGGCATTGTTCTGGAGACGCAAGATCTCGGCCGCCTGCACAGCCGTCGTGATCGCCGCCTCGGACGCTTGCAGGCGAACATTCTCTTGCTTCTGCACTGTGAGCTTCGAGTTGATGATGTTGGCGTAGAATACTACCAAGAGTGTTAGCACTACCGTATTCTCCTCGAAAGTAAGCCAAAGTTGCATGCCGTACCTGCCGGTTTCCGAGTCGAGACCGTGACCAGATCGTCAGTGTATCGAGCGAGACGAGAACCAGCAAATACCTTGTCAAGTGGCTTGAGCTCGAGCTCCTTGATAAGCTGGTCGAACGTCTCTTTAGCCGCTGACCACTCGGTGACCTGAGTCACGCCACTTCGAGACTCCTCGACTGCCTTCGACCACGGCACTGAACCGACGACGACGACGTGTCCGACGTGCTCGGCTGCTTCTGTTAGCATAGAAGCATCGGATCCTACCGCGACTTTCACCTTAAGATCGTCGTACAGCTCTTTCTTCCGTGCCATCAGGTGCTCCGGACGGTCCTCGTCTACGAACATGAGTTTGTCGAAGACTCCAGAGAAGTGATGGTCCAGCCACTCACGCGTTTCCTTCTCCACAAAACGTGGACGATCTGTGATTGCCAGTAGCGAGAAATACTTGCGCAGTGGCTTGAGCACCTCATTGGCGCCTGTCACTGCTGCCAGCTCCGTCTCGAACGTTTTGGACTCAAAGAACTGGTGTGTCTTGCTCTCCGCGTCGCCTCCGCCCCAGACACTCGTCCAGCTGGGCGAAGCGACGCTCTCCACATCGATCTGCGTGGTCAGCACATGTCTACATTAGCCTACAGTCTACGTATTGATACAAGCAGCATCTTCTGCTGCCAAAAGATCGAAAGATCGCTGAGCGCCTTGCAGCCTGGCTCACCTTCGCGCCGTGCTCGGCCTCATGCCATAGAGCTGCACACTCTAGCAGCTTCGTCAGTGTATGGTCCACATCGACCACGAGCGTCACGCGCTCGCCGCCTGCTCGTCCGTAATGCGACATCGCTTTACTGGCAGCTAGTTGCCTCTTCACTTCAGGATACACTTTGAAGTTGTGTTTTTTGCACCACTGTTTAGTGTTAGCCACACCAAATAATTTACTTACGCTTTTGATCTTATCGCTCCCGATACAATGGCGATGCTGAACGTGAGTGCGCTGATCACGGGCTACGACACGGTGGGAGACCACACCGAGTTCATCGTGGAGGTATGTGGCTGTATCTACTGCCTGTTCGCCTTCTCTCCCGACGCTCACAGGCCGATATGCTGCGTAGATCTCGTGCAACGGCGGCTTGTGGAGAATCTCGCGACGTTATAGCGACTTTGACCAGCTGCATTCGCGTCTGGTACGGCGCTTCGGAGACCTCATCGAGGTGTCACTGCCAGAGAAGCAGTGGTTCGGCCGGTAAGTTATCAAATATGTGGGCTTAGGCGTCGTAAAGCTCAATGATGAGAAGGGGACCCTATGAGTCTGTTGGATAGTGGCATGTCATGGAGAGAAGAAAAAGGGGAAGAGGCCTTGGATTAGACGGGATGTCCTCGCTGCTAGCTTCTGTCTGCTTTGTTTTGAACTCCCTATGCATCGTTCGACGCGTTGTGTGGCTCGTGGAGGGTCTCTTGGTGTTGAAAAGGAAGCGAGGAGACTTGTTACAAGTCGAGGACTGTAAAAATCACTTGATCTTATCTGATTAGCGAGAAGGACCCGAGCCACAAACGTCGATAGGTGCTTAGGTTGCAGTTCCAGAGTTGACAAGGCTGGTGGAGATGTTTATCTTGTTCTTAGAGGGCTCTTCTCTTCTTCTAACTCCTTATGCTGCTGGATACAACGCGTTGGTGTGCTTTGAGAACTCCACGACGCTGAAAATCACCGAAGTGATGCCCTGATTTGCTTATCCTGTATGTGTCGTATACTGTATCATGCAGGTTTGATCCCAACTTTCTGATAAAGCGTCAGGCGAGTCTCCAAGAGTATATCGGTAAGTGTAAATACCGGATAAAGCTTATCCTGTATAAAACAGTTTAATCTGACAGTATAACAGATGGGCTTCTGCAGGTGCCCGGTATTCTGGACGATGCGTCGTTGCAGCACTTTTTGGAGCTAGAGAAGCATTTGGACTTGCACAATGAGTTGGGTATGGGCGGCACAGGCAGCAACGGTCGATCCAGCGGTATGTGGTCGGGTAAAGGCGTGTTGAGTGAGAACGATCGCCTTAGTGGCATCGTGGAGAATGCGGCTCAAGCTTTCATCGACATAAGTGAAGTCCCCGAGCCGCTGGAAGCCGAACAAGCTGTACAGCGTAAGAACGAGATCGTGACAGCGTCTCAGAGTCTTCTAAACGAGCAGAAACTGGGCGATCAGTTCACAGCGCAACTCACGACGTTGCGTCTGCCTCGTGCTCAAGCGCAGATACCGAACGAGGAGATACTGTCACGTCTTGACGGGGACAACGAGGATGGCTTGACGTATGAACAGGAACAGGAATTCCTCTATGGGATCCTGGAGACCTTGGAAGCCTCGCTTCATATGGACATCACGCCGCCGTCCGTGGACTTATTAGCGGTCATGACTGTATCGACGACTCCAAAGACGCCTGCTATCGGGTCGAATGGCTCATTGCCCAGTGGAAATGGCGCACTGGAAGCGGGATCGCTGGACGACCGAAGCAGTCTCGGCAATGGATCCTTCAGCTGAAATGGATAGCAACTGAACCTCACTATCGATACACCATCTCTCTTCATCGACAAAGTCTTTTCTCTTTTTTTTACTAACGTTACTGTAATGAACGTGGTGATTGTGTAGCCAGGATGAGGTTTGTTTGTTCTTCTTTTGCTCCTTGGGTAGCAACCAAGACTTGACTGTAGTCGCGGAGTTTTTTATCCAGTTGTTGCTGCAATTCCTGATGCTGAGAGCGACGAGCCAGCAGCTCAGCGGAGTCTTGAAGTGTGCTGGCTGTGTCGTTAATTGCCGGTATGAGTGGAGTTTGAGAGACTGTAATGCTGTCCTCAGCTACGGCGTCGTCGTCACTGAACCCTGCGTCTTCAACCTGCAAATTGTATTCAAGCTGCTCGTTGCGTACCACTTGGAGCTGCGATGTGTTTTGTATGAGTTGCCGACCGATGAGTTGCATCATCTGGTCGAGTTCTGCTACTTTACGTTCGACAACGCGTTGATGTTGCTTCAACTTGCGTTGTTCCCGCTCCTTCACAGGTTCTAAAGCCTTTAACGCGTTCGCAATCGTGAGCTGAACTTCCTCTGTAACGTGCTGGCGTAGCTTCTCGAGTTCTTGATGCTCTCGATCAAGTACGCGACGATCAAGGCCCTCGACTGCAGCAGAGATGTCGAGTGTCGTTTGGTGGGTTCTCGTACTTAAACTTGCTGCAATCTCTTGCTGCTCGACTCGAATTCGCTCCATAGACGCTTCCTGGGTGCAAAACTGGTAGTCGAATCGACCGTGAGCCTCGCTGCATTGACGAGCGATCTCCTCTCGGTCAGCTGCGAGAAACTCACGAACTTGCTGGTTTATTTCTAATTGAAAGTCGTCCATTCTCTTCTGCTGAGCCTCAAGAGCGTCACAATAGAGCTTGATCTGAGCACCTATTGTCCCCAGTACTTCTCCTTGTCTCTGGATCTCTTGATCGAACAGAGTTTGCACATTTTCTTGAGTGATTTCTTGTGTCTTTGTGGCCCAATTCTCCATTTCTAAGCGAAAATGAGTTTCTTGAGCGGATTTGAAGTCGGAGAAGGAGAGAGATAACTCGTTCATTAGTTCTTGTTGCATTTGCTGGAGTCGCTTCTGTAGTGCAAGTACTTCTTGATCAAAAGCCTCTTTCTTGCACTTCCCACGATTGAAAAAAGGTTCATGAATAACCTCACAAAGTTGCAAGAAATAACACTTACCCGCTTGTGGATCGCTTCTTCCAATGCCTTTCCCTGTGTAAGCATTGCTTCTTTCTCTGCTTTCTGATCGATGGCCGTCACAATATGCCCCATTTCCTCTTCTATCAGATCCAATCGGCGCTCTATTTTGGCTACACAAGTTTTGCTGATGGCGTTATTACCAGCGCGATTTCTATCAAGCCGGTCTTGAAGCTGGCACTCCAATTGCTGCAATCGCGACTCGACTTGCTGTTTCTTCGCTTCCTCCTGCTCACTAATTCAATAATCATCAATTTTGAAAAATCAAGATTAAAAAAAAGGTTAACCGATCTCGTACAGTCGAAGTTGTTCGCTGATGGCATTCATCGTCTGAGCAATAGCTTGCAAGTGCTGCTGTTGACGTTGAGACTCGTTATTTTGAGCAAGAACAGCGTTTTCTAGATCCTACAGCCATATCCACGTCAGCACTAACACAGCTATCAGTGTCAACAAGTTTTACCTTGACGCGGTTATCAACGCCAGTAAAAACCTCCCACAAGCTCCTGAACCCGAAGCGAAGAATCTCCTACTCCACAGACGAATATCAATGCTAGAACACTAGCCGCGCTATCAACTAGTCGCTCAGACCTGTATATTTTCCCAAGCTCCATCGCCACGCTCCAGTTCGTCTAACTCCGATGGTGTAGCCATGTGTCCCTTAACGTGTATCTTATAGTAATCTACTTTTGCGCACTCCACCAGGTGTAAAACGATTCCCAGGAGACGAACCCTGTTTTCCACGGGTCTAAGCTGCGTGCTACACTTTGTATCCGCTTAGGAGGCACTTGGATGCCTAGTTGCTGCACTACGCTGGCAAATGCAGTATACGTAATCTTGGCTTCTCGTTTGTTTTTGTTTCGTTTCACGCTTGCAATTCCTCCTGCCGCCTTGAGAAACTCTCGCCACGCAGTGTCTTGCCGCATCTCATGAGTCAATTGTTGCAATACTGCGAGCGTGAGTTTGTGACTGACCCGATTGACACAATAGCGCTCGTGCAACTTAAACCTCTGCTCCTTTTCCAGCGCCCAGTACTGCGCCATGATAATTGCAGGCGGCACGCTTTCTTCTTCCGGAACAGGGTCAGCTACAGGCGGGATGGCGATTTCTTGCGCTACAGCATGCGCTGCGTTGGACATCACGAGCGTTTGGCAGGCATTTGCCATTTCGAAAAACTGACCATCACTCCTGTTTACTTCAATTGCGGGAGTTGCACTGGGTGTGTCACTTCTTTTGCTATTGGCACTTGCCGGTCGAACTCGACGAAAACTGGAAGTTTTTTGCTTACGAGGACTTTGAGGCCCCGAGTAGAAATCCGCTCGTGCAGTTTGTGGCCTTCGCGCCGCGAAAGCTTTTGAGGCCGCACAGCCGTACACGTTAGCGCGTTCACGCATAGTCTGCGGGTCAGTAGCTGTCCGCGCGGATAAAGGTCTGTGTGGACAGGAATATTGCCGTTCAGGAGAGGACGGAGGTTGAGGCGTGAATACTTCAGGCCTACGTACGTTCTGGCCTTGGTCTTGCTCGAGTCTCCTCGCTGTTTCGTCCTTTTGTTGCTGCATAAATTCCCCCTGCCGGGCTAACAGATCTTCGTGTTGCATCTGTTGCCACCATTGCGCGCGTTGATGACGCTCTTGTCTCGCTTCATGATGAGCCTTCCAGCGATATCCTTTGCGTCGTATTCGCTCCTGCGCTTTGGCAAATTTGTCGCGTTTAGAGCGAATCAGCTCGTGTTGTCGCTGAGTAGCGAGTTTCTCGGTCTTCTTTCGGTTTTCGGCCGCTTTTTCATGCGCTTTGTATCGAGCTTCTCGCTTGTCTTCTAAGCGTTGCCGTGTGGCTTCATCTAATTTTAAAGAGGAGTGTTGGTACTTGCGAAACAGCATGCGATTTTCCTTAAGTTTGCGCTTCTCTGCGTCACTTAATTGGTGTTCTTGTATACTTCGCGACCGACTGGGAGAAACAGAAAACACGTCACCTTCTTCACTGAGTTCGGGTGGTCGGTTTGCGATCAGTGGGAGTTGCTGACGTAGCTGGTTCAAGTCGCGGAGACTGTGGAAGATACGAGAATTGTGCGTTAAAGTGGCTAAAACGTTCTTCCGAGCTATTAACAAGGCTGGATTGGTGCATTCGCCAACGGAGTGATGTCGCCGGTCGCTCTGAGGAATAATTTGCGGTTCTTCATCCGGTTTTGCATCTGCACTTTGACGCCATTTGCTTAGAAATACACTCCAACTGATCGGATGAATTTCTGTCAGTTTGAGTGGGAATAAATACTTCCACGCTTTGTCGGTCTTAGCTTTCCAGCTCGAGAGATTAAGTCGGTTGACGTATCCACTGGACAAGGCTCGGATGTTGGATTTTAGCTCAGCAGGAAGCTCCGGGTTGTCCAGAAGTGCCCCGACAAAGACAGGTTCCCATACGTAAGAGTGTTCTTGTACTTCAGATCCTAACGTTAACCTTCGAAACGTAGTATTAACTATCTCAAATGACTCTGCACCAAAGCGCTTGAGCATTTCCTCGGTGTTCATGTCAGTGCAACTCCAAATCAGTAGCTCGTTCCAAGTTACCATTCGTTTCGGGAACGATTCCAACCAATGAAAAACCTTATTGTCCTGCTGATTTAGGAGAACCGCATCTTCTTCCTTGTTTGGTATACTGTATACCCCTTGCAGAGTTGTCTTTAACGCCGTCGCGTTAGCTTCTGTCGTTCGGAAAGCTACTTGTTGGAACGCTGTATGAGCTTGTTGAAGACGCAAAACTTCAGGTTTTGTTTGAATGGAGGCCAACATGTCGTGTAGGAAATAGTCATCCTGTTCCGGGAACTGCATTTGTCTCGGAACAAGGTAAAACCCCAAGACGTTTTCGGAAGGATCGGGAACGTCAATCATATCAGTTATCCCCGAAGAATCGTGCACTAGACTGTAAGACCAACAAAGCGGCAGGAACTCGCGACATCCTTCAGCATAGTAGCGACCAATTCGACTGTAAATGGACGCGTAATTGTCTTTGACCACGTTCGAAATAAACTCGATTTGACCTTTTGGGGTTGTGAAGACTCCACGTTCTTCGCAGTGCAACTCGTATCGATCTCGTAGCAGCTGGGGTACTGAGAAGACATGCACCCAACCGACAGTGACGCCAATCTGCTCTTCGTCTCCATCCGCTTGACTCTGAATGATCAATTGCTGGTTCGTGAGATTCTCGTACGCCATGAGGCACAACACCCGTGCAGCCGCAATACGCAACGTCTTATCGGTTGAATGCAGGTCATCGAAGATTACATTTATGAGTGAAGAAGTAGCTCCTCCAAAGAACTGCCCAACTTGCTTCTGCATTTCCTTGGACTCGCTGCATTTTGTTGATAACGTCGAGTACATTCGAAGTCGCAGTCGAACAGCATCACTTTTGAGTCCTTTGTGAACTTGTTCCTGCCAAGTTAAAGCAGACCGTTCAACCAAGTCATAGCTTGATGGAGAACTCCGACCCTCCATTTCTTGTTGTGGAGTATTCCGGACTGATCTAACAGGAACGAAAATACGAATGGCGTTGATGCAGCTTTTTATTATAGCATCCGAATTAGACTAAGAATGGAGTTTAACGGACTCGTTGTACTGTTCTTTAAGCGGCCAGCTTCTTGGCCACTTCAGCGAACGACTTGCCCTGCGTGGTAGCGACTGTCAGCTCCAGCTTCGACGGCTGGCGAGAGCCATCGCCGCCGGCCAGAGTTCCCGCTCCCCACGGGGATCCACCGTGAAGCTCGTCCATGTTGAAAAGCTCAGGGGCGCGGTAGCCCAGTGGCACGAAGGTGAGACCCTGGTGAGCTAGGAACGTCACGGCAGTGAATGCCGTTGTCTCCTGACCGCCGCCCTGAGTGCCCGTGCTGAAGAAGATACCGGCAGGCTTGCCTACCAGAGCACCAGCAGCCCAGAGACCACCGGCCGAGTCGAAGAACGCCTTAACCTGCGCTGGTAGCGAGCCGAAACGAGTGGGGAAACCGAACAGGATGCCATCGGCCTCCTTCAGGGTGTCAAGAGTGGCGATGGGGTGGTCCTTCTTTGGGGCCGCGTGCATCTTGCCTAGGATCTCGTCGGAGAGAGTCTCCTGCACTTGGTAGATCTCGGCGGTCACGCCGTCGACGGATTCGACACCCTTCTTGGCGGCCTCGGCCAGTTGGGCGACGTGGCCGTAGGTGGAGTAGTAGATGATAGCGATCTTGGCCATGGTTGTTGGTAGGTGGAGGTGGATGAAAGTAGATTTGATAATGAGCAGGTTGATACCAGCTTGGGGTACGTGGCAATCGAAAATATACTGTAGAAAGTAAGAGGGAACGGAGACTCTTCGACCAAGTTGAAGCTGAGTCCTGCATGTATTAATACTATTGCAGAAATGCTCTCATGAAATCACGAAATAAGCAGGGTTTAGTGAGGAAGATGTTGTCATTGAGAATATCCCTTCGTATTTGATGGTGTGGGAAAGGATATTTTGATTAGCCAATCGACCAGGGAGTGTGACGTGGCATGCCTTTTCAATGTGACAAGCTTTTCTCGCGGCTGGACTGGCACTGAACCAACGACTACATGTACATGTATACATGTATTATAATAGCAGGCAGCTTCTCTAAGCTGGTGCGAAGCGATTCGAGCGAATGCTCGCAATCTCGGGGTTCGTCATCAGATAGGCTACATGAACAGCGCTGGTCAACATGTTGGACTTGCAGACGCATTCCGCCGTCGCATCTCGACTTTGTATCCTCAGCTCACGACGCCAGTGTCTACGGCCGCCATCCATGACATAAACATCTCGATCTGGCCAATCAGCGGTCTTAATGAGCGCTTTTTCGTCCACGTCACGGCTTACCAAACTTGATTGCGCTATCTTGTCATGACAAGCATCCTGGCAGTGCCGCTGCTTTGGTACAGTGCGTGCCTCTTCACGTGCATAAGGCGGACTCACTTCGAAGTCCCTCCTATCGACGCGAAGATGCAAAATCTTGGGATCAGACCTCATTGCTGAGCCTCATTCCTGAGTCTCCTCTCCCCGAGAAAGAACCAACTTTGAAAAACTCAAGCACCATGGCCAAGATCGCAATCGTATACTACTCCACCTACAACCACGTTTCGACGCTGGCCGAGACCATCAAGGAGGGCGTCGAGTCCGTGGACGGCGTGACCGCCGAGATCTACCAGGTGGCCGAGACCCTGCCCGAAGAGCTGCTGACCCAGATCCACGCTGCCCCCAAGAAGGACTACCCGATCGCCACCCCAGACACCCTGAAGGAGGCGGATGGCATCCTGTTCGGTTTCCCCACGCGCTTCGGCTCGCTGCCTTCGCAAATGAAAGCGTTTTTCGACTCGTGCGGTGGTCTGTGGGGTGCAGGTGCCCTGGTGGGCAAGCCCGCCGGCATCTTCTTCAGCACGGGCACCCAGGGTGGCGGTCAAGAGACGACGGCCCTCACGACCTTGACGTTCCTGGCCCACCAGGGTCTGACGTACGTTCCCCTTGGGTACCGTGCTCCGGAGCTTGCTAACATGGAGGAGATCCACGGCGGTTCGGCCTGGGGTGCTGGCACTCTGGCCGGTGGCGACGGGTCTCGCCAGCCGTCGAAGCTGGAGCTGTCGGTCGCCACCACGCAGGGCAAGTCGTTCGCCGAGATTGCCAAGAAGCTGGCCGCCTAAGTATTTTACAAAAGAACTGTATTGTATCAGCAGCGCGTGTGCGAACAAAATGACGTTCCGAGACTAGAGGTGTGCGAGCACGTGTGTTTTGCTGCACGGTTGTACGTGTAGCAGCCGTAGCAGTTTGCCATTCTGGAGCAAATGAATATAGCTCACGTTTTGCTGCTTGTAACGATCTGGTGTACATGTAGTTCCAGCCTGGCTTAAGAACTACTTGTCTTTGTAGAATTAAACTAGTTTCAGCACAGGTAAAATGCTTTTGAAACGACAATTGTCAGAAAAAGGGTCAAATCCGATGGTCCGAAATTGTGAGCAAGTGTATTTCGTAATTCCCACAGTTTTAAGCCCCGCTGATTGGCCAGATCGAGATGTTTATGTCACGAATGGCGGCCGTAGACACTAGCGTCGCGCGCTGATTGGATACAAAGTCGAAATGCGACGGCTGCAAGTCCAGCATGTTGACTAGAGCTGTTAATGTAGCCTATCTGATGACGAGCCCCGATTGCGAGCACTCGCTCGAATCGCTTCGCACCAACTCAGAGAAGCTAGCCTGCTATTATAATACTGTACTTCACCGTACATGATTCCGCGAGAAAAGCTTGTCAACGCGATGCTTGTTTTGCTGAAGCTGGAACCAATGACGCGACGTCAATTGAAAAGGCATACAGTACCACGTCACACTTCCCTGGTCGATTGGCTGATCGGAAATCTCCTTCCTACAAAATCAAATACGAAGGGATATGCTTGATGGTAGCATTTGGCTCGTTAAAAGTGCAGACTTCGTGCAATCATGAGAACATTTTTGCAGTAGTATAAATATATGCAGGACCCAGCTTCAGCTTGGACAATACTGTACTGTACCTCTTCTGAAGAGGCTCCGTGGTTACAGTATCACCTCCCTCTTACTTTCTACATTTTCGATTGCCACGTACCCCAAGCTGTATCAAGCTGCTCATTCTCAAATCTGCTTTGATCCACCTCCACCTACCAACCACCATGGCCACGATCGCTATCATCTACTACTCCACCTACGGCCACATCGCCCAACTGGCCGAGGCCGCCAAGAAGGGTGTCGAATCCGTCGACGGCGTGACCGCCGAGATCTACCAAGTGCAGGAGACTCTCTCCGACGAGATTCTGGGCAAGATGCACGCCGCCCCCAAGAAGGACCACCCCATCGCCACTCTTGACACCCTGAAGGAGGCCGATGGCATCCTGTTCGGTTTCCCCACTCGTTTCGGCTCGCTGCCAGCGCAGGTTAAGGCGTTCTTTGACTCGGCCGGTGGCCTGTGGGCTGCTGGGGCTCTGGTAGGCAAGCCTGCCGGTATCTTCTTCAGCACGGGCACTCAGGGCGGCGGTCAGGAGACAACGGCCTTCACTGCCTTGACGTTCCTAGCTCACCAGGGTCTCACCTTCGTGCCACTGGGCTACCGTGCCCCTGAGCTTTTCAACATGGACGAGCTTCACGGTGGATCCCCGTGGGGAGCGGGAACTCTGGCCGGCGGCGATGGCTCTCGCCAGCCATCGAAGCTGGAGCTGACGGTCGCTACCACCCAGGGTAAGTCGTTCGCTGAAGTGGCCAAGAAGCTGGCGGCTTAAGCACTGCGATTATTTGTGTGTGTGTGTCTTGGCTCAAGCTAAATTCTAATGCAATAAAATTTAGTTTTACACGGAAATGCGCTTCCTATTAAAAAAAAAGTCAAGCTATAGACAGAGAAATGAGTTCATAAGGGCAAGATTCGTCTTCATAATAGATCAACTCGAGGGATGATGGAAGTGCGCGCATTTAATGTCCGTAGAATGCTCGAGGTGGAGATCAAATGACCAGGGGTGTGAAAATTAAAAAAAGTTGGACTAATATTAGCTCAGACAAAAATTTATAATTCAGTTATTTTATTCCATTGAAACCGATCTTTGGGGGCTTTCATGGGGATAGGGTCAACCCACGTGGGTTTTAAAGAGCCTATAAACATACTCGAAAAGGACATTTACGCTTAAAAGGTGCATATTTTCTTGCCACACAAGGGTATCACCACACACAGTCAAAAAGTGGAAAGTACTTGTACTTCCTTGATAGTAAAAACCAAATCATATTAGCTGCAGTAGCAATAGATGAGGTATACTATCTACCGAGTAGGCAACCGGATAATATTGCTTGAGTACTATCCGTCGATAGTACTTCTCGATCAAGACGCTGAAATAGTGGCACCTGCGGCTAGGGCATGATGGTAAAGGTACATTGATGAAACATTCTGGTCGGCAGAGTAATGAGAAAATGCACCCAAGTTATCCAGAAAGAGAACGGGACTGGTATCATTTTTCTGTCGTACGTGTGTGCTGGCGAAATCGCGGCGAAAGTCTAAGAGGAGCATGATGACAGAAAAGTGAGCTGACAGACAAGAGAACGGATCCTTTGCACACGTTGCCAATGGACCCATTGGGAAAAATAAGACCACGGACCTCTATAACGCTATAAATGGTATTTCGTACAGAAGTCTCTTAAAGAGGATGGTAGTACTGTTAAAACCCTTATAAAGCAGATGAAGATACAATTCCCATATAATGTAAAACGATAAGGACCGACGGGGGTACTTAAATTAAAGTGGGATTGTGTACCAAAAGTCAAATGTGGAGTCTCAAGGTCTGCTGAGCGTGCTCACCAGACAATTATGGGCAAAGTTAGATGCGCAATAAATGGATCGGGTATGGCGGCGAAATGGTGGCCAGGGGCAGTATAATTTATGGTAGCGATAACTGATAGGATACCTACAGCCCGACTTCAGAATGTAACGAGCTACATGCAAGTGGCTACATGTAGCCACTTGGCTACGAAGAAGGTTTTCCACGTTGGTGTGAGATACACCAATGGTTACATCTGGCAGACTATTGGTCTGCATGCATTTAGGACATTCATTGGTTGAAAGTCAATATCTTCAACCAATTGGAATATTAGGACTCTGTCAACCATTCGGTGGCAAATACCTTTCGTCTAGAATATTACATTAGGAGAAAGCCCCAAACAAAACAAATAAACAGCTCTCAATGTTACCGGACATCGGCTTTGCTTTTCTACTTAAGGAGATGTATAGTTTTAGACGAAAGTTCACTAAATCTAAGTGAGTCGCATATTACGCTTCCTCATACACGTGCGCTAACGTGTAAGCCGAAGTAGTGGGCACCTCTTACATCTGGTAGCACTTTGTAGTCCGTCCAGCGCCCGACTACCAGACGAGCTCGTATGGAATACGAACACAGAACAGAGAGCCACCGCATGGACGGACTACCGTCCATGGGCTGGTTCTCCGCCCCGTGTAGCCCAAGTTCCTATACCACGCACATTGTGCGTGCAGACTGCTCCCATCTGGCGAATACAGAGTGGGAAACTCTCCTAAGACTGTCAACAGGCATTGGAGAAGCAGCCGTAGCGACAATGCTACGTGCGCTGTCGCCGATAGAGTGCAAGGGTATACATCGTGAAAGAGCAGTGCGATGCTGCTACTGCTGTTGTCCGGAACGACACAGCGCGTGCTGTCGCTTAAACAGCGCGTGGGCAATTATGTGGTAAAAGATGGTGAATGTGGCGATGCGGGCATCGCCGCGAGCATTAAACGCGCAGAACCAGTAGGCGAGGGGCGTCTTACTGGTATTTAAGTCGCGCATGTCTACAACGAACACGCGACACTGAGGACTGCAGACTCAGCGAGAGGATTCTCGCTGCAGAAGTAGATGACAAGCCTAATGCTGTCATCCTGAAGGTGAGCGCGAAGAGAGCCCGCTCTCTTCGACTTCATCGTTGAACAACTTTGTTCGACTGGAAAGTCGTTGGAAGCTGGACTTTGACGAAGTTAAACTGCTTCGAAGTGTTTTGGGGGTGAGGTTGGCAAAGGTACCACCGTCAGAATGGAGAAGCGCGTTGTACGCCTGCGTATCTCGGACAAACACCGGGTGTTTGTGAAGGATCTTATCGTCCTGAACCTGGACGATAAGTTTGACATGGTATTGGGCATGCCGTGGCTTGCACGGCATGACCCAGTGATCAACTGGGAGAAGTGTTCTCTTTTACACTTCGGACACACGCAATAGAGAGCTATAGCCCTGTCAGTGTCGCGCATGCACCGCGAGGTGCATCCGATTCCACCGTTGAGGCAGCACCTTACGCTGCGGCCTACGGTGCCCATTCACAAGTCGCAACGACTAAGGTTATCACTAAGTCTGTCTCAAATCAGAAAACAGATTTAAGACATGTTCCTACTTTAACGGCCGTATCAGCTCTGGAAGAACTTCAAGTCACAGTCAGTGGCTGTGGTGTGTCGGTCCCGGGGACTGACACATCAAATATGCAAGGGACTCCAGCTACAATCAATAGCTGTAATGTCGGCGTGTCAGCTCCGGAAGCTGGCACGGTCGGGATTGGTTCGAAATCACGAAATGCGTCGAGGCAAGGACGTGTCGACTCTAGAAGTCGACACAATTCGATATGAACATCTAGAGGGGACTTCGCCGAAAGACGTCGAGGTGATGACAGCGCGTCAGCGCCGGGGGTTGATGAAGCGGCAAGCAGTGTTGGTGGTTGCAACCGTCCAGCACTGAAAACGATTGTGTGTTCGCGTGTAGCCGGCTGCATGACGAAGCGGGATGTAATTAAGCCGGGCTTGATCATTTACATCCGCGCAAAGAATCCGCCGACGATTGCAACGGAAATTCGACCAAAGCCGTGCCTGGATGAGAACCTTGTGAAGCCCGGCTTCACATGTTCTGTAATGGGCCCTCCCAAGTTACATATGTAGGTAGTTTATAGGTTCTTTGTAGTGGTTCACACCATTACGTAAGTAGGTAGATTTGCATTACAAAAGTAGGTGCAGCAGCACACGAGTAGCGTGTGCTGAACTGCCGTCACCTTATTGGTTGAAATATGGGGAGCCAGACCCATCATCAACCAATAAGGAGTTGAAGTGTATTTGAGTGGTCAGGGCAAGCTGCCCTGGACCTAAATAAAAACAGAGTTGATTTTCCTTCAGACTAAGTACTTGGTTTCAGTATCACTGGACGTGTGCGCTTCCTCATCACTACGTGTAAGCAAGTAACGGACGCCCCAGGCCCGTTACACCTGGTAGAACTTAGTAGTCCTTCCCATGACCAAGTTCACGATGAGCCTAGGCATGACGTCT